ATAAATTGCACGCTATGTATAGTTAGTAGTAACATTATGCATTTTGGTCAAGAAATTGAGTTTTGTAGGGAAATTCAATTTTTGTGCGATTACAACTAACGTCACAATCTCGCTTTTTGACCAACTATATGAGGCAGAATTTTTGCAGACAAAATTGTTAATCAACCAAGACTTTTTAATTGGAACCGTTAATTTTGAAAACTTTATTGTAAATTTACTAAATAATTTAAAACTAAATTGATATATCATTATTAAATAGTACGAGAGGGAATAACTCTTCTAAAGGGCAAAGCTATGGATTGAGTAGAATCTCATCAAGCAATGAGATGCCAATATTTGTTTTGAGATTTTTTTTTTTAGTTACGAAGAAAACTCGGCAGTCATTATTTGATGATGATGTGTACACTTGATAAACACTGATATTGTGTAATAACACACAAATCACATAATAAGAGAAATAAATCGAATTAGGAATATTGAGAGCTCATTTATAAATTGGAGAATTTTTGAAAAATTAAAGAATTGGAGAATAGAAAACATGTTTACTAGCACAATTTTTTATTTTAAAAATATGAAATAATTTTCTAGTTTTCTAAAAAGGGAAAAACTTATTATTACAATTTAAAAAGTGTACGCCATCTTTCCTAGTTCAAATACTCAAACACGAAAAATTGGCATAGTAATTAACGCCAAAGATTTATACACGTTAGTATAATTTTCATGCACGTACGTTCATCACCGTACATATATACGCAAACGGTCGCAAATCTACGTGGAAGTTTCAAGAATGATGACGTGTCACCTTTCACCTACTTACCCCCATGAGAGAAAGCAAAGTTTGTTTCTTCTTTGCTCCCTCCAAATTCATATGAAGTTCAGGGAATCATTCTCTCCATATGAACTCATTTTCTTTTTATGCAGCGACAAAAGCCAATCTGGCAACCACCAATTTATATTTCACTTCAATCATCCACTAGAAATAAAGAATGGTCAATGAAATATAATTTTCATACTTAAAATACGCCCATTGAACGCGTGGCGTGCATGCGCCCGAGTAGGCACTCGATCATTCTGTGCCTAATGCACAAAAATGGGAGCTCCTTTAAAGCGGGTGGGGCCTATTATGCCTGTAAAAATTAAGGGAGTAGCTGGAGCATGCACCTTAAACACTCTCTCTCCTCCACATATGTATTGTTGCCTAAAAAACCACACCAAAATGCATTGGTGTGGATGCTCTAAAGGTTACAAGTTTGATTTCTATCAACTTTTTCAGTTGTTATCAATTTCGTCACAATAAATTTTTTTAATGTGATTTATCTTTTCTATGTAGATTATGGCTCTGTTTGGTAAAATGGCTGTTAGCTGATAGCTGTTTGGTATAATTTTGTTTCTCAAAAAGCTAATTGAAAAAGTTGCTAGGAGTAGTTTTTTTAATTTTAGCCTTTTGGAGTTGCAAAAAGCTAATTAACCAAACATTTATATTGATATTTTAACTAAATTAAACAATTAATAGTGGTCAAATAAGCCAAAATTGGCCTATAGGCTAATTTTTTACCAAACAGGGCCTATATTTCAAGCTATTATATATGAATGTTGTTTACTTAGTGTACACCGTCAAATAGTACTTACGAATTTATCTTGTTAATAAACAAATATTGTGATATATATCTAGGTTAATGTTTGTGCATCAAGCCAACCCTACTCTATAACACACCTGTAAGTTTGGCGCGTTAATTAATTGCCCAAAATGAACTTTCATTTTATAACAGGGTTAGGGTAAAGATCCTAGTTATACATTATTTCATACAAATTGTACATCTAATTCAATAATATATATGTGTGTGTGTCTGTGTGAGATTGAAATTTATTGGAAATTGAATTATTGCTATTGTAGTAGTTCATGCACGATTCATGAATTGGTAAAAAACTAAAACAAATAAATTTTAAAAAACAAAACAAAACCCGGTGGCCGGCCACCAGCCGACACTTTTTCTTTTTTCTATTGTTTATTTAAAAATTGTTATAATAATTTTTAAAATAAAAAATAATTTGATTGTAGGACTAAACGTGATACAAATTACAAAATTACGAACCTAATTTAAAGATATTAGTAGTCAATTCAAGGACCAAATGCAATACAAATTATATAGTCAATGTATCTAATTTGATAATTTTAATAGTCAATACCAAATTTGATATATGTATGTAATATACTCAAGGGACCAAAAAGGATATTTTAAAAAGAACACGTGTCAGTTCAAGTAGTAAAACAAATCATTTTGGAATTAATTAAACATTTTGGCTAATTTAGAGGGCTTTAATGGAGCGTTTTTTACTTAAGGAATTCAATTGCACTATCTGATTTAATTTGGTGGGCTAATTTGACCCCTTTTTCCTATATTTATAAGTGTGTGAGAAAATGAACTTTCTTTATGTACTAAATATTATTGGTATATCTCCTCAAAAGGGTGTCTTAATGGTGGAGTATAATTCTCATACTTAAAGGTTATGAGTTTACTTTTTGTCAACACTCTATGGTCTAAATTCGTCGCTAAGTGTATTTCTTTTTAGTGCGATTTACTTATCTAGTAGCGGGAAAATGTTCAAATTAGCCACCGAACTACCCGCAAAAGTGCAATTAGACTATCCAACTAAAAAAAATACAATAAGGCTCTTGAATTGTTTAAAATTATGCAACTCAACCAAATTTGACGTATTCCTTCGGTCATCTTTTTAAACATTTATTATTTTTAATTTATTTTAATAATTACAAAAAACACACACAACCCCCTCCTTGTCATCATCTCCGGTCGAAGACGAACACGAGGAAGCTATTTTAAAAAAATATTTTATTCAAATTTATTAAAATAACTTTTTAATAAGATGAAAATCATATCAACGATGACATGATGAACATGTCAAATTTGATTGAATTACATAATTTTAGATAATTGAGAGATTAATTTATTTATTTATTTATTTTGAATTGAATGATTTAATTATACTTTTGTACATAGTTTAGTGATTAATTTGAACATTTTTCCAAACTAATATGTTATTGGCCCTGGCCCCTGCTGATTGGTCTTGAAAATATATAATGGTGTAATTTTCAATGGTCATAACGCATATTATGTACCCATGTACTATGGTTGTAGAAAAATAAAAGAGCTAGGTCTATTTTCCACAGCTATGATTCTATGAAAGAAAAAAGTGGTACTCTCCTACTATAGGTTGCCCCCCCTGCGTATGATCGTTTAATTTTCCCAATAAGAGAAAAGTCATCGTCCTCATCATCTAATATTTGACACGAAATTATTCGTATTAACAGCTCAGTTGATCACATATATAAAATTTAGAGAGAATGACTATGGATCGAGCCTCATTAGCGATAGTATGAGAGCAATCTCTCAAAGTGAGGGTGTCTCATTATATGCAGTAAACAAATGTTTAGCCTATAAGACACGCATACATTCGAGATTGAGATGATTGTGTAAATTAAAATGAGGTGGGGGCTGGTTCAAGTATATTTGGAAGAGTAAGAGTGATTTTATTACTGATCATATAGTACACAAATATGAACTATAAGACACGAGTACATGAAATTGATAAATCAAATAACTTGGACTTAGTAGATATAATGAGTATGAGAAGTACAAGAATAAAAAGTTAAGAACGTGATGATTCATGACAATAAACTAATAGAGTGTTTATATTGGATTCATGCGTCTTATATTATGATGACATATTATAAGTAGGCTAATATGACTTTCTGATTTTTATGTAGTACACTTTTTATAGCATAATATACACACAAAAAAATTAATAGAAAAGACAGATATAAACTAAAAATATAATTTAAATTGAAACTTATTATATTTTTATTAAATTATATTATATATTATATTTTATGCATCAATCAATAATCGAATAAATAATAGTATAAACATTTTATTTGCAGATCGATTCAATATTTGTAATACCTTTATTTAAATTCAAACATGATATAGATCCAATAGATACCGACAAAGAATGACAATATTTCTTATCAATTAATTTTAATATTAAAAAAAAAAACAAATTGTCAACCCAAAGAATAACATGCCAAAGAAAAATTAGTTAAAAACTTAAATAAATAATAATAATAATAATAATATTGATTGGTGGGGCTAGACTAATCTCCACCGGCTTGCAGCGCGGAAGTGAAAACCGTTTTTTTTACAAGCGGCCCAATTTGGTCCATCCGGTCGGAATATTTTTGCGAGCCCGATATTCACGTCTCTCAAATCGATGCAAAGGGCTGAAAATTCCTTACCCACCCCCCACCCTGCCACCCAACCCCCAAAATTCCTTTCTTACACACATTACATATACATATTTTAATAAGAAATATTTTCGAAATAATCCAATCAAATTCATCAACAATTAATTTAATAATAACAAAATTTTACATTTTAATTAAATTTTTTTATTGACTTTTTAAATTTGAATCGATCAACCTACATTTGAATAATAATTACAATTTTTTTTCAAATATGAACAAAGAATATTCCAAATTCACCCCTTAATGCTTAAGCAATTGTTGAGATTTAGCTTGCATGGACAATTCAACTGGTTATAGGGGTAAAGTTCGAAAAGAATGACCCGGGACCGAGTTGTGCACAGTAAACAAAGGTCTAGCTTCTATGACTTGGTTGAGTTACCATGATTTACATTTCTCAATGCTCTGTGAGGACCTTGGGGTTGAGGATTCAACATTTTAGAAAGAATTATTGAGATTTAAAAAGATTTTTAACCGTCAAAAACCTTAAGGTCAAACAGCATAACTGTAGGTTGCAGATTCTAATCTCAATGAAAATATTGACTCTTTTGTGTTAAAACAAAATATGTATAAACAGATACGAAGTACTATATTATACAATAATAAATAGTTCTAAAAAAGACTTTTAATTAAATACTAAGCAACGGAATTAGCTGCAGTATTATTTTTGGCTTTTTCAAATTTACCCCTAAATTCTCGATCTGGAAAAATCTTTAGGGTCGGAAATCTGAGTCTCCTTCACTTCTTCTCCGTCTCGGCGTATCTTTATTGCTTCGCGAAAGGTCACATCTATTTTCTCTCTCTATTCGGTGTCTCTCTGTGGCGTTTATGTACATATATAATCTATATGTTTTGTATTTTTCTCGTTTATATCGCTGTCAGTGCGGTGGAGAAGGCCAATCGTTGGCGGGTTTGATCTCACAATTGGAATCCGATATATCCTGGGGGAATTTCGTTGAATTTATTTGGATGGGGGAGGGAGGTGTGTAATCTGTGAGGTTTGGATGTAGTGAGGGTTTGGATGTGATCGAGAAATAGTGTTGTTGTGTATCTATTGTGTAAATGCTTCTGGGAGGGGATCTAGGTCTGCGCGTTCTCGTGGCGGCGTTCCTGGTGTTCATAGGGCCACTGCTGGGCTTTTTGGTCCGCCAGAAATGGCGGCACGCGGAGGCTAGGAGGGAGGAGATCGACCGGCTTTTGGTTTTGGCTTCTGAGGAGGCTGCTAGGGCTGAGTTCGAGGCGGCTGCGGAGTACGGCTTTGAGTATAGCAGCTATAGCTTCGGCTCTGTGGTGGGGGATGAGGTGCCGGCGGCGGTTCCGGCGCCTGCTCCGGTATCTTCAACCTTGACATCTGTGCCAGTTGCGCGGCAACTGCCGTATCAATGTGCTCAGTGCTTTTCCTCAGCTTCTACGCGGTGCTCCCGGTGTAAAGCGGTTCGATACTGGTATGTTGATTTAGAACTCCAATTTCATAGAACATCTGATTTTTTATTCACTATCTGGTGAACTCCAATCATAAAACTTTACTTGTGCTCCTGATGCGTTTGCTCTCTATGAAAATTGCCTTTTTTATGACATTTGGAAGATGATGATTATAGTGTTAATTCTTATCTTTCATTTTGAATTCAATAGTTGAGTAAGATGTGAATGCCAAATGATAATATCCACCTAAATAATTTGTCCACGGTAGGCTGAGGAATTTTGGAAGGAAAGATCATATTATGCTTTTATGAGCATTGAGCAATGGTGAATTGTCAGAGTAGTTTTAGATCCCCACCTCTAGGAAGACAGTATTTATTATGGTGCATCACACACAAATTTATCTATAGCATGATCGTGATGTTTGGTGGGATGGGCAATTTCCTTACTTGGTGTTGTACTAGTTGGCCATTTTTTAGGAATCTCACATATCATGTTCTTCTAGCTACTTAGCAAAAGGCAGACAGAGAAATGTTCTACACTTCTACCCCTATGTTGCACCATTCTCTAAGACTGATGAATTGTCTGGATTGGAATGTTATTTTTAAAGAACCAAACAACTGCATCTTTATTTGAATTTAAGGGGTTTTATCATATCTTTTCTTGTCAATGATCTATGATTCTATGGAAGTCCTTTTATGGCATTTTCTTGCATTGAATTAGTAATCCTTGCTATTGGAAATAAGATGACTTAAGGAGGCTCTCATCCTTGTGCTTAATTATTGTTTGACACAAGTCTCTTCCCCACCCCACCCCCCAATAAGATGCTGTATTGGATTGGTTTAGTTTGTACAGAATGTATCAGTAGGATCACAACAAGAAGCATACTGCCATTGTTGGTAGCTAAAGATCTTTTTTTTTTTTTTTTTTTTTTTTTTTTTTGTCTTTCCTAAGGTTAAGGCTATTTCTATGTTAAAATGAAGAACAGAAGAAGTAACATTTAGTCAAAGACTCAAAATTGGGAACTGCAAACCTGTTGACAAATTTTAATTGCACAGCTGTGTATTTGTTCTCTTATGTTCAGCACTTACTATGTCCATGCTGTATTACTTTCCTTTTTTTTTTTTGTTTTCCCCTGGTGTTCTTAATAAAAAATGAATGTTTCAGCTCTGGTAAATGTCAAATCATCCATTGGAGACTGGGCCACAAAGATGAATGCCATCCACCTGTCAACAACAATCATGACAGTTATGGTAAAGGAGCCAATGATTTTAAGGTATTTAGGCAAGAAGCAAATGAAGGTTATGCTGAAGGAATTGAGACTGAAGAGAGGAACACTCCTGGATCAATTGATGCATCTTTTGCAGAGCCTACATGTTCTGAACCCAGTATCTCTGGGGCAGAAAACACAGAAGATGTTATGGAAGGAAAACATTTCACAGATGATGGAACTACAAACTCAGACTCTGAGTTTTCACCTCATTCATTTTCAACTTCCACTACTTCTAGTGAATCCTTTTCCAGCACATCCATCAGTGATGATTCAGATGGTTTTGACAAATCTGTTGGTGCTGGTTCTGGTCACACAAAAACTTGGCCAACCAACTCAGATCATAAGCCACAATTTCTGGAGCAATCTGCAGTGCCCAGTTCTGTAAATGTTGTCTCTTCAAGTAAATCTGGTCATGTGAATCCCAGTGCTGATAAGAATACAAAATCAAAGTCATCAAATTCAACAGTATCAAGTGTTAATGGCTCTAGTGAGTCTTCATTATCTGTGTCATCTGTACCCTCTTCTGGCTTTTGGGAAGGAACTGCTCACTACAGTAGATCTAAAGTGAATGTAGTGGATGATGTTTCTCATCCTGATTCTGAAGATGTTTCATATTCTTGGTTGCCCACAAACCGTTCTTCTGAAATGGCAAGAACTTCAAGTCCCAGTGTGGATGAACAAGGCCCAAAAGCAAAACCAAGTGATGCAGCCCAGCTCTTACAAGTTAAAGATAATGTAGACTTGAAAAGGTCTTCATTGAGACCCGATTCTCATAATACTATTGATCTCAATAAGGCCAGTGTCAGAAGTACATCAAGTTTTAAGGAATCTAGACGCTCTTTATCTACTGCTTCCGATGCTTGTAAAGTGGAGCATTTAGTGAATAATGACACATTGAAAGTCAATTCCCCACCAAAAGCATCTGATAAGAGCATTGAAGGCTTGAAGAATGTTTCACAAACTCCAAAAGCCAGACAAGTTGAATCTCTTTCTACAAAGGCTCCTAATGGTCATCCATCTTCTAATAACAGAAGACATGATTCTCAAGGTGCAAAGTCTGCAAAGATTGATAGTGCACAAGTTACTGCTTGCTCATCAGATTCTGGAGGTGATTCACAAAGTTCTAAGAGTGGCTTAAAATCATCGGTGTCTAAAGTTGTTGATCAACTCAAAGCTTCAAAGTCACGGCATAATTCCTTAGGAGCCTGGAGTGAGATTGGAGGAAGATATAATAATAAGGTTCAACTTCATGCTTTGCTCTGTATTTTCAATTTGTATGGATATGGTCTAGTGTGTCAAGCATTTTATTAATTACTTCATTCTTGACAGGGTCTATTTCCATATGAGTTGTTTGTGAAGCTTTTTAACTCAAAAAAGGTTGAATTACGTCCATTTGGCCTCACAAATTGCGGGAACAGGTATGTTGAGCTAAGATAGATCGTTTGCTCATCATGCTTTATTTTGACTATCCATTTAACATATTCATTACATTCTAGACTAGCTAATCAGAGATACTCTGTATAATTTGTGAGATCCCATAGAGCATAAATTTCTTTTATGAATTTCCATCCACCATTGTTTCTTTTTGGCTTGTGTATTTCACCTTAGCTCTAATTTAAAGCTATTAGACAGTTGATGTTTAATATTTATTTATCATTCCTCAGCAATATTGCATCTTTCTTTCGATTGTTCTAGCTCATCGCTTGTATTTATTGTAACTTTGTCCAATAATTCATGATTGGACATATGCTGAAAAAATTATCATATTTCCAATTTAATACCAGTGAGCTGCTACTGGTTGTTACCCATGTGTTTGTCTTTTTAACAATCCGAACTTCACTCTAATAGAGAAAGCTTTTACGTGTGGACTTTTTTGGGTTTTACAAATGCATGACTTTTATTTAATATCCTGCAGTTGTTATGCTAATGCTGTCCTTCAGTGCCTGGCGTTTACTCCACCCTTCACGGCTTACTTCCTTCAAGGCTTCCATTCAAAAGGATGTATGTTTCTCAATAATAATTTTATGCAATTGATTTTTGAATCTTATTCTCTCATTAAAAGAAAGTGATCCTGTCTTGTTTTCATATTCTTGTAACTCCTACTTGTTTCTCCTTTCTCTTTGTTAGGTGCAAAGAAAGATTGGTGTTTCAACTGTGAATTTGAGAGTTTAGTTCTAAAAGCAAAGAATGGGAATTCTCCGCTCTCCCCTATCCGGATAATTTCCCATTTGGAGAATATTGGGAGCAGTCTTGGTAATGGGAGAGAAGAAGATGCTCATGAATTTCTCAGGTGAGCTTACTTGTACATCCTTTGAGATTCGTTCACTTTACTCCTCCAAATGCTCTTGCATAGTTGACTCATATATTGGTATTGTAGGTATGTCATTGAGACCATGCAATCTGTTTGCTTAAAGGAAGCAGGTGTCCGTACATCATGCTCTTTGGAAGAGCAGACAAGTCTCATTGGGCTTACATTTGGGGGCTTCCTTCGTTCAAAGGTAATCTGTGGTCTTCTAGGAGCTTGCAAAGATTTTGATTTATATGATCTCCATAGAAATTCCTACCTGGTAAATTAATGATATAATTTGCAGATTGAGTGCATGAGGTGTGGAGGCAAATCTGAGAGGCATGAAAGAATAATGGACCTTACAGTTGAAATTGATGGAGATATTGCAAGCCTGGAAGGAGCTTTAAGACAATTCACACATACTGAGATTCTAGATGGTGAAAACAAGTACCATTGCAGCAGGTAATCTTTAATGCATTTGTCATAACTTTTCCTGTAAATATCAGATCTCTTTCCATGGAATTATAATTTTGTTATTATCAATTCATTTTTTCATGTGCTTCACCCCCCGCCCCCCCCCCCCCCCCCCCCCCTTTTTCATCCCTCACTACCCATAGTTTTTTAAATCATGTATTAAATGTCCACTTAAATTTCAAGTCTATTTCAGATGAAATTTTCAGTAGTGTAACCAGTGCAACTGTGGTTTCTGACTACCCTGTCTAGAACTTTTCTTGGTTGTTTCTGGAGTGGTGCATTATATTCTTGTGATTTGACTGTTTGTGTTACTGATATGATTTGGATACATCTAACTAGAACTGAATTATCTTATCAGATGCAAATCATATGAGAAAGCCCGGAAGAAGTTGAAAATATTGGAGGCCCCTAATGTCCTCACTATTGCATTAAAGAGATTTCAGGTAATAACACCTTGAATAAACTTTTCCTTTTTCTTATTTTCCCTTACTACTGCTCACTCACTTTTTTCCCTTTGCAGTCAGGTAAATTTGGGAAGCTGAACAAGACAATAACATTTCCTGAGATTTTGAATCTGGCCTCCTATATGAGTGGAACAAGTGATAAATCACCAATATATCAGCTTTATGGAGTTATTGAACATGAGGACGTCATGAATGCTGCCTTTTCTGGGCACTATGTTTGCTATGTCAAGAATTTTCAAAATAAGTGGTTCAAGGTCAATGACAGCAAGGTATGTTGTTTGTCCTTGAAACATCAAAGTTAACTAAATCGAGTATTTAGCACTGTCTGACTTATCTCTGCCTTTTACATGGTCGTAGGTAAAACCTGTGGAAATTGAGAGCGTCTTGTCAAAGGGAGCTTACATGCTTCTCTACTCGAGGTAAATTATTTCTCTCTCCTTTATGTTGAAGCCTCTGTTTTTGATCAGTTGAGTTAATGTCTCGCTTGATTTTATTTTGGTAGGTGCTCTCCACGTGCCCCAAAATTAATAAGGAGTTTGACTTCTCATGATCCAAGGGGACAGAAATATGTAAATTGTAAATCAAGTTCTCACACAAATTCATGGGATCTCTCTAAAGGTGATTCTACAAATGACCCAGCATGTAGGGAATGCTTCAATTCTGTTCAAGCGAGTTCCTGGCCACATCGGACAATATTCGAGGACTCATCCAGTGACAACTCATCGTCTCTTTTCTCCGAAGGCTGTTCTTCTAGCACAGACAGCAGCTACAGGGATTCAATAAGCGCAGAGGATTATGCAGCAGATCAACTATTTGGTGATCCTGGAGGCGCCTGTTGGAATAGCCCTTGGAGGATCTCTACTGATTCCGACACATCTTCATCCTCGTCCTCTCCTTCTCCATTGTATTCAAGGCATTCACGCCTCTCTAATATGGGGCATTACGCGTCAGGCTATCCCGAGACGAGTGGATATGCAGATTCAGCCGTCGAGGATCGGGGATTTTGGACAGGAACATGTGATCCCGAGGTATCGAAAAGCAAAGGAAGTATTCCCTCGTTGAGTCCGGATTCAGCCAAACAGTGTAGACATTTAGGTGGTAGTAGTAGTAGCGGCGGCCAGAGGTTAGGATCGGATAAACCTTTTGGAACCATGAAATATAGATGAGGTAAACCCCCAATTTGAACATCATACAATTAAGTTTTGGTAATGTAAAGTGGTAAATAAACTTTGATGAGTTGTAGAGTTGGGGGTTAGAGGTTGGGTGTACGTCTTGGGCCGTGTTAAGAAACCGGCCATAATTTTGTCACTCTTCCCCTTATATTTGTAGGGAGTAACATATATAATATTTATATATATATAGTTTTTAACATGAATATAAAATGTGAATTTTTGTTCCAAATAGATCCGTGTGTTCTAGTATAGCTATGTGTGGTTTAATTTCCGTCCCAACAGAGACGAGCAGACAATCAACAACTTGAACGGCTGAACTAGACAACTATGTAAGTATGTATTATTATAGTCAGTATCATATCTATAGTAACTCGATAAATAGGTAATATTGCGACTTAATTGTACTATTTCATTGGTTTAGGAGATCATAATGAAGTTATTTTAGTTGGGGATTGGGGATACCATTACACTATTTGTTATATTAAATGGACTAATTTGACACTTTTTTTTACTTTATTAAAAAATAAAACGCACTCAAAATACACAAAATTTTGACAAATTCAAAGCAGAAGTCTGCCGTCAGATATGTATTATCTAAGACTATCTTTATCCATGCAATATTCTCTCACTTTCAAAATGTCATATCACTATGTTTGCAATTATTCATTATTTACTATCCATCCATACAATTCCCTCTCCTTTTTCAAAGAAATTTTGACAAATTCAAAGCAGAAGTCTGCCGTCAGATATGTATTATCTAAGACTATCTTTATCCATGCAATATTCTCTCACTTTCAAAATGTCATATCACTAAGTTTGCAATTATTCATTATTTACTATCCATCCATACAATTCCCTCTCCTTTTTCAAAGATGACCCCTCTATCACATTTTATTTCTTTTAATAATAATAATAATAATAATAATAATAATAATAATAATAATAATAATATATAATAGCCTCTCTTTCCTCTTTGCAATTCTGACACATCAGTTGCAACATTAGAGCACATCCACAATAAGGGGAGAAATGAGGGATAATGTAATATGCTTTCTCTTGGGTGGAGTTAATAACTAGTATGGGAAAAAAATAATGAGGGGAAGAATTTGCTTGCAAGGAGTGGGGAGAATGAAAAAAAAAAAAAAAAAAAGGACCACATGCTGTGCGCATTTGGCGCACAGTGGCCACAGCCGAGCGCGTGCAGTGCATTTTGTCTTGATGAACTGCAAATTAGCATCAACATGTCTTTTTTTTTTTTTTTTTAATCAAATCAAATCAAATTAAAATGTATTTTGACAACCGCTATTTTGAGCGAGTTTATTGCACAATATCTTTCTAATGTAATTTACCTATAGATAAAAAAAAAAATTTGTTAAAAAAAAAAGTCTACCCAATACATATTTTTTAGTATTAACTATTAATATATATTGTCAATCAAAATAAGCGTATTATAGAATATGCATGGTCGAATGAAAAAGTAAAAAAGATAAATTATAATTTTTCCCTCTTTTCTTTTCTTCTTCCAATAGAATCAAAACGTATAGAAGAAGCAAACGATTAAAATGTTGGAATTTAAGATGATGTATTTATCAGAACAAGACTACTCATGTAGTTTTAACCCTAATGGGGGGGGGGGGGGGGGGGGAATTTCTAATGGTTAGGACCCACTTTCCAGCTGCTGTTGCCATTGAAGAGTATAAAGCTTTCATCCAAAATTAGGATTTTTTGTCATTTTTGTATCCCAATTATTCATCCATATCAAAAAGTCGTCAAATTATTACTCCATACGTCAACATATGACATCGGAATGTATCTCGTCATCTTATGTTTTAACATGGAGTTAGCTAGAATTAATGGGTTGTATATATCACAAAGACTCTCTTTTTACACTATTATAAATTAGGGATATTTTTAACCACCCACTCACCTGGTAGGGTCTGAAAATTCTGAAAAAGGTGTAAAAGATCTTGGTTCAATTACCAAAATATGATCACATTTATGTGAGATCGTCTTACGGATCTTTGTCTTTGAGATGGGTCGAGTCAAGTTGAGTCTTTTTAAATGTAATACTTATATATACTGAAAAATATAATACTAATAAAAACTAAAGGGAAAATGACACTTTTTCCCCCTAAGTTATATACATATAGCACTTTTCCCCCTTGAATTATTCAAGTGGCTGTTTTTCTCCCTGAAATGTTAAATGGACATATTTACCCTTAAAATAAATATTTCATTTATTTTTTTTCTCTAACAAATTATGACCACAAGTTGGTTCAAACCAAACAGACACTATAGAAATCAAATCGAAATATTCTAATTACAATTTAGAATCGAAACACGATATTTAGATTTTATTAAAATCGTGAACCAGGATGGCCGGTTCATGGTCCTAACTGAAAAAAATAAAATACATTTATTGTTGAATTTAGACTATTTTAAAATAAAAAATTAAAATTTTAAAAATAAAGACGGTTTAAAATCGCTAACCGGATCTAGAACCGCCGGTTCACGGTTCAGGATCCAGTTTTTTCGATTCATAATTTTAATGAATTGAAATTAAAATATTGGGTTCTGGATCTGAATCATAACCGGAAACTTTTAATTCGATTGCTATAGTGTCTGGTTCAATTCGAATCGAACCGTGGTCATCCCTATATATACGCAATAATTTATTGAAAAGGAAAAATAAATAAAATGTTTACTTTAAGGGTAGAAATGTCAATAAAATATATTAGGGGGGAAAACCACCACTTTTAAAATAATTGAGGGGGCTAATGTGCTTACATAAATAATTCAGGGGGAAAAAGTGCTATAAGTATATAATTAAGAGGGAAAAAGTGCCATTTTCCCAAAACTAAAATATTGATTACTTATAAATAAAAACGTAAAACTTTTGAGGAAAAATATAATACTTTTACATAATGTAAAAGTATTACACTTTCTCATATAAGTAATGTTGGCAAGTGTTTGTCATTTAAAAGGAAAAATGTAATACTTTTAGGGGGCGTTTGGTTCACGGAATCTTGGATTACCCCAGGTAATAGGATTACCTCCAATAAGGTAATGTGACATGTTGGGAATGTAAGATTACCTTGTGTGTTTGGTTTGGATGGTGTAATATAATATTACCTTGTTTGGTTCAAGGTTATATTTTAGGTTATATGGATCAATTTACAATAATGTCCCCAATTATATATATATATATATATATATATATATATATATATATATATATATATATATATATATATATATACACATAATGTGTGTGTATTTATTTATATGTATGAATGTATATCAATGCTTAAATATTAAAAAAAAAAACTAAATATATAAATATACACATGTATATTTAATTATTATATAAACATATATTAATTTCATTATTATTATTATTATTAATTATATTATTATTATTATTATTATTATTATTATTATTATTATTATTATTATTATTATTATTATTATATAAGGATTAGTTAACAAGGGCAAAGTTGGAATAATTCAAGGTAATCTAAGATTACCTAAAAAAAATGGGGGTAATCACATTACCTTGAAACATTACCGCCACGTCAGCTTTCAGGTAATATAACATTACCAGGTAATCTTATAACTTGAACCAAACAAGGTAATATAACATTACCAGACTCAGATTACCTAGGTAATCTAAGATGACCTGAACCAAACGCCCCCTTAAATCAAAACCTAAAGATTTTTTTTTTCTTTAAAAGTATTACACTTTCTCATATAAGTAATACACATTTTATTTTTGATTAGTATTACATTTTTTCGTATAAGTATTATATTTCATCTTAACCCAACCAGTTTCACACAAGTTCTTACCCCAAAATATTACTCCATGTTTGCTTAAATAAAAATTTATTTACCTACAAGTTGAGGGACCACATATGAGAGATCATTAAAGAAGCATAAGTGCAAAACTACAAATTTTCTTTAAATTAATTTTTATTTTGCTTATAGCAGTTGGTATCCTTAACAAATCTAAATTACGTTCAAGCCAGAAGTCGTTGCAAGTACATTTTTGACTCGAATGATGAAAAATTAAGTCTTCTAAGCATTAAGCTTTACATAATTAGTTTTAATGTATTAATGGTGGAGATTGATTATTCCCTAAAATAATAAAAAAGAAAACGGACATGCTCACACTTTTACCAACAATACACAAACAACATTTTTCAATTCTACTTATAGAATTAAGTTACTACAAACATCTACCCAAAATATGATACAATTATATTAATACTGTTCTACGACATGGAACTCCCAAATTTTATTTTCTTGAGTGATGAGCACGAATAAGTAACTTTTTTTTTTTTTTCATGTGAGTCTCAATACAAATGTTTATATCAAGATTTTGTGCGTGGAGTAAAAGTTGAGAGTAGAAAATAAGAGTATACATATGAGGTGTTTGGTAAATGACTGTTAGTTTATTGAGTTAGTGAGTTTGACAAGATTATAGCATTAGCTGATTGTAGAAAATTTTTTGGTAAATTAGTTGATATCTGATAGTTTATTACTACAAGATGAGTTTCTCAAAAAACTTATCGAAAAAGCTATTTTAAGTAGTTTTTTAAATTTTAATATTTTAAAGCAATAAGTTGTTATAAAAAATTAATTAATTAAATACTTGTATTGATTGTTTAACCAAGTCAAATGACTAATAATGGTCAAATAAATCTTATAAATTAACTATTTGTCTCAAACAATTAATAAAATTAAGAGCCTTAGCTTATTGCCTTGTTGAAATTAAACTACTTTCCCTGATTTTTTAAAAATATATAATAAAATCCTTCCATTATCTGCTGCTGCAAGTGAAGCCAAATCAACAGGAAAATGTAGTCATTTCTTATCTCTATCTGTCATTCGTCATTTCTCCGCAGCACCCATGCAAAGACATGACAACATCTCTAAAACTCCTTCCATTTCACATTCTCCAACATATCACTCCCCCTTCCAATTTTCCTCTACCCATTTTCCAAACACTTCTCAATTTTCCACATCATTGCATCATACTTTTTTCTTTTTTCTATTTAAGCAATAATTTTAATTAATTATAAATATTTTTGAAAATTTTTACATACAAAAGAATAAGAACAAACATACTTGCAAAAATTTAAATCATATAAAATAGGGAAATCACTATTTTGGTTCTTTAATTGTTTCTTAACTGTTAATATAGTTCATAGTTTTTAATTTTAATTAATTTGATGCTTGAGTTGTTAAAATTTCGTCTATTAAACCATTCGAGGATCAAATTGACAAAATTTTTAAAATGGAAACAATCGTCATTTTGATCCTTCGAAATGTTTAATTGACAAAATTTTATACAATTCGAAGATCAAACTAAGGTGTGTTTGGAAACCCCCAAAATTATTTTTTGAATTTTCTGTGCTTTGAAGATACTGGAAAATCAAAATTAACGGTAATCATTTTCCAATCAAATGAAAAACAGTGTTATTTTGGAGAAAATAACTTCTACTATACTAAAATTTAGCAGAAGAAGTTATGTGGAGCACAACCTTAATCTGGTTTCCTATATCGACGAGCACAACTTTAATCTAGTTTCAACAAGAACAGCGTGCTATGGTTTTCAGCAGAAACCTGAGTTTTTTTTTTTTTTTTTTTTTTTTTATAAATACATTATTTTTAGTATTATTATAAATATTTTTTATATTTTAAATAAAATAATTAAATTAAATATAATTCTACTCATTTTTCAGGAAATGGACAACAGAGGGCCGAATTTTAGATTTTTGTGGCCCTGTTCTGGTAAATAACTGAGGCCCTCCAAAATCATGATTTTTAAAACTAACATATACGAGTTTCGAACCTTTGACCTCTAAGTTAAAAGACAATAAATACATATTTCAACCATCTCTTCATAGAACCTTTTAAGATTAATTGTAAACTTTTAATTTTTATTTCTAAACTAGCTAGGTAAATATTAAATATTGGGCCTCTAAAATTTGGGGCCCCTCTAAAATTGGGGGCCCTGTGCGGTAGCCCAGCTTGCACAGCCTAAAATCCGGCCCTGATGGACAACACCTCAATATAGTCTTCCAAAACCAAATACTAAAAAAGAAAATGACTCATTTCAAACCATCCAACCAGTACATTAATTTGTTTTAGGGTTTAAATTTAAATGCAAATATTCAAACTAGCAAAAAGATAACCATTCCGAGCCATAAATCTAAGTTACTAGACATAGCCAAAAGTATATACTTTTAAGATACAAACTCGATCAAGACTTGAAAAGTCAAGCTAATTAAACTAGCAAAACCCAATACTAGCTTATCCACGGCCAAATTAAACTTGGGCGCATTTTAGTAGGGTGGCGGAGCTTGTCTAGCCGTTGGCGCCCATATCACATCCGACGCCATTTGACAGTTAAACGTCGACGATAGCCCGCGCGGCTCCGTAGCGCCGCCGCTCTCCTCCCCGCCGGAAGACTGGAGGCCGCTCTCATTTCCTCCACCACAATTCTTGCCCTCCTCATCCACCGGCAGCCTGTGATGCAAAGGATTGTTAAAGGTGGCGGCGATCAGGTACACCGGCCCGGCCGTGGTCAACGGTCCAACCACCGGCCCACCCACCACCTGCCCCTGCGGTCCGGCTAATGCTATCGTGAAATCTTCGGGTCTCGAAGTTACGCCAGAAAAATTCACGTTTGGGTTCAGAATCGTAGCGGAAATAGACAGAATATCGAAACGGCCATGGAAGATAATGTTGGGACCGGGCGCGGTGGAGGGCTGCCGGAGAGTGACGTCGGAAACCGTACCCGACCCGCTCAGGACACAAAGCCCCATATCCCGCTTCCGGCAAAACCTAGTAACGGAACCGATCAAGTCAACCCCGCCGGGTAATTCGAGTACGTAAGGGCTCATGGAAGGCCCGGCGTCAAGAGTTATCACCACCGGCGGCTTGGGCTTGTTCTTCGACCCCGGCGGCCGCCCGCGGGGGCGCCGGGAAATCTCGATGCTGGCCCCGTCGTTAACACAACTAGGCGTCCCACCCACAGCCGAAATCGGTTGCGGGGCCACCACGACTTCACTGTTCTTACAGTTGTCACCTTCTTCGGAAGATTTCAATTCCAGCCCACCGGCGGCGTCTTGGAAAGCGTTTTCCGGCTGAAGCTGCCGGAGGTGGTAGTGGTGGCTTTGGAACTTGTGGCTGCTTTGATCGAGCTTTGCAAACATACCTTTCTTTCCTTGTATATATTCCGGTTTCATTCCTTAAACTCTTCTTTCTCTCTCTATATCACTATATATAGATACACACACACACACAAATATAATATAATACTAATACTAATAATAAAGGCAGATAAGGAAACGGATCAAGAGAGAGAAAATATGGATGGGATGATGGAAGGAAGTAGGCAGGAAGATGAAATGAGTTTATGAGGAAATTTTCTGGGTTCGAGAAGAAGGGTAAAACCGTAAATGCGCGAGTATGGAATATGTGAGGGAGATGGATTTTGGCAGAGACGGACACGTGGAAGCGCTTGGAAGCCAGGTAGTCTGACAGCGTCGTTGGTTAGTGTGCCCGCTTGCGTGTTGGGCCGGACTACGTGCTGGCCCAAGTCCAGAATGAAGCCCATATCTCCATTAAGTGAAACGGCCCAGTCTATAAGTTGTTATACCATGGATCAAGGTCCGTCTTGGTCTTAAATGACGTATAAATGATGTATTTTTAGTATTATAATTGTGAACTTTTAGAATATATAAATTCTGTTTCTAAGTCAAAACACATAATAATAGCTGTAAAAAGAAATTATATGATCATTAAATCTTAATATGTTAATATTGTGTGACTGCAATATTTGAAAGGAAATCAATTACATATATGTTAATATTATGTTCTTAATATACAAATTATGAATTTTTAAAAGGTAAATTTTAAATATTTAGATCTCAATTTATCTTGTAAGGTGAACTCGGATTCACATAATAATTTGCGCTACTCTAGTGTACTAGTGCGTTGGGGATTGCTATAAGTTAGAAATGGGCTTTTAAGACATCTATGAAAAAATAGGCTTTAAAAGTTGTTCAAAATATCAGGGCCCATATGGTTTTAATGTGATCCGACTTGGGTCAGACTGTTACTACTGACATTGATGTTATCCAAAATCAGGGAAAATATTGTATTATTCTCATTTTCCCTAGGTAAATCAAGACAAATCTTATTAATAAAGAGTAAAAAATGAAGTGTAATAGGGTTCCGAATTGCACATCAAATGATAATGAAAATCAAGCCCGGGCAAAAAGACTGACTATCCATTTTTAATAATGATAAATGAGGACGAGAGATCTGATCTTGTGGTTGTCTTTGGCTGGTTTAGTGTCTTTGTTTGAGGAGTGATTAATTGTTCTGAAGTTAGTTCATTTAAATTTTCATGACGCCTTTTTCACAAAACAAAAGAAAGATGTTGGACAATTTTTTACCATTTTTTGGGAAGGATTGTACCAACCTAATCAATATAATGTGTAACTAATTAGCATGTTTCATGAATTTAGTTTCGTGTAAATTAGTTGAAGGCATTTTATCTGTAAAAGATTTACAAATTTATATTCGATACATCAAATCACTTTGCAATTCCTTCGTTAGTTTCTCTATTTCCGTTTCATACATTTCTCTTCATTTATGTTGAGTGACTAATGACTTCCAAGTCAACAAATTAACACATAATACCCAACTTATAGTAGAAAAATGTTTACAAGCCCGGGGAAGGTCATGGGTGCTTAGAGCATCTTCAATACTTGTAGTTTTTTAGAAGTTTTTGCATGTGTGATTAAAAAATAAAAGATGGGAGGGGAGGGAAAAAGAATAAAAAATAAAAAATAAAAAAGAGCAAAATTTGAAAAAGTAATATAATTAAAAACAAAAAAGTAAAGATTTACGCGCTTGATTAGGCGCGAGATTTGTGGCTCAGCTCACGCGAGGTAGCGCAACTTTTCCTTCTTTTTTGGTGGGCCTACACATCTGACAAAAATCAACTCTTTCAAATCAAATCTCACTTATTCTCTCTCATCTCCCTTTCTCCTTCACATAAGTTTGGCCTCTTCAAAAAATTCTCCAAAAATTATTGATGGAAATGCAATTAGGCAACATTAAAGATTGTCTGACCCAAATTTATGCAACATTTTAATAATTATATTTTTTTTTTCTTCTAGAGAAAATCGAGAATTGGTTTTCAATTTTCTGACAGAAAAGGGAAAAGTGTCAAATAGCCCCATCTACTATGGCGAAGTGTTCAATTCCACCCACGAACTAAAATATAGTGTAATCAGCCCAATTAACTTTCTAAATTTGTTCGTTTAGCCTGTTTCGCAGGTAACCACCCCATTGCTGATGATGTGTTCCGGTTAAGCTTATGTGTCTTGTTGACATGGCAAAGAATAACAAAAAATAAAAAACATGTGGCAAAAACTAACAAACACATCATTCATCTCCCTGAAATTGCCCCTGAAATCCCCAATTCATACTTCTTCAACCCTAGCGCGGAGAAATTAGTTTCCAAATATCCAATCCCCAATTCGAATACTAGAGGACATTGACGACATAGAAGACATCGACGCTGGTGGAGAACATTGACGATATAGAAGACCTCCGTGGTACACAATCCCGTCGACGCCATTGACGAGCACGAAGGTAAGTTTTTTTTTGCTAACCCGTACACTCTGTATGTTTTGCCAACTATTCGGTTTTCAGGGGTTCTTGTTGCTTTGCTTTTCTCTTGTTGCTTTGCTGTTATATAAAGTGGTAAATAGTTGAAGTGGTCCTATTTTGTTTTTTGAAAAAGAAAGATGCTTGTTGTTGTGTGTGGTCCAGACAATCCGTAGGAAACTGTAATGTGGTCCTGTGGGGGTCCTACAAAACACTACTCTTTAATGGTTTGGTTGTTGTGCTTTTGAGATTGTGTATTTAATATTTGTAACAGATTGTGCTTTTGTGCTTTTGAGATTGTGAAACAGATTAGTTTTGTCTGCTTGTGATTTTTATATTGTGCATTTACTTATTATATTTCAGGATGTCAGATTGTATTGAATTACTTATTCACCATGGTGGTAACTTTGTAAAAACCCCTAGCCTTAAGTATGTAGGTGGAGAATTAGAAAGTGTTAAAGTTGACCCAGACTTGGTATGCTATCCACATCTTATGAAGTACATAAAAGAGCAAAGATATGGAAACATTGTATCAATAACATACAAACTACCTGAAGAATCTTTTAAGTGTTTGAAGCTGTTAAATAATGATGCAAGCAGTCTGCACTTAGTTCAGATTACTTTGAAGGGTAAGAAATGTGAAATATATGTTGAACATGGCTTAGATGATCCAGAACTGGTTTCCATTATGACTTTGCCTTGCCCTGAAACTGTAGAATCACAAACGGATAATAGAGCCAAATCTGGTTGTTTGAGTGATATTGAAATAGACTTGGATGGGTTTGAATTTGGTAGTGAGGGTGATGTTGGGGCAGAAATAAGAGGGGAGGTAGGGGTTGAATTTGGTAGTGAGGGTGATGTTGTGCCAGAAATAAGAGGGGATGATGGAGCTGCATTAGGAGGGGATGATGGGGCTGAATTTGAAGGGGATGATGGGGCTGAAAGTGATGGACAAGTAGGGTCAGACTTTGCAACTGAAGATGAGGCAGAAAGTGATGGACAAATTGATGAAATGCCTAATGTTGGGCCTGATTGTGGGGCTGTTGGTGGGGCAGAAACTGTGGGTGTGGGTGCTGATGAGCATGAGGGGAATGGTTCTGTGTACTATGATTCTGATGATCCACCATCCATTCAAGAAGAGAATGAGAATGATGTAGGTGAAGAGGCCCAATCCAGTAGTCTGAAATCTAGATATCCAATATATAATTCAAAGTCTGATCCACCTCATATTGAGTTAGGTATGCTATTTGATGATAATGTGCAATTTAAAAATGCAATGATTAGTTATGCTGTGCACAATAAAAGAGATATATATTGGAAAAAGAATGAAGCTAAATATGTAAGGACTGAGTGTAAAGGAGAGGGGTGTCCATTCTACTGTAGTGCAGGGTGGGAAGATAGATACAAATGCTTTCAAGTAAAGTCAATCAATCTAGTCCATAGATGCAATTCAAAGTACAAGCTAAGAGTTGTGAGTCAGAAGTGGCTTGTAGATAAATTAGAGGACAAAGTGAGGAAGGATCCTTGCATTGGCTTTACTCAATTGAAGAATGACATACAGGCTGATTTAAAGCTCAATATCTCAATAAGCATGGCTAGAAGGACTCTCCAAGGAATTATAAAGAAATTGGATGCAGGATATGAAGGGCAGTTTAAAAGATTAAGAGATTATGCTGAAGAATGTCTGAACTCCAATCCAGGTAGCACTGTTAAAATATAAACAACTAGGGTTGTTCCTAATGCTCCATCTGTTTTTCAGAGAATATATGTGTGTTTTGCTGCTGTTAAAAAAGGGTTTTTAGAAGGTTGTAGGAAGGTGATTGGGCTAGATGGGTGTTTCTTGAAGGGTATGTTGAAGGGGGAGATTTTAACTGCTGTTGGGAGGGATGGAAACAACCAGATGTATCCTATTGCTTGGGCTGTTGTTGAGATCGAGAATAATTCATCTTGGAAATGGTTTCTAGAGTTGTTGAAGTCAGATCTAGGGATGTGGGACAGCAGTGATTGGACAATTATGAGTGATCAACAAAATGTATTCTATATTAGAGATGAATTCAGATTTGTATAAGTTAATTTACTACTTAATTTACTGGTTGTTGCCTATAATTGATTGTGTCTTCTATTTTGCAGGGTCTAAGTAAAATAATTGCAGATTTATTTCCTGGGATTGAGCATAGGAATTGTGCAAGGCATGTCCATGCTAACTGGAGTAAAAGTCATAGAGGCAAGGTTATGAAAAAACACTTCTGGCAGATTGCTAAGGCTACCACTGAAGCGCAACTTGAAGAAGAACTCAAGGCATTAGAGAAGATAGACATCAAAGCAAGGAAAGACTTGGACAAATACCCAATGAAGATGTGGTGTAAAGCCTTTTTTAGAACAGAGGTTAAGTGTGACATTGTGGACAATAACCTATCAGAAGCCTTCAACAGCACACTCTTAAAGGCTAGGTCAAAACCAATAGTTTCAATGTTAGAAGACATTAGAGTTGGAATGATGAAGAGGATTGCTGCAAAGAAGTCTTCTGTTGAAAAGTGGAATGGGCAATTTGGGTCCTTTATAATGAAGAAATTAAATGATAACATTCTTGAGAGTGTTGGATGGGAGGTTGATTTCAATGGTGATGATGGATATGAGATAAAGAAGGGGAAGCATCAGTTTAAGGTCAGCATTCAAAGGAGGAGTTGTTCTTGCAGGTCTTGGGATCTCACTGGTATCCCATGTGCACATGCAATTTGTGCTATTTTTGACCAAGGAAAACAACCAGAACAGTTTGTGCATGATTGGTACTCTAAGGCTGTGTACATCAGAACATATTCACATGTGATGCAACCCATAAATGGTGAGATCTTTTGGCCAAAAACTCATAATGAGAAGCTACATGCACCTGCCCCAAGAAGATGACTGGAAGGCCTAAGAAAAAAAGAAAGCTAGAGGAATCAGAACCTAGGCCTTCACAGTCCACTACTCAGTTGTCCAGAAAAGGAAGAGTTATGACTTGTGCACTGTGTAAGCAAAAGGGACACAACAAACGTAATTGTCATACTCAACCAAGGCAGACTGGCAGTTCAAATGCAAGAGGAGGGAGTTCTAATATAGCTGCTGTACGAGGAGGAAGTTCAAATGCAAGAGGAAGACAAGTTGGCCTTGGTATATATACAAACCCACACACTGGAGAAGTCACACTAAATGTAAGGAATCATGTAGACTAATTTACTTGCACTATTGTTATCTTACTTTGTAGATAATTAACATCTTGTTTTATTTTTGTATAGCGTGGACTACCAAGTCAACGACTCATATATAAACCTAGAAGGGGGAGGACCAATACACCTAGCACAGGTAGCATTGCCAACAGTTCAAGTGGAGGGAATTAACTCTGATGTATTTATCATAGTAGCTGCATTTTGCTAAGCCTTGTAACTGTTAGTATTAGTAATATATTTTGGTAAACAAGGCAGTATGTTTGGCAGTATGTTTGTGTAGACAATGCTGAATTTTTTGGCAACTCTAACTTTTAGTGGTAATGCATTAATGCAGTATGTTTTGTTTGGAAATTTGGCAGTGTTATTTACAAGTTTGGCAGTGTTTTTGTAGTATGAATTATTGCATTAATGCAGTAAATTTGGCAGTGTTTTCGTTTGGCCATAATCAAGGGAATAATGCTCACTGCTACTGGCCATAATCACACAATTCAATCTCTAAGCAAACATATACAGATAATCAGATATAGATATAGTGCTCTCTACTCTCCATTCCAGGAAAACATAATCTATTGATAGCAAATAACAATTCTCAGTACAGATCAACCTGCAATTAATCGGCCTCAAAGGAATATTTTCACAACTATATCATGGCAAGAAAAGATTGAATCTTGAATCAAGTTTCAAACCCAAAAATCACACAAGAATGATAGTGACTAGTACCAGCAAACACAATAAAAAAGATAGGCAAAACAGAAAAAAAAAGGTTGCCCTTTTGCATCCTGAAATCAAGCTTTATTTCAAATTTTTTAGTACCCTAAGCACAACATGCTAAATATTTGCAGAGTGACATTATATTCAATAACAACTACAACATTATCTTAACTAGGGATTACAAGATTCACTACAACATAAGCTTCACTAATACTAACACCATTACTAAAGAAATCAAAAAACACTTTTTCTTTGCATCTTTTTTCTCCTTCAATTTCCTCCTCTGCACTTCACTCTCAACTATTGCACGTAGAACACCTATTTCATTCATCAAATCAGCCCTCATGCTTGCAACCATTTTCTTCAATTCGTCCATTCCACTTGCGTTTTCAGATTCTTTCCATACGAAAAAACCGCACCCAAGACCCTCCTGAACAAATTTTTTTATAAAATCTCAATCCAAAAATAACAACAATCTATAAAATTATGGATATAAACGCACCTTCCACCTTTGACATCCATAAAATTTCTTCCCAGATTCTCGGGTTGTGCAGATTGGAGCCTTCAATCCACACCTACAGAATATAGGAGGCTCATACTCCAAGTTCGTCCGCACACTAGATGAAGTCGATGATGATGACATTATACAGTTGAAGCTAGAGTTTGAAGACGAAACCCAGCTATGTTGACATTGTACGGACGAAACCCAGCTTGTTAGGCTTGAACACGAAACCACGGCGAAGTCAGATGGAGAATCGCGAATGATATGGAGAACGAATGGAGAACAATTTTGGTCCAATAATAATATGAAGAAGAGAAGGACGTGGCTCTAGGGTTTGCTAATATTCCATGTCATATTAATGAATATATCCACGTCAACCAGCAGTGAGGGGGAACCGGGTGGCTACCTGCGAAACAGGCTAAACGAACAAATTTAGAAAGTTAATTGGGCTGATTACACTATATTTTAGTTCGTGGGTGGAATTGAACACTTTGCCATAGTAGATGGGGCTATTTGACACTTTTCCCGACAGAAAATCTTATATATATACCACTAAATTACAAAGTTTTTGTCGGTAAGAAAAGCACTTTTGAACTATGACGTCCAACAAGGCAGTCAATATATGTATTTATAATTGGGAAGAATATATGTGTTTATAACGTGAAGATAACGAAAATAGACATCATAGGATCATAAATCCTTTGAAAATTATCTGTATTATAATTGTAATTGTGAAATGTGATAAGCATAAAGCATGTAGTATATATACGTGATGCGTCACAGTCATAACAGCCAACAGCTTTGGCCGCCCTATCTGTACGGCCATGTTGCCGTCCACATAATATGGCAAACAAAATTGCACTCTCCAGTCTCCCACCATTATTATACAAATTTTGATTTACGAACAAAACTTGCCATCTATATTTAAAATTGTACACAAGTAAAACCTACTTTATAATCATAGCTGATAAATAACTATAAAAATGTAAATTAACTTAAATTATTCATAACTAATTCACTCAAGTTAAGAAGACTAATAAATTAAATAATTTTCTGGAAGAGTTAAATAACTAATTCACTCAAGTCATAGGTGTGCTAATTTTATAGGTGGTGTAAATAAAATAACTTGTTATTTGCACCACCTTCATTAAAGTTACTCAAACATTATGTTTTTAAATTAAATAATTATTTAAAACTTAAAATATTAAAACATTTAAAAAAAAAAAAAAAAAAAAAAAACTCACCATCTCCCGTGAGAAGGCCAGGGGCTACCTTTTCACCGATGAGAAGACAGCCCACTGCCGAGGATTTTTTTTTTTAAATAATATTTTATTTTTAAAATTTTTAATTAAAAAATTATTATTAGAATCTCGTAAATTACATTTGACTAGATTTGTGTAAATAGTCATATTTACATCATTATTGTTATTTACACCACTTATGTAATTGTTAAAAATTTTCCACCTTTTTACAATTCCCAAGTTATTATTTACACTCACTTTTCATAAGAGGGTAGTACAAATAGCAACACCGCCTAGGGATGACAATGGGTCAGAGAGGGCTACATCCATCACCCGGCCCACCTTATATTTTCTCCACCTACCCCCATCTCCAGCCCGCATCGGGTGGACTTTTTCAAAATCCACTCAACCCCCATTGGGTGCGGGTGCTCACTATGCGTACCCACCACTTATAATCTCATTATTATTTTTCAGAAAATAATATTTAAATTACCTACACATAATAAAATAATGAAATTCATTAGTTATATAAAACATCAAATAATATAAATATTTAAATATAATAACTAAATTGTTAATTTTTAAAAATAAACTTAGTAATTTAGTATAAAAATAGTAAAAATTTACATTAAGTTATAAAAATTTTTATAAATAACTACATGGTGGATCGGATGAAATTCTAGGCGGGTTTTGCACATAGAACCCGAATCCAATCTGATCCACCGCGAATTTACTTTTTTTAAGACCCATCACCCACTACCACCTAAAAAAATTCAATCCATGCAGGGTGAATTCCGGCGAATATCCACAGGCCAGATTGAAATTGCCATCCCTAGCCAACCCCCTATGAAAACTACTACACAAACTGATATCAACTACTCCGCTAAGGGGTGAATTAATGCATGTATATATGCACGTTGCACTTCTTTCCAACCGTCAGATAAATACATCCTACGGACAATAACACAACAACAAATGCTATTCTTATGTGTTTATACTTAGGTTAATTATTGCTCCCCCAAATACAACATATACACATACAGTACATCTTATCCGGAAACCTGCCCTCTATCTTCATATTTGATGTTTTTGGCTGTTCATTGATTATTTTGTCAAATCCATAATAAATTGCTAGTAAATAGGTTATACAGAGCATCTTCATCCGCTCTAATTTTTTCACGATTTTTTATGATCCAATTAGGAGATGAGGAAGGTGAGGAAAAAAAGAAAAGAAAAAAAATACAAATCTGACACGCAAATAGAAAAAGAAAAAGAAAAAACAGAAGCAATTACGTGTCAGGATGCGCGAATAGGCGCGCCTCTCTCCCCACGTGGGCTCCACTTACTCGGTCTAAAAACTCATATTCTTGCAAAGACTCAATCCATTATCTCTCCTCCACCTCAACCTTGTTTCATCAAAAATTCTACTAAAAATCATTATTGTGAATGCTTTTAGTGATGAAATATAGTACGTGTATAAATCATAATATATCGAGCAATATATTTATTTCTCCATGTACATATATTATTAAGTAAATTCCTCAGTATTGGGAAAATATGGTATTTGTATATATATCCACATAAGGTGGAGGTTTTCATAATTTTGCTATATAAAGTAAAGCAGACTTTCCTTTTCTTGAGTCTTGACTACACTAGTGGTAATAAAAAATATATTATATTTCCCTCACAGTCTCTCTCACTGTCCACTTTCTCTCTCTTTCTACTTTGAGGGATAAAGAGTACTGAGTTTCCCAAAAGAGGGAAAAATAAAACTATCATTTCCATCCCCAGAAGGTGAAGGCATCCCATCACTCCCGAGAAGGCCACGCCCCCAGGCCAGTTATCCAAACACAAGAAAACAGCGAACTATTCACTCCCAGGTTCGCACGTTTGGTTACAACTATTGGTTAGATTCATTGTAAACTCCGATCTGTTCTGGGCATGGAGTGGGTGGGTACTGGGTAGGTGGGTGGGTGGGTGAATTTTTATATTTTTTTTTTCCTGTTCTTCTGGCTAGGGTTTCAGCAGACACTGCATTATTCTTGTAATCTTGTCTCCCATCCAGCTTTAGTGTAAGAATTTGTCTGATTTAAGCTCCGGTCGGATCTACGTTGTTGTTCTTGTTTTTTTGTAGTTTCCGAAGTTGACCGGAGATCGAGTTCGTTGCTAAGATTTTTAATTTGTTGGGTTTTGCAGATGGCGAGGGAGAAGATAAAGATAAAGAAGATCGATAACATAACGGCGCGGCAAGTGACTTTCTCGAAGAGGAGAAGAGGGCTTTTCAAGAAGGCGGAGGAGCTGGCGGTGCTGTGCGACGCCGACGTCGCTCTCATCATCTTCTCCGCCACCGGCAAGCTTTTCGAGTTCGCCAGCTCTAAGTAATTAATCATCATCATCATTTATTCCTTGCTATATATACTCAAGTATAAAGCTATATATATATGCCCTATATGACATACATATATCACTTCTTGTATGGTCATATCAATCATAGTTGTGAACTGATATATGCTTTCTTGAAATGGTAATAAATGTAAAAGGAAATGGAGATTTCAATTTAATTTGCAACAAAAAGAATATTATTATATTCGTGATAACATAATTTCTTTAGTATAGCAACAGTACATCGCTAGTTTTAATTAAAAATAAAAATGATTGTTGTATATGCTTAATTTATTTCGTGAATAATGGAATAACAAAAATATTTACTTTTTTTTCTCTCATAGCATGAAAGATATTCTTGGAAAGTATAAACTGCATTCGAGTAATCTCGACCAAGTAAATCAACCTTCTCTTGAACTTCAGGTATCACATATATCCTATAGGTTTATTCTATTTAAAGAAAAATCGTTTTACCACTTTAGTAGTGTTTACTTCAATTTTTCCGTTTTCGGATCCATTCTATGATATTTTATAGATTAGAGAGCCAATAATTCTATTATTACATATAATGTTTTATTATTAAATTTCCTAAAATATGTTTTGCTCAATTTAGCTAGAGAATAGCCTTCATATGAGATTAAGCAAGGAGGTTGCTGACAAGACTCATGAGCTTAGGTATAAATTACATATATATAATATATATACTTTAATTTTATGCCCAGTTTATTGTTCCTAAACATAATTAATTTCCATATATAATGCAATACCCAAATATATGCAAGGATTATATATCTAATTTGGTTAATTAAAGTTCATTAAAATGATTACAAACAGACAGATGAAGGGTGAGGAGCTTCAAGGATTAAGCTTAGAGGAACTACAAAAGTTGGAAAAAAAGCTTGAAAATGGACTAACACGTGTGCTGGAGACTAAGGTCTATTTGCTTGTTTAATTTTATTTGGAAATATAAACTAGTTCTTTGAATATATATATATAATATAATGCAGCTAACCTCAATTAGCTACAACTTATTTGTTTTAGGGTGAACGAGTTGTGACCGAGATTGCTACTCTTCAAAGGAAGGTTTGTTATATGCAACATAACTTATTTAGAACTTTAGTATTGATGACGGGTTTTGTGAAAATCTTAGGGTATTAATTAATTTTGGTACGTGAATATTATATGCATATAAAGTATTTAGAAGGGGAAGTAATAGTATATCGTGGTTAATCCCCGGCCCTAATATTATTAATCGCAAGAGTTTGGAGACTACAATATATACAATTGTTTGTAGGAAAATCTATAGACTAATGGTACAGTATATGATTAAAGTCGAGTTCAATGCAAAAAACTTTTATTTATTTTTTTGAATGCTACTGGTAAAACACAACTGTAATAAAGAGGCTCGAACTTACAATCTTCCAAATGAAAGTCCAACCTAGGTACCATTAGACCACATAGTCTTAGTAAAAAACTTCTATTTATATTACACTACGTAATAGTTAGCAGAATTTGAAGATCGAATTATTTGTTGGTGGATCAAGCAACCAAGCCGGACTAACATTTTTAACCAGAATCTTTCACCACTTGATGTGGCAATAAATAAGAGTTTTATTATTGCAGATGATTGAGGATTTTTGTGAAACATTTTGGTCCCGCTTTATCCTTAGCTTCATATGTAGTCATATGCTAAAGGTTCCCCATGCATTGGATGCATATATATGTTTAAGCATGCCGGCCTAACAAAGATGGGGTCAATTATGGACAACAAATGAATATACAAAGTGTGACAAGTTTAATTTAGTCACACATTATATTTTGCTAAATATAGTAACTTACACTATATTGACAATGATTTTATTCCTTGTTTAAATTCGTGCCATTTCTGCAGGGTGCAGAGCTGATGAACGAGAATAAACAACTGAAACAGAAAGTAATTAACACTAATTGTTTCATTATATTCTGTCACATATATCTTCTTCATCTGATCTTATATATATGGAGGTGGTGCTATTATATTATTCAACCAGCTTGATTGATAGTCATGTAACTTAACTATATATGCACAGATGGCCAGGATTAACGGTGAAAAATTCCCGGTTATTGCTGACGTGGAGGCAGGCTTGATACCAGAAGAAGGGCACTCGTCGGAGTCCATAACCACTAATGTCTGTAGTTGCAATAGCGGTCCGCTTCCCGAAGACGATTGCTCGGACACATCGCTGAAACTAGGGTATATATATGCTTGCCTTATTATACTATACTATACTATTGTATTGTTTGGATGGTTTTGTTATAAGATGTGTTGTTTGGCACTTATGTTGCTGATTGTTCATTTGCGTTGACCAGGCTACCCATTAACTAGCTGATGAATATACATATGCGGGCATAACATGGATGGCCTTGTGCTACGTACGTAAGCGTTGTTTTTATGTTTGGTTTCTTGTCGTTTTGATCTTAAATCGAATGTATGTTCATCGTATTCCATGTGTTGTGGAAGGCTTGTCGTTTGCTAACTGCTCGGACTTGTAATATAATGAGAAACTATGTTTCACTCTCTCATCTGATTTTATACTAGCTAGGCTTGTATTAGGTGCAACTATTGTGGTACATTATATATATATATATATATATATATATATATATATATATATATATATATATATATATATATAAAAGACTAATATGAACTTATGGGGTGTAGATCAGGTTTGACCCTTGGAAATGCAGCTATAGCTAGTTATTTTAGTAGGCACTTCACAAATAGGATTAGTCAATCTCGTATTTATTTTTTGTGATACTAATCAATATTGTGACCAATTAGTTGAGACTTAATTGTCAAGTCCTATTTGAGATAACACTCTTAAAGATTTGTATTTAAATGATTCAAATAACTTTCATTTGAGTTAATTAGCAACCACAGAAACTAATTTTTTTTTAGGTAAGACTTTAAAGGTAGTAAAACATTTTTTCATAAAATTTTAAGATAGTTGTATTTTCAAGGCTCAAATTTAATATTCATATCCTGACTTAATATTCAAGAAGTATATACAACTATTTGTTAATAGTAGTTATAGATTTTTTGTAAATAAAAATTAAGCTAGCATACAACTATTAAAAGTTTATTATAGGAAGTCAAAAGTCAAGCATGATAAGGTGTTGAGGAGAGATAAACATATTTCATGAACAAACATAGACCACACCATATTACATCGAGCCAACAACCTTTGAAAAGAGTAAAGAGGCATTGAGTTGATTCTACACATGAAGATTAATAGGGTGTTTAGTAAATAATTATTAGTTGATTGTAGAAACATGTTTGGTAAATTAGCTGATAATTGATTACATGTAAAATGATTTAAGAAGAACTCAATATCTCAGTTATTATAATTGGTTTGATTTCTCAATTTCTATTTGAACTAATAAATCTCACATAACCACCAAAGACTTTGTGGTCAAGCGATATGAAGTGACTCCCTTAAGTGAAATGTCATGTAACAGAGTCAATAGTACTCAAAAAAAAAAAAAAAAAACAATCTCACATAAGAAGTTTAAACATTGATTACCTGTGTTGTCAAAATATCACGCCGTTTTCTCAATTATTATTGTGTGGACCATAGTCCACACAAGTTGTATGGACCATATTTTGTATAGTGTAAAATAATGTACATTCAGTACAAAAATAATGTATATTGTATTCAAGGGATGTACATTATTTTGTACTAAGCGTATATTATATTGTATAATATACATACAATATAAAAATAATATACATTTATTATATTAAAAATATACTTTTTGTTATTGTCCACATAACATTGTATGAACCATGGTCTACACAATAATTTGTCCCGTTTTCTGGATACTGAATGAGACATAATCGGGCCGATCCCATGGCGAAGTATCAACATTGAGCCCATAAAGTCCATATGGACGGCCCTTCTTCAATGGGCTTCTTATCAATTAGCCTAAGCCCAACAATTGAAGTAAGAATTTAAAGTCCTGAAATAAAATAAAATAAAACAACAAATGAAATGAAATATTCTCTTCTTTCTGCTTCCGTCGATCGAACACACAATACTGTTCTTCAGTTCCAGATTCCATAGTGAAAGAAGAAAAGTTAGATAAAGAGCTTCTACATTTCAAGTTGGTAAAATTCTTGTGAGATTCATCGAAGAATCGGAATATTGGTAAGAGGACACCACCGACTACGACGACGACGGTTGACGAATGTCGGGTGGTAGCAGTTTCCGGCAGTCTAAACAGAGCCGAGGGAGATCAGCGTTTCCACATCCATTGCAATTAGGAGCGCTTTTGCTCATACTTTTACCCAATTTCTACCCCAGCCTCTTCTCTCCGCTAGGCCGGTCTTACCTTTCTCTATTTTCCGTATGCTCAATCTCTCTCTCTCTCAGCTTACTCATATATAACCGTTATTTTATTGGTCTTCTTTCAGTAGTTTTGCATTATGCAATTTATCCTGCATTAGTATAAAATTATTGTCTGGAAATGATAGAAAAAAGCAATTTTTTTAATGGGTAAGTCAGCAAAAATCAATTCTTTTTGTAGTTTTTATCTAGCAGTTATTTTTAGTGGCCGTCTTTCAGTAGTTTTGCATTATGCAGTTTATCCTGTATTGGTATAAAATTATTGTCTGGAAATGATAGTAAAAATCAATTTTTTATTTTATTTTTTATTATGGGTAAGTCTGAAAAAATCAATTCCTTTGGTAGTTTTTTTCCTTCTGTTCTGGTGAATGTAAGATAGTAACTTGCTATGGATCACTACTTGCCTCGGGAAGGCCACTATCTGATAGTTCAGGTTTTGGTTTCTTGAAAAAGTGTCCATTCACCACAAATTATCATTTCAATTCAGTAAGTAATGTAAGGTATGGCTGGGAAGTTGTTATTCAAGTGATTATGTTTTCTTCATGACTTAGAGGAAACATAAGTTGAGAACCTGCGAGAGTGGATTGGTTTAGGGTGTGTTTGGTTTGGACATGAGAATCTGAACCGGAATTGGAATCAAATATTTGGTAATTGGAATGAATTTTGGTGAAAATATTTTGCATGTTTGGTAATAGGGTGGAATTGGAATGATTACCAATATTGATGTTTGGTTATGTATGACCCTATAACCAGAATAAAGATTTTTAAAAATACAAAAAAAAAAAAAACAAAAAAAATCAAGGCAATTGATCTTAAGAGTGACGATGAGGTGAGTATGCAATGCAGTGAGGAAGTCGATGAAATGAGGAGTGATAAGACTGAATTAATGGAATGATACCTAATTTCAATTAGGTAATGGGTTTTGTAATTATAGGGGTAATCAAATCCTATACTTGTGTTTTAAAAAGTTGTCAAGACTTTCATTCCCAACCCTTGTGTCTAACCCCATGAACCAAACACACCCTTAGTTTCTCCTTTGAGACTCATCACTTACATTTGTTTCCTATGTAAGCCTTTCAAGACTGTATCGGTGAGTTTGTATGTATTAAAACATAAAATATTGGCACTAGATGTTGCTAAATCATTTGTGACTTGACCTATACTATATTTGGATAGAGGTTTAGTTGAGTTGAGTTGAGTTTTAGTTAATCATTCTTTTGCTTGTTTGCAAACCAACCAATTGTTGTTGGAAGATCATTTCATGCTTAGATTCTCCTATCTATTGTGCACAATTAGAGATAGATTTGCTTGTAGTTTCAGATGTTAAATGGTTCACACTGAATATTTTTCTTGAAAATTTTACAGTAATTACTTTGCTGGCTTTTATGCTGGAGTTTTATCTGATAACGTAGCTCATGCAACTGTAGGAATGGATTGCTCCAAGGCCAATGCACTTGCATTTACTAAATGGAGCTCTACAACATCCAAGTGTGAGTATATGTTTCTTCTTTTTTCTTTTTTTTTTTTAATGCCTTGAAATTTATTTATGAACATTTTCATAAATGTTGTTTACTGACTTAACCATGTAGTCTGATGAACAAGAATCTGATCTGTGGTCTCCTTTGCCTAATCAAGGAAGGAAGCCTTGTGCTTCTCCAAATAACCCTTGTGAGTATTTGCGATGACCAAGTGTCTTGATCGCATATCTTGTTCTTACTTTGCCAGTGCAACCCTCGGGAATAACCTAACTCTGTTTAGTTGAATTTCTTTTGCTTTGGCTTCCTATGCAACTCTATAGCTTTGCCAAAGAAGCCTCAGGGATATATACAGGTGTTTCTTGATGGGGGTTTGAACCAGCAGAGAATGGGGGTACGCAACTTTGAGTTTGGCATTTATACATGCATGCATTCACACACTAGACAACATTCTGAAGAGTGTTACTTTAGAGACTAGAATTCGTATATGGAGCTGTTGGGGGACCTCATGATTGATTTACTAAAAGTTTTCCCCTTCTACTGTCCAAAGATTTGTGATGCGGTAGCTGTGGCAAAAATTTTAAATGCGACCCTCATAATTCCTTACCTTGACGTAAATGCTGTGTGGCAAGACACAAGGTCAGGAATGCCTATACTCTTTCACTCTCCATTTTCTAATCTAAATTTTCTTTTTAATAACAAGTAATTGTTTTCTTTTTTCTTTCTCCGTATAGTTCATTTGAGGATATATTTGATATTGATCATTTTATCCAAACATTGAGGGATGATGTCTCCATAATTAAAGAGCTTCCAAGTGATTTCTCATGGAGCACCAGGGAGTACTATGCAACAGGCATACGTCAAACTAGAATCAAAACAGCACCTGTCCATGCTTCTGCTACTTGGTATCTGGAAAATGTTTTGCCAGTAATGCAGAGGTTTGTTCATACATAATGTGATTGCCACAAAATGAAAGGATCCTTTTCTCTTCATTAAACCTTATATGCATTAGCAAACTTCCTAGTTTTTATACAATTTTTGTTATTTTTTTTTTTTGTTTTGCTATTCTAGTCATGGGATTGTCGCTGTAGCTCCGTTCTCTCATCGCTTGACTTTTGATGGCTTGCCTTCAGACATCCAGCATCTACGTTGCAAAGTTAACTTTCAGGCACTGGTTTATGTTCCACATATCAGGACATTAGGGGATTTAATTGTCAGTCGCTTGAGAAGCTCTCCTAGCATGGATGGAACATCAACTTCCATGCATCAACGAGGCAATGACAAACCAGGAGTTGGGAAATATGTTGTATTGCATCTTCGATTTGATAAAGTATGACTTCCTCTACCTCACTGACATGGTTTCATTTCTCAACTATAAAGAACAGAGGTAGAAAAAGGTCTTGAATTATGCACTTGCATTTGTTTCTGTTCATTCTCGCTTTTCAAAAACAAACATGTCGAGGAAACAATTGGTTTACATTAATTTCATTTGGAGATTATATAGAGATAAGTAGCAGACATGCAGATCAAGGCTGACAATTTTGAGAAACTGTTAAATTATCATAAGCACTATAAGCCAAGCACCTTGTGCTCAGATGGCACCCGGGTTGGACTCCCATATGGGAGGTTGTGAGTTCGAGCCTCAGTGGAGGCGTTATTGACTCTTTGTGCTTCAGTAGGTTGAGAAAGTAGCTATGAACAGATACTACATTGTAATAGAGTCAGTAGCACTCAAAAAAAAAAAAAAAATCATAAGCACTATAAAAGAAACTGTTTTTTGTGTACTTTACTGGCCTATAAGCACAATTGTACATATACTTGACTATTTGCAATATAACTGAGTCATTGGAGTTTATTACACTTTTTTTTTCTTTTTTCTTTTTCTTTTTTTTGTTACGGTGTCCAAATTTGTTGGTTTTGTCCTTGAACAGGATATGGCAGCCCACTCAGCTTGTTATTTCGGTGGAGGTAAGGCTGAGAAGCTTGCTCTTGCAAAATATCGCCAAGTACTTTGGCAAGGAAGAGTGATGAAGTCTCAATTCACTGATGAGGAATTAAGAAAGGAAGGGCGTTGCCCATTGACTCCCGAAGAGATTGGACTCCTGTTGGCTGCCTTGGGTTTCGACAACAGTACACGTCTTTATCTTGCTTCCCATAAGGTTATTATTGCCTCTTCCTCAATCATGCTTTAAATGTTACTACTAGTTACTACTCGGTCTTCTTGACCCTCCTCATTCTCATCGTTCACCTGAAATATATAGATGCTTTTTTCGATCTTCCCAGGTTTATGGTGGAGAAGCAAGGATCTCTACACTTCTTCGTTTGTTCCCGCTAATGGAGGATAAAAGGAGCCTTGCATCTCCAGAGGAACTAGCTAGGGTTGAAGGAAAAGCTTCTTTATTATCTGCTGTGGATTATCATGTGAGCATGCAGAGCGACATCTTCATTTCTGCTTCTCCCGGCAATATGCACAATGCATTGGTAAGACTATATATTCTTGTCTTAATTGCATAAATATTCAATATAGTTTTGTTACTGAGCTTTCATAATCTCTTCCCGGGACTGCAATTAAGTGACACTGTGACAATGTCCTTAGGTGGGGCATCGAGCATTTATGAACCTGAAGACCATTAGACCGAACTTGAGACTTCTGGGCAAACTCTTCATAAATGAGAGCATGCAGTGGTCAAAGTTCCGCCAAGCAGTACTGCATGGTCACAGGAACAGACAAGGGCAACTGCTGATACGCAAAGCAAACCAATCGATATACACTTATCCTGCTCTCGATTGCATGTGCCCTGCTTAAACAATCCCTTGGAGGAGAAAGCGGTTTTCTTGATCACAATACTCTCAAGTAGTGTAGATATGCATACGTTTATTGGGCTCTAATTTTGACTTTCAAGTTTATTTGATCATGAGCCTAAAACAGCTGTAAGAACGAATAAAGCTTGAATGGCAAGAGAATTTCATTTGTTATTGCCAACTTGTATTCTTTTAGATGACAACCTCACCTCAGTGTTTGTTATGGACTGAGGTTTTTTCCTTTGAATTTGAAAATGCTGCCTTTTCTTTTGGGTATCATTACAGGATGATGTCTGGTTCTCACAACTTGGAAATGAAACCAACCAACTTGAAGATATTTGTATGATGATTTTGTAACACTAATGATCATATTTTCTATAATACTGTTAGAAAAACCCGCAGCCACTACCCAAGAGTGTGCACAGGATAAACGTTGTCTTTTGATCTTAGTTGGTATTTGACAAAGGAATAAAATGAGGTAAACCAACAAAAAGGCCAATAGATTATTTTCGAGGGAGTCGAAATGTCGAACTTGTAACTGTATTTACTAACTCAACCGACTATTAGCATTAATGTTAATAGTACTCAATATAATAAAGTATATCACATATGATATGGGTGTGTTTGGTTCATAGGTTTACACACTATGGATGGGAATCAAAATTATAGTTAGTATTTTGTTGACAGCTTTTTAAAACACACTATGGAGTTTGATTACCCCTCCAATTAAAAATTTCATTATTTATTAAGTTTTGATTTTTTTGTTCATATTGATGTTTTTGATGTCATTATATTAGGATCAATTGTCTTGTTTTTTTTTTTTTTTTTTTTTTTTTTTTTTTTTTTTTTTTTTTTTTTACATTTGTTTCCATTATAGGGTCATACACAACCAAACATCAATCTTGGTAATCATTCCAATTCTACTTTACTACTAAACATGCAAAATACTTTAATCAAAATCAATTACCATTACTAAGTATTTGATTCTCATTCCAATTTCAATTTCATGTGCGAACTAAACACACCCTATGAGTATTATTAACACCAATGTCAACCCGCGTCATAAAAATCTCTTATTATATACTGTGGGAGAGATAATGAGACAAATGAAAGAAAATGGATTATAAGACATGCAAGCCTCAATTTCTTCTCTTACTTACCAATGTTGACAACCATATAATTAGTTAATATAGGTGCCTACTTAGTGCCTGCCTAAATATATGCAACAAATCCCTGTTTTGACCAAGTATATATCCATCCACCCCTCATCCTCCATGTTCCCTAAACAAATAATTTTTTATTCTTTCTTTTCCAGTTTTCCGCCTTCACAGAAATGCAGAATCACAACAAATCTTTGATTCTTTTTATATTTTAGGTATTTACAAAAACCTTTTATACTTTGCTTTCTATAAATGAATTAATACCATAAAAGTTCAGAGAGGAGAAAAGCAAGTGTGCATCCGAGCCCCTGATAGATGATTAAAACTTTGGCAGAAAGTTGAAGAGGAAAAGAGAAATGTTGCAGAGAGCAGCAAAAAATGCATATTCATGGTGGTGGGCTAGCCACATTAGGTCTAAGCAGTCTAAATGGTTGGACCAAAACCTCCATGGTAAATGCTTCAAACCCTCATTAATCATTTTGTCTTGTTCCCTTATGTGTCTTCCTTTACAATCCATTTTGATTTTAATATTAGAGGAACTACTATGATTATCATGCATTTCATCATGCCTCTTTTGTAAAAATCACCTAAAGTTTTCACATTTATATCCATAGACAAACTTGAAGAGATAAAAGAATCTTGAATGCATATCTGAGGATAATACTTGTCTAATTGTTGTTATCTTCCCTCAGAAAAGTGGATTATAGAAGAAAACAGGATTTGATGATGTTTAGTTTATGGTTGCAGATATGGAGGAGAAGGTAGGTTACATAGTCAAGATCATTGATGAAGATGGAGACTCTTTTGCGAGGAGGGCAGAAATGTACTACAGAAAGAGGCCAGAGATTCTGAACTTTGTGGAGGATACCTTTAGGAATTACAGAGCTCTAGCAGAGAGATATGATCACATATCAAGAGAGCTTCAAAACGCTAATCGCACCATAGCAAATGTGTATCCAGAAAGAGTTCAATTAGCGATGGATGATGAAGATGGTGAAAGTTTCCTGGGAGGACTAACTGGAACTCCTGAGGAATGGAGTGCTTCCTCCAAGGATTTGCCAGCTGCCCCAAAGTTACCGAGAGCTCTCTCAATGTCCAGGAAGGCTAAGCAACCATCGCGAATGATGTCTAAGAAGGGGCTTCTCAAGTTCAATGCCATTGATGATGTTAAGCCCTTTTCAAGCTGCTCAGGGCTGAGCAAAGAGGAGGCACTTGGGGAGATCGATGAACTTCAGAAGCAAATTCTGGCGCTGCAAACTGAGAGAGAGTTTGTGAAGAGTTCATATGAAAACGGGGCGAAAAGGTACTGGGATATTGAGAACCAGATAAATGAGATGCAGGCAAATGTTAACAGCTTACAAGATGAGTTTGGGATAGGCACCATTATTGAGGATAACGAGGCTCGCTCTCTGATGGCATCCACAGCACTGAAATCGTGCCACAAGACACTGGAACGGTTACAAGGACAACATGAGAAGTCAAATAAAGAGCTTGCTGTTGAAAGTGGGAAGGTTCAGAATCTCACAATGAAATTTGATACACTAGTGGAAACACTTGCGGCCAGCCAGGAGCTTAAGCAACAGAAACTGCCCTCTAAAGAGAGAAAACCTCCCAAGCCAAATATGGACTCGAGGAAATCAGAGCAGCAAGTAGGAAGTACTAAACAAGGGAGGATTGATGTGGAGTCATTACGCAAACAGATTAAAGAAGAACTGCAGGTATCATCCAGTGCCACAGATCTTAACATGTCTGAACTGGCTGAGAAGGTTGATGAACTCGTGGAAAAGATCATAAGTTTGGAAAGTGCAGTGTTGTCCCAGAACACTTATGTTAACAGATTGAAGGCAGAGGCGAATGAGCTTCATGAACATCTTCATAAAGTAGAAGACGAGAAGGAAAGTTTGATTCAAGACTCTGAGAACATGAATAAGAAGATAAGACAACTCGAGGAAGAGCTTCAGAGAGTTCTGAATCTAAATCATAAAACCAACAACCATAGCAATCATCTCCAAACTCGCATTGCTGAAGCAAGTTGCAAGCTAGATGACCTCGCTGGGAAGCTGATAAATGTTTTGCCAGAGGAAGAGACAAATACTACTTCTGCTTCTGGCCAAGAGCAGCTTCAGGTGCATAAAGACCTTTCTGCAAATAATAGCAATTCCACTGTCTCAAGTGATCGAATGGCAAAAGACAATCTAAAGAAAGATGGAAAGGAGATTCAAGCACACAAAGACAATCTAAAGAAAGATGGAAAGGAGATTCAAGCACACAAAGACAATCTAAAGAAAGATGGAATGGAGATTCAAGCACACAAAGACAGTCTAAAGAAAGATGGAAAGGAGATTCAAGCACACAAAGACAGTCTAAAGAAAGATGGAAAGGAGATTCAAGCACACAAAGACAATCTAAAGAAAGATGGAAGGGATATTCAAGCACACAAAGACAGTCTAAAGAAAGATGGAAGGGAGATTCAAGCACACAAAGAGAGTCTAAAGAAAGATGGAAAGGAGATTCAAGCACACAAAGAGAGTCTAAAGAAAGATGGAAAGGAGATTCAAGCACACAAAGACAGTCTAAAGAAAGATGGAAAGGAGACTCAAGCACACAAAGAGAGTCTAAAGAAAGATGGAAAGGAGATTCAAGCACACAAAGAGAGTCTAAAGAAAGATGGAAAGGAGATTCAAGCACACAAAGACAATCTAAAGAAAGATGGCAAGGAGATTCAAGCACACAAAGACAATCTAAAGAAAGATGGAAAGGAGATTCAAGCACACAAAGACAATCTAAAGAAAGATGGAAGGGAGATTCAAGCACACAAAGACAATCTAAAGAAAGATGGAAGGGAGATTCAAGCACACAAAGACAATCTAAAGAAAGATGGAAAGGAGATTCAAGCACACAAAGACAATCTAAAGAAAGATGGAAAGGAGATTCAAGCACACAAAGACAATCTAAAGAAAGATGGAAAGGAGATTCAAGCACACAAAGACAATCTAAAGAAAGGTGGAAAGGAGATTCAAGCACACAAAGACAATCTAAAGAAAGGTGGAAAGGAGATTCAAGCACACAAAGACAATCTAAAGAAAGGTGGAAAGGAGATTCAAGCACACAAAGACAATCTAAAGAAAGGTGGAAAGGAGATTCAAGCACACAAAGACAATCTAAAGAAAGGTGGAAAGGAGATTCAAGCACATGATGCCATACCGGCTGGTCATAGCACTTTGGCCATCTCAGGGGATAAATCGACTGAAGAGAAGCAGATGAAAGATGGAAATCCAGAACAAGGTACTTTTGCTCTCCACAGCTTAATGATAACCATAAATTTTATTTTATTAACCCAGTATACTCTTGCAGGAATTCAACAATACTCGAGGACACAAGTGGAGCAAGATGAACTTGTCACCAAAGACGATAAGCCAAATTGGAAAGAGTTATTTTTAAATGGTTTGGATGAGAGAGACAAGGTTCTAATAGATGAGTACACATCTGTGCTGGTAAATTACAGGGAAGTAAAGAACAAGCTTAACGAAGCAGAGAAGAAACGGAGGGCTAGCCAGTTCCAATATGTTGTTCAGGTAAAAGTTCTGAAGAATTCTAATGCCTTGAAGGATGCACAGATTCAATCTCTGCAGAAGAAACTAAGCTTGCTTCAAGAGAACCATTTGGAATCTCCAAAGTCGAGTGAAAGTACAGTGAAAGCCAGCTTGGATACTACAGATGTCCCTCACAAACTAACCCTCTCTGAATTATTAGATGATTCAATCCTTAAAGAAACAGCATCTCAAGAAAAGAGTAAAGGTGATCCTGCCGGAGAAGAAACAACATCTCAAGAAGAGATTAAGTCTCCAAGCACCAAAGAGGATGGAGAAGATCCCATCCCTGAGGTGCCTATTGTTGAAGAGCCTCACAGTCTTTCAGCCATTGAAGAAAAGATACGCACAGATATTGATGACCTATTGGAAGAGAACATACAATTCTGGCACAGGTTTAGCAACGCTTTCCAGCTGATACGAAAATATGAAACTTCAGTCCAGGATTTACACACTGAGCTGCAGGATGCCAGAGAAAAGGCCAAGCAAGAAGGGAATAATAAACCCATGTCACTATTCTCAGCAGTCCGGCCTATATACAGACATCTGAGAGAAATACTGACCGAGTTAATGCTATGGCTGGAAAGCAATGCAGTTCACAAAGAAGACTTACAGAACAGGTTGTTATCTCTTTCCAACATTGAAGATGAGATAACGAGGTTGTCAAGGGCAGGGCCTGAAGGGGAAGAAGAGCTGGGTGCCTATCAAGCTGCAAAGTTCCAAGGTGAGATTCAGAATATGAAACAGGAGAATAAAAAGGTTGCAACCCAGCTGCAAGCAGGAGTTGAGCTTGTGCACAAGCTGCAAGACAATATTACTAAGACAATATCAAAACTTGATGAGGAATTTGGATTCAAAAAAGATAACTCATCAAGTCGTTCCAGGATTCCCTTGAGATCCTTCCTGTTTGGAACGAAGGTGAAGAAACAGAAGCCATCCCTCTTTGCATGTGTAAGTCCAGCACTGCAGAGACAGTATAGTGATATAGTATTACCAGAATAGCTCATTTTAATTAATCTTTTCTCCTCACTGTTTCTAACAATGTACACTTCTGTACTATGCCAGCCTGTCTTTTCATGTATGATAGAACATCGAAAGGCCGATTTGCTGATACAGCAGCCTCATACAATGTTCATTACAGTTAGCCCTTACTAAAATGTGCTTTTGGGCCCAATCAACATAAAATGAGTAATGTCATTTCAAATGGTTGTCAGGGTTGACAACCAGGCAGGAGGCACAAGCTTGAATAATTTATTCTCCCTGCTCTTCATTACACAGGAATAAAAATTTTACAGGAGCTTTTAATATAAAGTTCAACTGTGTTCCAAGATCATCTCACTAATACTACAACATATCGTATAAGTCTGAATCTTTAAAAAAAAATCACAAAATTTAAGAAATAAATCCCTTGTCTAATAGAAAGGCAAAGAAGGCTAGCAGACAGTTTATATATAAGCTGCAAAGACTCAGGCCTTGGGTCTAGACAGTTGATGATCGACCTTGGTAGCCAGAATGGGAAGCAAAGCGATCAGAACTTTTCACATAAGCTTGCTATAAATGGAAGAAAGAATGATCAACTAGCCAATTAGTGCAGACACCAAGCATGGTCTTGGAGCGAATCATAGGGATGATCACCAGACATCCCTGAGGTACCTCCCGTTCATTTGGAGTTTCTTCACAATGGCCTCTGCTTTAGATGAGTCTACTTTTTCCTGAATTTAAGATAATCGGTGATGTATTAGAAATAGAGAAATAGATACCAAAAGTAGTAGCAAACTATTAAGAGAGAGAGAGAGTTGAAAGTCTGCCTAAATATAGTTCCTAGAAGTCAACTTCTTCCCATTTAGCATTTTTACTGAATGAAATATCTTTACATGAAGCAAAAGTTCAAGTAAGAAAGAAAAGGCACCTGTTTTCCATGTTCTCACATGAAAATATAAATAGGTGAGAATATAAATAAAGAGAAATCATGCACTTGTTCCCCAAGCATTACACGTACACTACCACATTTAAAAAGCATACAAACCCCTCCACCACTTCTTCCCCAATAATTAAAAGAATCTAGAAAGATGGAATACAAGAAAGACGGCAAAAACTAGATGTATAAGTAACATTAACCTGCTCCTGGACAATGGTATGAAGTGTACGATGTACATCTCTAGCCATCCCTTTGGCATCCCCACATACATATAGATATCCCTCCTGGGAGATTAAACTCCACACTTGGGAGGCCTGGAAATGAATAAAATGAAATGAGGATTCTGCAAGTCTTCTCAAAGCAGTAGCTCAAGATTTATTACCAACAAAAACTTACGCGTTCAGTTATCTTGTGTTGAACATAGTCTTTCTGTGGCCCTTCCCTAGAAAATGCAACAATTAGCTCTGAGATTATTCCTTGATCCTCAAAATTTTTGAGTTCCTCCTCGTAAATGAAATCCTACATCCAAATATCAAGTTAATATATATTGCAGCAGAATCTCACATGTTCATGCATTTTGACTATAACGATGATAAATTGACAGTTTACCATTCTTCGATTTCTACAACCAAAAAACAACAGAGCTGGACCAAGTTGAGCACCATTTTCCTTCAGGGCAGCTCTTTCCTGATAAATGATCAACCTCAATAAGATTTGTGCTAAAAATAACAAAAGCAGAGTGAAATTGATTGCAATACCTGTAGAAATCCCCTAAACGGTGCCAAACCTGTACCAGGTCCCACCATGATAATTGGAATTGAAGGATCAGCTGGTAACTTGAAATTCGATGGCCGAATGAAAATGGGAGCTGAGCTCTCCAAGGGAATTGCATTCTAGATAACAAAGCAACACTGTATTGTTAGGTGGTAACAAAGCAAGAACAGCTTTAAGAGGACCAAACTGTAGAGCCTAAACAGTAATCACTATGCACAATGAAACAGAATAAAAGTAGCAGATATAATAAGTTTTCAATGAAAGGAGAGCCTAGGTTTGTCTGGCACCTTCATCCAAGTTGAACACACTCCTTTGTGAATCCTGCCAGTGGGGGTCGGACCATGAACTAAAGCACATGTTACATGGACTCTTTCAGGAGCGAATCTGCACATGTTGAAATACAAGGATCCACAATGTTCTTAGTCCACCAGGACTGAAACAGAGAGCCTCATGTGCATCTTTTCTTCTGTTAAAGAAGTCATTTACCATAATATTGAGACAAAACAAATACTCACTTGGGGGAAGAAGAGATAGAATAATAGCGTGGTTGCAAGTGTGGGGCAACTGCAGCAAAAAATACACCAAGGGGTGGTCTTGCTGAAGGAAAATCTGCCATTACCTCAAGGAGACTTCTTTGACTTGCAACAATCCATTGTGAGTATTCATCCTAAAAAGAAAGAATAGATACCACAGTACATTAATGTTTTTGTTGAATGCATAACAAGCAGAAAATTGGAAAGCACTAGTTTGATTTTTTGTAAATGCATAGTTATGAATGACAGAATTTCTTATATTCAATTTTTACTTCATTTATTTTCTCATTTCTGGCCTGGTTGTTTGGAGCAAAAATGACCCTAAACTAATGAAAGGGAAAAAAAATAAAAATAAAAATAAAAAAATAAAAATTTACCTTGCCCTGGGGTGAGGCCAAAAATTTAAGCCTTTCTGCTTCACTAGGTTCAGTGGCATGAGCAGCTAATGCAACCAATGTAGCCTGAAAACACAAATTGTTTAAAGCTAAGAACCAAAGAGTGGGAAAAAAAATAAAATAAAAAGATCTAAATATAAGAGCATAATCCTGCTGTACCTTACGAGGAGGATTCAACAGATCAGCATAACGTGCTAGAGCTACTCTAAGGGTGCAAGGACCAGGGAAAGGTGGCTGCAATGACCCTCCCAGGGGTGTACCATCTTCTTTGTCAGTATGAAGAGAAAATAGTAAATCCAGAGGTTGGCCCAACAACTTTGCTGCTTCTTCAACAGTGTCATCACAATTTTCCGCAAAAACACCCACATGGTCTCCTGTTTCATATCTGGGAAAGCAGCAAACAAGAATTAGGGAAGATCCTAATAAGCTATGCATCAGTGCTGAGCACATAATAAATAAATGCAAAAAACCAATAAATCTCCCAAACTTTTTTTTTTTTTGAGAAAATAAATCTCCCAAACTTAATTTACATGAGTTAGCATGCATTATGATAATTATAATAATCAACTCAAACATGCATAGAATGGCAAATGGTAATGGTTTAAGCAGTTGGCATAAGAAATTCTGCTGAAGAACACACCAAGAAAATGATGGGACGTAATAATAAAAATAAAATTAGGGCAATCAAGCCATGAAAAATCCAAACAACTTTTCAAATCTTATATTAAAGAAAGGCATTAAAACTATCAAATAAGAAGACAAAATAACATTTTACATGCTCACTACCTCATTTCAAGAAGAAGAAAGGAGACATATACCCAAGACAAGCACAGCTACAATGAGAGGATCTAAACTCTAGATCAGCAATGATCATTAACATATCATTTGCACTCAAAAGCCAAGAGACAATTGGCAGTTGGCATTTTTTTTATTTTATTTTTTCGATAAATAATTTGGCAGTAGGCAAATAATTAACAACTCTTCAAGAAACTAATTTGTCCAGTTATACCAGCCCATTGATTGCTTAAACAAGGAAATGAACTTACACTATGCCAGTGCCAGAAATATCAAATTCCAAGTGTATGCATGATCGATCAGACTCAGGTGTATGAAGCTCTCTTTGAACAGCAACATTAACTCTGCAGGGAAATTGAATAACATACATTCAACAAAGCACAGAAAACCATTAATTGAAGCGTAGATGAATACTCTAAGCACCCACTTGCATGGATGGTGGACATCATATACAGCATTTCCATTTTGCATGCTGGTATGCTTATCCTCGTAAGTTCTAGTGGCTGGATCATGAACCACAACACGATATTCAGCAATTGCAGCAGTATACGGTGTAGATGCAGAATTTACATCATCCTCATCCATAAGTATTTTGTCCAACTCCGGCCATAGTAGTTCTCGCCTTGAAACAGAGAACCATCATCATAATTAAAATGTCAGACATACAAACACACATCATCATGTGTGGGTGTATCTTTTCAGCAATTTATTTATAAATAAAAAAAATAAAATAAAAAAATCTATTCACATATGAATTTTAAAATATCAAAAATAATACAAATGCTTAGCATTATAGAGCGAACTCACCAACTAGCAAAATCATCTTCAATGCTCTGATCATCATCACCAAGGCCAAGTGGAATAAGACGCTTTGCACCTGACATATTAACCCGTCAGTGGCTCAGTGCAACCTTAAAATAACAACCAATGAGGAGCATAAAATCACCAATGACCTACAATGAATCCCAACCCCAACCCAAAAATAAAAAACATTGCCATGCAACAAGGAGAAACTTTCGGCTCAAGAAATAGCATGCTCAGTCTAGCAAAAAATATTTAGTCATCATTGAATTGACTCAGCAGGGGGGGGGGGGGGGGGGGCGGAGGGATATCCACAGGGAAAAAAAAAAGAGGTAGGATTACGTCCTGCCATGGATTTTTAAGTCAACATTCAGAAGATAAATGAAATCATTACCCTCTCTTCGATATAAAATAAAGACAGAGATTACATGCCATATGGAAAATATCTACATACCTTGTTCACTTAGCTTTTCATCTATGACCTTGCCAATCTGTTCCAAACAGATCCATCAGAATACAACATTGACTAACAGAATAGAGAAAGATGAAGAGAACAAAATTTTACCTTGTTAAAATGCTCATATTGACGGTTTCCCAAACCAAATATGCCATAGGTGAGCTGTTGAAGCCAGGGGCTCCTTTCTTCTCCCTAAAAAAAGTTGAAAAAATATTACAAGCCCAAGTTTAAGAGTTTTTAGTAACAATAACCAACACAATCATATTAGAATTAACAAAAATTACTAGTACTACCTACCTCAGTAAACCATTTGTAAAATCTTGCAGCATTATCAGTTGGCTCTCCATCCCCATATCTATCATGTCAACATCAGAATGTGTGACTCAAGGATATTCCAGAAACTGCTAGATTTCTAGACAATAAAGGTTTAATTATATGTAATTCCAAAAGAACAACATTTCTTACGTTGCAACCATGAAAAATGCTAATGTCTCTTTCTTCAATTTCTCCTCATATTGATCGTCATCAGCAGCATAATCATCCTTAAAAACATTAAAAATTAAGAAAATTGCATTCAGACAATTGAAATACTGGTAGCAACCAACCACAAGCTTCTATTTTACTTACCATGTCAACAACTTTCACAACTGCCTTCTCATACCTTGCCCTGATCTCCTCGGCCAAAGCCTGTGAGAGAAATTGTGTAAGAAAGTTACTGAAGAACATAAACAGCTCCGAGCTTAGGATCATGTACATTGATTTAATGGCCAAAGTATAGGTCAGTAATACAGTAAAATCCTTCTTTAAGATTCATCTTAATAGATTTACTCGTGAGCTTTAATTAGAAATCAGCTACTCTCATGTTAACCGAGAAGATGAAAATGCACCGGGTTCCTGAAGATTTATAGATAGATACCAAATCTAAAGCACATAAAACTAAAAATTAAATCTTTGCATCAAACAAGGGATACTAACGTCACTGAGCTCGATTCATACAAATTGAAAAAAAAAAAATTATAATTTTTGCTTTCAAAAAATGAAATGATCCGTAGTTCATCACCTTAGCAAATCCCTCGGCTGTTCCCGTCTGAGTACCAAAGAACACAGTGACCTTAACCTTTCCAGGGTCAACGACGGCGTCCTCTTCAGGGTCGGCCGTCATGGCCTTGGGGACAACCACCGGCTTCACCTCCTTACTCCGATCGCCCGATCTCTTCCATATAAACACCAGCAACCCAACGATGACGGCTAACGACGTCGTCAGCAACACCACCACCGTATCATTGCCTAGCGACACTCCCAAGGCCGACTCAAGCGATCTAACTAACTCGGAAGTCGACTCCATGTTCCTCTCTCTCTCTCTCTCTCTATCTCTACAGGATTTGCTTAGTAGTATCTGGCTGGCAGTTATAACGCACAACTCCAAACGCTTTGTTTCCTCCCTTCTCCGTTTGACTCTCTAGATTCCAGGGAGGGATTCTCTCACACTAGAAAAACAAAAGAGAACCGCTAGACGGATGAGATGTCAGATCGAGGCGGCGGAGCAAGGGAGAAGTAGAAGAAGAACTGGTGGTGGAGGTTGTTTTGGAGTTCTGCTTGGTGACCTCCCTCACCAGAAAATATTTGGGCCCTAAGTATAAAATTTCCTTTTCTCCGGGACGGGCCTGGAAAAATATATATAAAGCGACAGAAATTTTATTTTTTTTTAAGAAAGTAAAAAGGTTAAACGAAGAGAGGTCAAAAGGCAAGAGAAAAATGGGGGGCCCGCTTATATATTTTACAAGAATAATGGGAAATTGTGTAAATAAAAAATAATGATAATAATAAGTGGGGGACTGGTTGACAAATTGACAGGCTTTAGCCGCCTCGTTAGTCGTTATTTATAGCTCCATAATTATTCGTGTGTATTTGTACTTTGTAGGTGTATAGGTAAATGAAATTTCCTATTTTAGTAAAATGAAATAGGGTACTCCGTGGCTTTCAAAAAAATATGCTACTCCGTAATTATTTTGAGGAGTTAATTAATGATTTGGTCGAGTTTTTTGCACTTTTGGTCCCACGATTATAGTGGCACTATCAGAATTGATTCACGACTTTCAGACTTTGCAATTTTAGTCCACGACTATTGTTTTTTGGCAAAAATGGTCCTTCCGACCACTTTTCCGTCAAAATTTCACCGAAGTAAAATTTCTTCAACTTTAAGAAGGCTAAAGTTGACATGTTTAAGAGGCTTGTATTACTGATTGTTGGCTGCCATATTTTGCAATAAAGAATTGTTTTTTATCTAGGAAGAATTGTTAAGGGAAATGTCAAATTTAGCCCTCTTAAAAATGAAAAAATTTTACTCCGGTGGAATTTTGACGGAAAAATGGCCAGAAGGACCATTTTTGCCAAAAAAACAATAGTCGTGGACTAAAATTGCAAGGTCTGAAAGTCGTGGATCAATTCTGATAGTGCCACTATAGTCGTGGGACCAAAAGTGCAAAAAACTCTGATTTGGTCTCTCCACAATAATAGTATCCACACTTGTGATTTATTTGGAATTATTTCAGTATTAATTCTCCCCATCCAAGTTAATAGCTGATGTGGGTGTAGGTTATTTGAGAAATAATATTACTGCAAATGTGGAGAGAATGTCAGAAATACAAAAAAAAAAAAGAGAAAAAGAAGAAGCAACACAGGCTGTGCGCGTTCGCGCACAGCCTGTGGAAACACGGGCGCGTGCAGTGCACGCGCCCGTGTGACGCGTGACAGCGCGCCTGACGCGTCCTTTTTTTATTTTTTTTTTAATTTTAGTTTTATTTTTTTTCTTTCTTTTTTCTTTCCCCTCTCATCTTCTCTTTCCTAATCACTCTTACATTATCCCCCAATTCTCCCCAACCAATGTGGATGCTCTAAGAATTTTTTCAATTTGATTTTTGATTATTAAAATTTCTTAATTCGATTATATTATTTTTACACGAAATGGTCTTCAATTTAATTTCATGGTCAAACTAAACAAATAAATTTAAAATTTGAAAAAATCATATTCTTCTTCCCTAATTCTCTCTCTCTCATATTCACCCGACGACGACGACATAGAGAACAATTGTCAACGAAGCTCCGTCCCTCTTTCTTCTTCTCGCCCAACAACATAGATCCAGCAAGTAGTAGCCCTCTTCCTTGAGATGAAGAGCTGAGATCATCTACAATTTAAGCAATCTTCACACTATTTTTCAGATCTCACTCAATACAAGCTACTTTCATATGCAATTCCTCAATTTCATTCCATAACACCATCATCACACAACATAAGGTTAGTCACAGTATCATACAGCAAAGAACACACATTTAATTACTAGAAAAAATCCCAATAAGTTCATGACGTTTCATCAAAAATCAAGCTAAATACTCCCAGTTAATATTTATTAAAAAAAAACATATCAACATCATATAAATTTAACCTGATAAATACGTCAATTTAGAATCAATTAAACAATTTTATCAATTTATGAGACTTCAATAAAATTTTTGTTATTTAAAAGACCCAATTACACTATCTATATAACTTAGGGGTCAATTTGACCATTTCTAAATATGTAACTACGTGAATACATTAATTTAGAATAGATTATTGCAATCATTATATAAATACAATGTACAACTTCCAAATCCCCTTTGGCCTTTTCCACGAGTTCATTAACTATTGTATTATATCCTCACTCGCTGTCTTTTTTTAATAAAAAAAAAAGTAAAAAATTGTTCCAATAGGTAGTTCCAAACGCATGACCAATTTTTGGATTAAAAAATAAAATAAAAACCTATATAAATAAATTAAACAAAAACGTGCATCACAATAATACTCTGCTGTTAATTTACATATCACATGAAGTCATGAACATTTACTCCACTTTGATTTACATAAAAATCAACATTACTTATTCAAAAGTGCATTTTGGATGAAATATATTGTAGGGGAAATGTTAAATAAGCCACCAAACTGCACTAAAAAGTACAATTAAGTCATCCAACATTAAAATAGTTCAATTAAACACTCTAGTTATCAAATAAACATTATGATGGAATATATTGTAAGGAAATGATCAAATAAGCCCTCAAACTTTACCCAAAAGTGCAATTAAGACCTCAATCATGTTTACCGGTAACCAGTAGGTTACCAGTTATTCACCGCCCATAAAGTTCAGTTTTACTAGAAAGACCACCGCCAAGCGTTCTCCTTAAATGGAGAAGGCGGGCAGTCTGTTCGTCTTCTCTAGTGGAGAAGACGACCGTGCTGTTCGTTTTCTCCAATGGAGAATACAAATAGCACGGTCGTCTTTTTCGGTGGAGAATATATACGACCAGTACAGTTGTCTTTCTTCTCCATTGGAGAAGACGAAGACTAATCAGGTCAACGAGCAGATGGTTGAAGTTCGACGGTTGCCGGAATGTTGGATGGAAAATTAATGATCGGTTTGTTTCAGGTGAACAACCGGTCATTTGGGTTTAAATGTATCAAAATCACAAGTTTGAGTGTTTAATTGAGGTTTTTTAATGTTGGAGGGCTTAATTGTACTTTTGGGTAAATTTTGATAGCTTATTTCTCTATATTTTATGATGACCATACACAACAAAGAATCACAATCAGTTAAACCAGTATGTGTTGTTTATAGATATCCATTGTTTAACCCAAGAATCACAACAAACAACTCTGCCATGGAGTCAAATTTAAAACATTTTGATTATCAAATTAAATATCCGACCAACTCCCTTGGCTAGGCTATCATCGCATACACTATTACCATGTAGTTGTGAGTCATCTATCATGACTTGTTATTTTGTTAGAAACACAATTTGTCGATATTTAATTTAAAAGTGATTAACATACAGACATCAATAACAAAAATAATAAATTATCATGGCAAACGAGAGATTCTTACTATCGCATTTCGCATTATAATTTATAATAGAAAGAATAATATACTACACACATTTCATAATATATTCACTTGTTGATATGGTACATACTATATAATTGAAGATTTATCAATTTAAAAAGAAAAAACTAAACTCGTGATGATATCAATCAATTTATGTGCAACTAATAATAATAATAATAAAAAAAGAATTATTACGTAAATATGTGAACAAGAAAAAAAAAACATTATTCTAAGAAATTAGTGAATTTTTAGAGTGTTGATAGTGCATGGTTGTACATGCATCAAGATGTAAAAACTTGTGAGAGATGTCTTATTGTTACCATATTTTTTGTTTGAAGAGATAATTGACCATAATTAGTATGTCTTCCGATTAATCTCTTTTTTCTGATTCATAATCATCACCGGCATGACGCGTGAGAGCTGGTTTTTCATAATGTGAATGTCTTCTTCTTTGTCGATATTTATGGCTCAAATTAATACTTCAGCAAAAGAGTTCAAAATGTTCACGCTTTCTGCCATAATTATATTATTATTATTCATCACCGTATCAATCCTTCCAATCTCTTCATTTCCCATTTAAGCACCCGACCAATGTATGGTACTTATTCAAACAAAATGACCACTTCCAACGTTAGTTTTGCCCCCTTTTAAGATCATCCAACATCTCATCTCATTATCATTAAAAAAAATGAAAGAAAAAAACATATACAATGATTATGATTATTATTATTATTATTATTATTATTATTATTGCCTTTTCCAAGATTTGACTGAATTGATTTGCGGTTGAGGGGAGTGCATGAAAATTAAATGGTGGAGGACTGCGAAGGCAGGGAGGGCGTTGTGATTCGTGAGGTCGTTATGCGTCCACGTCATTAGCTGGGAATGGTTACTCATGCTGTTTGTGATCCGGATCCAATTTCATGTGTTTTCTCTGAAGATGTCAACAAATTTGCTTTTCCAATTTTAACCTTTCACAATCTCGAGACAGGCAGAAAGCTACGCGTATTCGGTATTTCAACTTTTGAAGCCCGCACGCATAAGTAACCTACTCAGTATTTTATACCGTATATTTTAACAGACTCTAGGAAAATTATTTTTTTGAATACTATTACTCTAATATAATACAACATACAGTATCTGTTCATAATTGAACCCACAACTTCTCATGTGAAAGTTCAACCTGGTACCATTCCATAAAATCCTTAGTACTCTAGGAAAATTATAATTGCACTAGAATAATAAAATCAACATACGTTTGAAAAAAAATACAAAGATCATAAATTATCATAACTCAAAAAGTGAAATTGTATATTTGCTCGAAAAGAAAATACAAAGATCATAAATTATCATAACTCAAAAAGTGAAGTTGTATATTTGTATTTAGTCTTCAATTTTGATAATCATCATTTGGAGTTAGAAGACTATGTCTGGGCTAGGCCTAATGCCCTAATGTATCTTGCATATTGGGCTCTAATGATTTAACCAAATTGTTTGTAGTCCAAAGGAAAAGGGATTTGAAGATGTACAAAGCCCAATAAGAAGCCAGCATATTGGCATATTGCAATCTCGTTCATCATACAATCTGACTGAAAATATTCATTTATTATTAGTTTTTTTCAATAATCATTTTCTCAAATCAATAAAGTGCAAGACTTCATGAACTAAGTGGTATGAAAAGCTAAATTCCAATTGGGTATTGGATAAGACTAAAACCCATACATATTACACAAATCGAGAAGATAACGGCAGGGAAAAAAAAAAAAAAAAAAAACTTTCCCAGGAAAAAAAAAACAGAAAGAGGTCCGGTCCTTTAATCACTGTATCAACAAACGTGTTTGACTTTATCAAACTCGAGCTCACATGGAACATCAAATGTAGCAACTTTTGCCTAAGAGATACGACAGGGGAGTTTGAACATTGTCGCTGCTTCATAAATGCATTAAATTTCATGCATTCGCTAAGTATTGCATCGTTTTAACAGTCAAGATCTAAGTTTAAGTATTATTTAACTTAGTATCTTTTTAAAGTATTATTTAATTTAATATCTCTTAATTAGAAGCTTGAAATGTGGAATTTAAGATTGTGTGTAATTTATTGTTGTATATAAGTGTTTTCAATTTAAATCAGTCTTATACAGTTTGTTGGCTAGGAGCATAAAATGTATTTCATCCCGTTGGCATATTCAGACTTAATTCTGCCTCTTTAGTCGAAACGTGCGGTGTTAAACTCAAAATATTATAATTATAAAGCCAGTTATCGATCAATTCAATTAAAGTTGTCATAATAATATAACATTACCTTATCTGTTTTATCCCGACAAGATAGAACATTACACAGGTAAATCATCCGTTTTTTCAAAGTGAGGTGACTAGTGTTTGAGCCACAAGGACTTCACCATATTAGATATAGTTCATACCCAAAAAGGAATTCACTATATTATATGTAGGGGTGTCAAGGTGGGCTGAAGCCCGCAGGACAACATAAATTGGTCCTCGAGGGTAGGCCATATAATTTTTTGCTCGCGAAAATACGGACCTTGCGGGCTTAACGCACGCAAGTTGGCGGACTACGCGGTTGCCAACCTAAAATTATATATATATATATATATATATATATATATATGTGTGTGTGTGTGTGTGTGTGTGTGTGTGTGTGCGCGCGCGCCATTAAAATTTGAAAAATTTTATATTTTTAAATTTCTAAACACGTCAAAAATTTAATATTATTTAAATTAAATTATTTAAATATAAATTATATATATATATATATATATATATATATATATATATATATATATATATATATATATATATTCAAAATTTTTGAAGTTAGCCTCCAGGGCTCGTGTGCCCACATGAGGCGAGTTAGGGTTGCATAATCCTAATCCGCATACTTTACGAGTCGGTCCGCATTGACACCCTTAATTATGTATGACTCTCATATTGCAACCTTTTCCACAATCTACCAGCTTTTCGTTGAGAAATTTATCTATTTTGAAATATAGTAGGTTTTCTGACTTACATTAAACTAATCATATATCTCTATAACCTATGTCCAAGAGTCATTAATTGGTCTCTCAGTTAGTCGTTGACTTTGCGTATAATGAATTCATTTATACACTTTCACCAACTTGAAACGTTCAATCTCCAGTTTAAAGAACCAAGGACCCAAACTCTAGCCTGGAGAGTGGAGAGCCATAGTTTTTTTTTTTTTTTTTTAGGGGCCATTGTCAATGTAGTGGACTACGAAGTAGGTATCATTATAATTACGCTTTAGTTTCATTTCACAATATTGTTATGTTTTTTTGTTTATTTTTTCAACACGCACTAGTTCCAGTATAACAATATACTACAGTTTAATTTAACAATATACATTATTGCATAAGTTTTTTTTTTTTTAATTTAATTGTTCACACACACTACTTTAATTTCAGTAATGCTGAAGTTTTATTTTAATTACATTTCAGGTTCATTTGACAATATATGTTATTGTATAACTCTGTATTTTAGTTTTATTTTTCACATTTCATTATAGCAACACTAAGGTATCATTTTAATTATACCACAATTTCGTTTAACAATATAAATTATTAAATGAGCAAAATGCTTTTAATTTTCATTTTCTACACACTAATTTTGTTTACAACAATACTAAAATATTACTTTAATTATAATAAATTTAATTTGAAAATCATAGTGCACCGTATTATTTTAATTCTACTAAAATTTTATTTGAGGATTATAGTTCATTATCAATACGGTGTTGTGTGAGTTTTTTGCACTTTTGGTCCCACGACTATAGTGACACTATCAGAATTGATCCATGACTTTCAAACATTGCAATTTTAGTTCACGACTATTGTTTTTTTATTTTGGCAAAAATAGTCCTTCCGGTCACTTTTCTATCAAAATTTCATCAGAGTAAAAAAATTTCATTTTTAAGAGGGCTAAATTTGACATATTTAAGAGGGCTTGTATTATTGATTGTTTTCTGCCATATTTTGCAATAAATAATTGTTTTTGATCTAGAAAGAATTGTTAAGGAAAATGTCAAATTTAACCCTCTTAAAAATGAAGAAATTTTACTCCGGTGGAATTTTGACGGAAAAGTGACCAGAAGGACCATTTTTGCTAAAAAAAAACAATAGTCATGGACTAAAATTGCAAGGTTTAAAAGTCGTGGATCAATTCTGATAATGTCACTATAGGCGTGGGATCAAAAGTGCAAAAAACTCGGTGTTGTGTGGACCATACTCAACTGTCTAACAAGTAACAACTAACAACTGCGGATGCATGCACCTTGGCACCGAGTGCACTTTACATACGTGTCGAATGGATGGCGTCGTGCCTAAACCTGACGTGGGCTGCATAGGAACGGCGCGCGCGCATCCAGCCATGCGGTGCACAGACGCCATTTCCCCTTTTTTACTTTTCAATTTTCCCACCGATTTCAACTCCTGCCTTCCTCCCTCACGCTTAAAACCATCCACCTTTCCTCCCAGCTTTCTTCCCCGTCTCTCTCATCATCTCACCGCCACCGTTCCCATGCACCTCTTCAACCTTCATATCTCTGTAAGTACACACTGACTAATCTCTGCGTTTCTGAAATCACTTTTCATCCTTTAATCTGAAGTGTATGTGCATCAGTGCATGTATATGTGTGTATGTTGTATGCTATTATATATATATATATATATATATATATATATCATAATCAAAGGTTGCATTTCAATGAAGTACTGATTAGTAAATTGTACATGATCATATCTGCTGTTTCGTGAACGTTCAATTTTTAGGAAAATTAATATGATGGCGTGTTTGGATTTGATGTGTTGAAAGTTGGGGGAACCTTAACGAGTTAATGTGATGTGATTTTTTGATGTTCATGGAGTCAGTGAGGTGGAGAAATTTGCAGCCATTGTACGGATGCATTCGGTTTTGGAGCTGTCGCTGTCGATGAATTGAAGTAGCGGGTAGTTGAGGACTTGAGGGTTGAGAATCCCCTTTTTTCTCCAAAAACTTTTGAATTTCAGGGACGTTTGTGAAAATGCCGCACAGGACCACTTACTTCTTTCCGAGGCAATTCCCGGATCGTGCTTGCGGATGCGACGCGTCGTCAACAAAGTTTCTGTTGGGTCACGAGAAGAAGTGTGATGATAGTGAAAATGAATCTTCGGGAGAGGAACGTGGTGATGCCACATTTAACCAGCTCACAAAGGAAGACCACAACTCTGCGCGTTCAAGCGCATCTGATCGCTTCACGGGCGGTGACAAGATCCATGGAAAGCAACTGGTCGCTTTCGTCAGCTGGTTGGCGGGTAAAAAGTCGTCCTTAAATCAGAATCGTCACGTGAAGATCAAAGTCGATGATGGTTGCGAGGTTGACAACCATGAACACCGCCTCTTGGTGCCGGAAGTGGTTGGCTTCGATCCCCCGGTGCCGGAACAGGTAACTCCGGTTGGGAATGATAAGAAGCTGTCTTTGCAACGGTTATCGAGTAGTGACAGCAATTATAGTAGCGTGGGTCTGCAAAAGGAGAATGGGGCGGGTTTTCGGAGGCAAACGTCGGGCAGCAATTACAGTGGTGTATATGGGAAAGAGAAGGCGTTGGGTTTCGAGAGGCAAGTACCGTTGCAGCGGTTGTCGAGCGGGGAGAGTACTAGCTACGCGAGGAGTTTCTTTTCCGGGACCACATTGGAAGGGAATTACTGGCCTAGTACCATGGTCAAGGATTCGGAGTTGTCGACAACCGGAGGGGTACAGGCGGAGCAAGGTGTTAATTGGGTGGATGGCTTGGCGCAGAGGTCAAAGGAGAGCTATTACTTACAACTCACGCTTGCCAAGACGCTTGTACAGCAAGCAACGCTTGCTGCTGCTGAGCTCATGCTTCTACCGGAGGGCCGAAGTGTAAAGGGGCATGCCGGATCTTCTGATCCTGAAACTGTCTCATATCATCTTTGGGTATATAGCTCTTTTTCATTTACCTTAAAAGCCTCTAACTCAATTAAAGGGATCAAAATGTGTTAAAATGTCATCAGATCTTATATAGTGTCATCAATCTGAGGTATTAGTCATGACGAAACTTCTGATTTTACTCTACAGCCAACTTCATATGAGAATTTGTTAATAGTTATTGACACGTCTCACTGATTTAATTCCCAATACTTGAATTTCAGGTAAGTGGCTGCTTGTCATATGCTGACAAGATAGCTGATGGGTTCTATAACATTTTGGGAGTGAATCCATATTTGTGGGCCATGTGCAATGATTTGGAAGAAGGTAAAAGTTTACCGTCTTTGGTGGCACTTAAAGAAACTGAACCCAGTGAGACCTCAATGGAGGTGATCCTAATTGATCGACAAGGGGATTCAAGGCTAAGGGAACTAGAGGATAAAGCTCAAGAAATGTACTTCACTGCAGAAAATATGTTAGTATTAGTAGAGAAACTTGGCAAACTTGTGGCTGTCCATATGGGGTAATCTCAACTTTCTTCTTAGCCTACCCGTTGAATCTGTGTTTACTTCTTTATGATACTGTTAAATTTGTTGAATATAAGGGGATCTTTTCCGGTGGAGCAAGGTGATCTTCATATGTGCTGGAAAATTGCAAGTAAGAGATTAAAGGATTTCGAGAGGTGCATTGTGCTCCCAATTGGTAATTTATCAGCAGGGCTCTGCAGGCATAGAGCTATTTTATTCAAGGTGATTCACAAGGATACTTTCACCTAGTTGGAGAAGATTGAACAAAGTGTTCGACATTTTATCCCTTTTGCTTTTTCATTTCCTATTATGCACCTTGAATTTTAATTGGTTACTCTTCTGTTGTGTAGAAATTGGCAGATTATGTAGGTTTGCCATGCAGGATAGCTCGAGGATGCAAGTATTGTGTTGAAGATCATCGCTCTTCATGTCTTGTAAAAATTGAGGATGACCGAAAGTTCTCTAGGTAAAATAATTTGCATGTTCTGCAAATCTCACTCTAATTGCAGCAGAGGAAATGTTGTTGCTCTTCATTTCCATTTTCCTGCATTTCTTTCCTTTTGTGGTGTTCTTGTAGTTTTACCTTCTCATTCATTTTCTTGTGAGATGAAGAAATAGCTGGAGGTAGGATCTTATGAAAAGAGGAGTCCTTTCACCAGGATTTACTTGGCTGCTTTTTAAATATTACTCCCTCCGTCCAAGATAGATGCATTAGTTTGTGTTTGAGACAGTTTTTATGGAAACAAATGAGATGGTATTTTATTTTCTACTTCATCTCGTTCTCAGTTCAATTTCATTGAACGTGAATATATGCCTTAACAGGGAATTTGTGGTTGATCTAATTGGGGAACCAGGAAATGTCCATGATCCAGATTCCTCAATCAATGGAAGTGTTTGTTCTTCTGTTCCTTCACCCTTTCAAATTTCTCACCTAAAGGAATTTCAACAACCTTACATGGATTGTGATATAAAATGTCAATTGGAGAATTCCAATTATACTTTTGCCTGTCCAAGTGGTGTATGCTCAGGTATGCTACATTATGCACTGCTTCAAAGTTTGTCACCCATGCTCTATGCATACAGTCATTATGACTAAGCTAATGATGTGTGCTGGCATAAATTGGTCTTCAAAGTCTGAATCAATAGTTTAGATGTAGTTCAATAATAGTGGTAGAAAGATGTCCTTGGTCTGTTTAGAATAATGTTAGGTTTGTCATTTGTGTAAATCTTCAAAATATCTGTTAACAAGGGGAAGTAAGATATTGCTAATACCTGTATGTGCAATATTCCATCAAACATTATTTTTTGGTTCTGTTACATGATGAACTCGCATAGGCATGAATGTTGGCCTGCTATCTCTCACTTGCTAAATCTAAACAAATTTGTTTGAATGCATGCATACAGCCCTGAAGTTTTTCTTCTGTTCTTTTCCTAGATGCTGCTGGCTGGCTGGATCTGATAATGCTCATAATTTTCTTTCTTTGTACAGGTACTGTTGATGGAAATCATCCGGTCAAGGACGCTCAGGAGAACAACATCCCCAAAAATTCTTTGTATGGTCCTAATCAATCTGCTGGGTTTGAATCACCTAAAGCCTTTGCCACTGCTGAAATTATGGAAGATGGAGACACTAGACTTGGAGATGATAAAATTGTTATACAACAGACATACAAAAAAGAGATTATTCTATCAAAAATGCCCGTATATCCTGGCAGACCACCTAAAATAACTTTTGCCTCTAATTCTGATGTAACAGAGATTGAAAGCAGCTTTGAGAATTATGAAAAACATTCTACTTCAACAATTCCTAAATACTTGACTCTTGAACCTTCTCTTGCAATGGATTGGCTTGAGATCTCATGGGATGAATTACATATCAAGGAGCGTGTTGGTGCTGGTACACCTTTAGTTAGTTTTTTTATAATGGGGTTATATATGATACAATTTTCCACAAAAAATGAGTTTGGTAATAACGCAATTATTATCCAATGCAGGTTCATTTGGAACTGTGCATAGAGCTGAATGGCATGGATCGGTTAGTAATGTACCCTTCAAGTTTGTTTGTAGATGTTGATGAACAAAAACATGAGAGTGCATCAATTTATCTGGAAACAAAGCTTAAGAAAGCAGATTACTGCAGCTGATAGTGTAAAGTTCAATTGATGGAAAAGACAACCCTGCATGCTTTTGTCAGTAAAGCTCTTAGGGCCTTTTTTCTGTCAGAGGAACTCAAGTTCATGTCATTTCTTGATGAGGACATTCTCATCTAGAAATATTTTCAATACCTTTCCTGATGTCCTATAACTTGATGATTGAATTGCAACAGATTTTGATATCTGAGAGCATCAAGTGTCATACATGTCAACTTAGGAAGTAAAAGATAAAAGTCATACATCAAATATATAGGAAATGTTTTTGGAAATAACTTGATGATTGATATGTAACAGATTTAGACATCTGAGAGCATCAGTTGCCATACATGTTAATTTAGGAAGTAAAAAAGGAGGTCATGCATCAAAAGTATGGAAACTACACTTGGAAATAAGATTTTGCAAAATTATAGCAACTGCAGTATTCGTATTTTAAGTATGAACTGAACAACTAATTGAAATGTACAATGCCAGGATGTTGCAGTCAAGGTGCTAACTGTCCAAGATTTTCATGATGATCAGTTGAGAGAGTTCCTAAGGGAGGTGTGTGCATGCAGTGAGACTTGAATGATTTACTTTACAACCTCCCTCCCTTCTTTGGCACTAGTAACTATCATGAGCCTTGCTTGAGCTGTGACCACCAATGCATTTTATCTTTCTTTTCCCCGTACTGTATGTAATTTCTCAGGAAAAAAGTGTTTCAAGCTACATGCAGATTGTAGGACAGTAAGGATTTCAATGGCAAAAGAGAACAATAAATAGGAAGATAGCAACATATACAATCTATTTTCCATATAGCCAGATTTACTTTAGTGATACTTCCTGGCAAATGGATTCACTTTTATATAACCTAGCATGGACAGATTATCCGGATGATCTTGATTTCTATAATTCTCTCTCATAAATGGTCTAAACTGGATAAATGTTTTAAATGAAGAGGAAAAGAACAGGCACCACTTTCATCTGTACTTTTATTACTAAATCCTTTTTCTCATCCTGGTCTTTTGCTGATTTGCTGCTGTACTTTTATTTACAAGTATTTTATTGATTCGATGTTTTCCTTTAAAGGTTGCAATTATGAAACGAGTCCGTCACCCTAATGTTGTTCTCTTCATGGGTGCTGTCACAAAGCGTCCACATCTATCTATAGTGACTGAGTATTTACCGAGGTAAAGTGGATCTCATTCTCTGTATAATGAATCTAAAGGCATTCTTAGGTTGTAATTTACAGTCTGATTAAATTTTGTAAACCTGATTTTGAAACAGAGGAAGTCTATACCGCCTGATAAATAGGCCGGCTGCTGGTGAAGTAATGGATCAGAGAAGGAAGCTGCGTATGGCTCTGGATGTGGTTTGTGTCAACTGACTTCCAATGCCCTTTTAGCCTTTTCATGTTTTAATGGCAGAAAGTTTTCTTATGGGTGCTTATGCAGGCCAAGGGTATCAACTATCTTCATTGTCTTAGCCCACCTATAGTTCACTGGGATCTCAAAACTCCTAATCTATTGGTTGATAAAAATTGGATTGTGAAGGTAAATTGTTGCCTACTGATCTATTAAATGATTTCCTTAAAACCATACATGGCTTAACTAATTTGAATATCTTGGCTCAGGTGTGTGATTTTGGTTTGTCAAGATTTAAAGCAAACACATTCATATCATCAAAATCGGTTGCTGGAACTGTATGTCCCTTTCTTAGCCCACATTCTGCACATTTTCTTTCATGCATATTCACTAGAAAGATCCTCTGGGCTGGATAATTTTATAGAAGCAATATTAATACTTCAATATAAATCAAAGATATTTCTATGTGCCTCTGTGATCCATTCACCATCTTTCATCATAAGATGTCAGGGGTGACGAGATTATAAAATCCAGAACCAGCTTAAGTTGGATGAGGATATTTAAGGTGATAACATGCACAAGATATCTGGGGAACGTTGACTGTGATGAACTCTGCAGTCAATTTTAGACCTCTTTGTTATCCACTTATCATGCAATTTAAAGTACAATGGTCCTCCATCTCCAGTGTGAGAGGGAATCTTTCTTGTCACATGACCGGTTCTCTTCTCTTCTTTGCTCTCGAGTTTTAGTGGAATATTCTTTTTACTTAGATAGGAGGTCCTTGCTGATAGTGGTTACTGTCCTGTTTATGGTTTAGTGAGAAAAATAATAGCTCATGGGCATGAGTGGAATCATGGCTAGTTTTGTTGCGTGCAAGGAATTGTATCTTTATTTTCACACTTCCTTATGGGCAATTGGCCTCCAGTAGATCATCACTGATGATGTAGTCCCTTGCATTATCCATATCAGGTGGTTGGGCACTTACAATGTAACAATCAGCACATAACAACCTTGCTTTTTTATTTCAGCCAGAGTGGATGGCCCCTGAATTCCTTCGTGGAGAACCGTCAAATGAGAAGTCTGATGTCTACAGTTTTGGTGTGATTTTGTGGGAGCTTGTAACCATGCAACAACCTTGGAATGGACTTGGCCCTGCTCAGGTTCATTTAACTCCCATGTTTTGCTTGTTATTCTGTCTTAATGATCTCCTTTTTAGCATCTTCACCTACCGCTTAATAATACATTCAAATATCAAACAACTTGTGCATGATTACCAGAACAGAAGGCTTTGTCATTCCCTTCCTGAACACAAGTTATGTAAACTTTCAGGTGGTTGGAGCTGTTGCTTATCAGAACAGGAGGCTTGTCATCCCACAAAATGTTCCTCCAGTATTGGCATCTCTAATGGAAGCTTGCTGGGATGAGTAAGTACATAGTTCAACAAAGACCATTATACATTTATACAGCCTGCCAGTATTGTTTTTCTAAATGCTTCGCTTCCACACCGTTCCATTTTCAGCCACATTGTTTCTGGTTCATTTTATTTATTTATGCTCTTTTACAGTGACCCTGTTCAGCGCCCATCGTTTGCTAGTATCGTGGGAACATTAAAGAAGCTGTTGAGGTCTCCATCACAGTCGTCCATTCAGACAGGATGAGCATAAGAAACCCCGCCCATTAGTAATAATGCTTTCAAGTATTCTCACGGTAGGCCGGGTCATTCCAATGTATATAATATATATGACTGGGTATTTTCACTATTTTCCAATGCGAACCATCTCAATAGCTAGCTTAAACAATCAAATACTCCGTAGTAAGTAACTGCAAAGTGTGATGGTTTGACCTTATTTGTAGCTACTACTGTGCTGCTTATGAATTACTAAAACCTAAATAAAGCAAGCAACATATTTGCTCTTATTGTGTTATTATTATATATATTATATATTATATAACGTGAGTATTTGCTAAATACGGAGTAGTTGGTAGCTGATTGTGTTAGTGGGTTTGACTAATTAATAGCATTAGTTGATTATAAGAAGGTGTTTGGTGAATTGAAAATTAGTTGAGAGCTGCTTATTATTTAATTGTAGAAAAGTGTTAGCTGTTTATTATTTGTAAAATGACTTTTTCCAAAAACTGATTGAAAAAATTACTTGTTGATTGAAAATGAATTTTGAAACGTTGTTATAAAAAGTTAATTAATCAAACACTCATATTAATTGTTTAATTAAATTAAACAAAATAAGTTATAATTTTCTTATAGTGTGGATGATGATAGAACTTTTGGAGTTTTTTTAATGCGGGTAGACATTATTATATTGTATATATACTTGTAGAGGTAGATGTTTCTGGTAACAGCTGGGACTACTACATTATTATCCTCTGGATCTCCGACCGTCACAGTAGGTAGGGAGGGAGGAGATAGAAATAGAAATAGAATTCTTGAAGGAAGGGGAAGATACAAGCAAAATGTGGACTGATCTTCTTCTACAGGCAGCTCTGATCCTGCTCACTCTCTTCATGTTCCTCTTAATGCACAACATTCCCCAAAAGTTCTTCTCCAGGTTGCGGTTTCGAAATCGAGCCGACATGCAAGCCAAGCGCCACTTCATCCAAGGCGCCCAGCACCTTGCTCAAGCGAAAGCAGCCAAGGACAGATCAACCACTACGAAGCTAGCCAAATCTGCGGAGTCCGAAGCCGACGCAGCAATCGCTCTAGATCCCAAGGACGCCGCGGCTCACATACTCAAGGCTCTGGCTCTCGAGGTGCTGGGGTTCAAGACCTCGGCTCTCGACGCGATCGACGCCGCCCTGTCACCGGCGGTGGCGAAGTCTCTCGGCGATCCGGAGCGGGCGGACGCGCTGTTCAAGCGGGCAGAGCTGCAGTTGGCGGCGAGTCGCCGTGGGCGAGTTGACTCGGCGGTTGAGGACCTGGTGGAATCAGTGCGGTTGAAGGGCGATAATGCCAAGGCGTTTTGTTTGTTAGGCGATTGCTACAAACGCAAGGGGCTTAAGAATGAGGCCCAAAAGGCTTACGAGGACGCATTGAAAGCCCAACCTAATTACACTGTAGCCCGAGAAGCCCTTAACCGCTTAAGCCCATAGTTTTTTTTTTGGGAGAAAATTAGGCCCGTAGCTTTGTAAAGGACAACCACGCAGTACCTATTTTTCAGGTAATTTATATCGTGCATCAGGCGCACAATGCAAAACGACGTTGTTTTGTATTTTTTTTTGGAAATTCTGTTTTCGTGTGTTAGCTTTTAACTTCTTAAAAAGAAAAATCTCATATTACGAAAATGTACATAATTGTATAATAGAATGTATATAATTGTATAACAAAATACACATATATTTTTTTGAAACGATAATACACATAATCTAACATAATACACATAAACTCTTAACATAAATTTACTATTTCGGATGTACACAATTGTATAAAAAAAAAGTACATAATTGTATAACATAAAGTACATAATTGTATATAACAGAATATGCATACACTCTGTCGCGTTAATTTCCCACAACTTAACAAAACGACGTCGTTTTGGAAGGCGCAAAGTGCACAATTTTATGTGCGTCGTGATGCACGATATAGCGATTGCATTTTTCAACGGATAAACTTTAAGAAAAGATGTCATCTTTATGTTCAGATGATGGCAAATTATTCTGCGAATTTAGATTTAAAAATACACAATTTATATACTGAATGTTCACAATTTTTATATACTAAGATGTTTACAATTTATCTATTGAATATTCATACTTTTATATACTAAATATTTAAAATTTACCTAGAATGTTTACAATTTGAATTGTGAACATGCAGTATATAAATTATAAGTATGGCAACGAACCAGTAACCATGAAAAGATGGCAAGAAGATATAAACGATACACACATTGTCTTGATCCCTAAGTGCAAATCCCCAGTGTTAATGTCTGATTTCCGCCCTATTGCTTTATGTAATGTTGTGTACCGAATTATTGCAAAACTCTTAGCTACTAGGCTGCGTGTGTTGTTAGACTCTATTATATCCCCTGCTCAGTGTGCTTTTATCCCGGGTCGGTCGATTGTGGACAATGTTTTGATTGCCTTTGAGTCAGCCCACTGTTTAAAACGCCAACCTGGGGATCGGGGGGGATATGGGGCCTTAAAAGTTGACATGAGTAAAGCCTATGATCGTGTTGAATGGGGTTTCTTGTGGCAGGTGCTTCAGAAAATGGGTTTCAGGGATCATTGGGTGAGATTGATGAGGGAGTGTGTGACTACGGTGCGGTACTCAATTCTGGTTGAGGGGAAGGAATGGGGGCCAGTGATTCCGGGTAGAGGGCTTAGGCAGGGGGACCCGTTATCACCCTATCTTTTCATTTTGGTGGCTGAATGTTTGAGTGCCATGCTGAGAGCTCGGGAGGAAGAAGGTATGTTACATGGTTTGAGGGTAGCAAGGGGTGCTCCGGCAGTCTCTCACCTATTTTTCGCGGACGATTGCCTTTTTCTTTTTAGAGCAAATAGGTTTGAGGCGGAGGTAATGCATGATGTCTTAAATGATTATGGGAGGGCGAGTGGTCAGGAAGTGCATATGGGGAAAACAACGATTGTTTTTGGCCGAAATGTGCATAGGGAGGATAAGGAGGCTGTTTGCGAGACCTTGGGGATTCGTGAACAGTTAGGGCATGGGAAATATCTGGGCTTGCCGGGTTATGTGGGAAGGAAGAAGAGAGAAATCCTGGGGTTTGTACGAGATAGATTGCGGGCTCGGGTAATGCATTGGGGCAATCGTTTTTTATCTAGGGGAGGGAGAGAGGTTCTTCTAAAAACTGTCCTCCAGAGTATACCAAATTATGCCATGAATGTTTTCCTTCTTCCTATTGGGCTGAGTGATGAAATAGAACGGTTAATGAATTCTTTTTGGTGGGGGTGTGAGAGAAGGGAACGAGGAGGAATAAGGTGGAGCCAGTGGAGAGATTTGTGTGTGCCAAAACAATTTGGGGGGATGGGGTTTCGTAGAGTTCGGGAGATGAATCTTGCAATGCTAGGGAAACAAGGGTGGAATTTTTTTACCAAACCTGACGCCTTGGTGACAAAAATCTTTAAAGCACGATACTTCTCAAATTGTTCTTTTTTAGAGGCTAAAAAGGGATCCAACCCCTCTTTTGTTTGGTCCAGTATCCGGGAAACTCAAAATATCGTGAGGCAGGGGGTTCGGTGGAGAGTGGGGAATGGGGAGACAATTAAAATATGGGGCGATCCTTGGCTTCCGGATGCCACAAATCCTTATGTTGAGTCCTCGACACTTGAGTATTTGGGGAATCCTACGGTGAGCTCTCTATTATGTGTGAATTCTAGGGAGTGGGATCGGGGGGTGTTGACAGATATTTTGTGTGAGCGGGATGTGAACCTCATCCAAAGTATCCCTCTTTCTATCGGGAGCGAATGTGATCAACTTTACTGGTTTGGAGAACAAATTGGGGCCTATTCGGTTCGCAGTGCATATAGGCTTGCAATTGGGAATCTGGGACATGGTGAGGGGGTAGCTTGGAGGGGTTTGTGGCGGTTAAGGATCCCACCAAAAGTAAAATGTTTTTTTGGAGATTGTGTACTTTGCGACTTCCTACAAAAGATATTTTATTGACCAAACGAGTGCAATGTGATCCTATTTGTGTGCTGTGCGGAAAGGCGAATGAGAGCAGTGTTCACCTATTTGGAAACTGTGAATTTGCTCACAGCTGCTGGCTTAATTTAAATGAGGCCTGGACTATGTGTTATGTTGATTCTCTTTCGGTCTGGCTAGAAGAAATGTGGACTGTTTTACCAGTTAAAATGCTTGAACAGGTGGTGATGGTAGCTTGGGCGATTTGGGAAGCACGCAATGGTGTGGTATGGCACCAGAAATGGTCGGATCCAGGGACTATAGTGTATATTGCTTTAACGTATGCACAGAATTGGAGGGAGGCTGGAAATCTGGGAAACATGGCAGTACATCACCATGTGCAACTCTCTCAAGCGCCGCAATTTGATCTTCCCCTTCCTGGAGCTGTACGAGTGAGTATCGATGTGGCCATGGACAGTAAAAACCGCCGAATGGGGTTTGGATGGAGCGTTTTGGATTGGGAGGGTAAGGTGCAGGGGGTGGTAATGTTTGTAAAGACAGGTCTGTTCATGGTCAAAGAGGCTGAGGCAATGGGAGCAAGGGAGGCTTTAAGTTGGATTAAAGATATGGGATGGAACAGGGTTACGCTTGTTACGGATGCTCAAGTTGTGACGCAAGCAGTCTGGGGATGCCAAAATTTCTCACCGTTCGGTTCCATTATCCAGGACATTCGTGAGCTTCTGCGTCAAATGTCGGCAGTGGAGTTTCACTATGTGTGTCGAACAAAGAACGTGATGGCCCATTCTCTAGCTAAAAAAGCTCTAAGTTATGCAGAAGATGAAAGACATGTTTTTATGGATTGTATTCCTCGCTTTATGAGTGAATTTTATTGTACTGACTCAAATTCCAATTAATATATTCTGATCTTTGTTTTCAAAAAAAAAAAAATTATAAGTATGGGATCTACCTTGCAATGTGAATCCAGTCTAACATAATTATCGATTGCACTACAGATTAGTGAATTACCATTAATTGATTTAATATAAATTTGGGAGAATGACATTTTCGTCCTATGATTTGTAAGAATTTAGTTTTTATGTCATGTGTATGTATCATCACAAAACGGACTAGTCTAGTGCGACATGCCCTTTGAATTTTATGTTTTGATCTTGAATCTTAATTAATGATATCTCTCGTTTTTGTTTTCAAAAAAATAAAAATTTAGTGAATTTTTAGCTTGTCTTGTCAAATAGCAGGCTAGGCTTGGTGGCACAATAGGGGCTCATCAAGTATGCTTAGTATGTATACAACTATACGTTACTAACATTAGTGTACACACACACACACACACACACACACACACACACACACACACACATATATATATATATATATATATACACACACACACACACACACCCACATATATATGTGTGTGTTATTTATTTATATTGAAAATATATTTTAGTAATTAATATATTGTATAAATGATTGTTATTGACTTATGGATTGACATATTATGTATTTGATTATTTATTAGGACTTATTACTTTATTAGTTATTTTTGTGTTTAACAAATTACAAATGCATTAATATATGTTTAAATTATTCAAATTATTTTAGTATGTATTTATTAACTTTTATAATATTTTTTTTTTTAATTTAACCTTTTAAAATTTGGCAAGCATACCTCATGTTGGAGGATTTTGTAGTCCACCCCGCGCATATGGCGAGTTTTGGTGGGCCTAGTCTCGCCAGCCTATTTTGACAACTATATTTTAAATTATTAGATTGAGATTTTTATGAGTGTTCAACGTAAACTGAATTTTATTTTGGTGAAATTGTTCGCCGAAATGAAAAACAATTTATCGAATTATAACTCGATTAATTTGGTTAACATATTGTTTTGGGGGTGCAAATTAGAGAAATGAATAAATGGCGGGGTGCACTTGGGCCAATTAACAAAGTTTAAAGGGTTTTGAGTGCAACTATTTGAAAGATGTGGTAAAAAGTGTGAATAAGCAAGATTTTGTGTCAAATGGTGAATAGATAGCAAATTTGCGATCCGACAAGTAAAGATATATGAACTCGAAAGACTTAAGAAGCAAAAGAGAGAAAATGAAACTTGGGGGTGGGGACATGGTGCCCCACTACTACATGTGGTTTGGTGGCAATGAACCATTACTGACCACTGTCAATGACTGCAACATTGGTGGAGTTGACGAGTAACAAATTGGCTCCCATAAGACTTTTTTTGTGCGTGCGTGTGTGTTGGGGGTGGGGGGGGGGGGGTGGGGGAGGTGACTCCACAGATTACTTTTTGTCTTTGACTCATTTGCGACGTGGCACACGTGTATAGTGGTGAGTAAACAATGCATAAGAACTACTCACTTTTAATGTAGATTTTGACCTTCTTACACTTACAAATAAAAGGTACTTGATTATTGATAAACATCGTCATTGTCACTTTGGATAATTTATTTAACTTTGTTATATCTTGTGTTATTTATTCTTTAGATAACTTGTTTACTTTTATTTATAAATTGTAATATCCAGCGATTTTGCATGAAATTGAGGTTGATTTTAATATCATTTTTACTATGAACTGAAAAAATAATGCAACTTTAGTGTTCAATTCGCTCAATATTTGTGTTTATTGTTCCTAATTATCCAATTTTGTTTACAAAAATCACATACAAACAAATTGATGATGAACTAAATTAGTAAAACAATTAATCTCATTTTTGGTCATAAATTTATAAGTGACAGTCCAATTTTATACATTTTTTATCAGAACATCCAACTTTGGTATTAGTATTATTGTGAAATGATTATTTTTTATCATCTATTAATAAAACAATTTAAATATCGTTAAATACATAATTTCGGTCTTCAGTTATATATAATTTTTTTTCAAAAAAATAAACATAACAAATATATTGGGTCAACATAATTTGTAAAAAAAATATTTAACTGTTTTTGTATTTAATGACATTTCAACGGTTGTATTGACGGAGGATGAAAAATGACCATGTCACAATAATAGTATAATATTATGATCAAATAAGGATATTATGAAAAAAGAAAAAGACTAAAGGTGGGTTGTCGCCTATAAAATTTTAGACTGCGTGTACTTTAGTTTATTTTTAAATTATCCAGTTTGACAAATCTATACTCAATCAAGTTTTATATTCGACAATGACATTGTGGTATAGTGGCATGAAGTGATTCTCCTAAGTATTTATGGACATATACTACATTGTAACGGAGTAACTAGTACTAACAAAAACTTGTATTTTTAATATCATTAAATTAAATATACGCAAAATTTAATTTAAGAAAAATTGTAATTTATACTATTCACAAATATGCAAATTATAAATGTCAATTATTAGTGGTGTAAATGTTACCTCTTAATTTTCAAAACGTGACATATATTATCTTTTCATAATAGGAAAAAGAAGAACAAATGAAGAAATAAAAAATGAGAAAAAAAATATGGTCTTCGAATAAGGAAGAAGTTGGATAACTATATTTATACCACTAATAATTAAAAAGTGACATTAATAACTGACATATTTATGAGGGAGATAATTACAATTTTCTCTTAGTAAAATTATATTGCACGCGACCAGATGCCGATTTGGTGTCATCTTGATGCAGAGGAGATTGATTACATGTACATATAGCCAATCCATTATCTATACACGTATATACGTATGAATACACAAAACATACATATACAACTATTTTCAGCTCTGATTTATCGCTGACTCCATTAAAGCTTCAAGGAAAATCGACCGAGTTCTAGATCTTGAAGCCTAAAACCCTAGGAATAGTTTCTGATTTCGTCTGAGCCATTCGATTCAATCAGGTAATTATCAGCTTTTGCATTAATTTATTTTCAATCAATTTATCGTTCACGTAGCTCCTTCAATCATTGACCTCACTGGCTCAGCTTCATAATCCCCGTCTGATATATTCATTGAGAATGATGCATACTTATGCATTGTTTATATAGTATTGTGAATTCACGAAAATAAAAAGTGCTATATTTCAACAGCTTCAATTTGTTTGTTTACAGAATCTAATTCGTAGCAGGAGGAGCTTATTGTTTCGTAATTGTGTTTTCAATGACTTTGATATATTTTGCTGCCAGTTAAATGAGGTTTGTTTCAAATAATTCTCTGTATGAATCAATTTTGTTGCTGTGCTTTAATTTTATGCTTATTATTTGATTGGAAATAGGAAACGAGAGAGTGATATGTGATGAGGGGCTGGAATAGCCTTCTGTATATTGGCTGTTGGTTTTTCATACCTTGATTGTATCTTCTGGGGTAAGTATGAACATCGTCAAGGGTGTTGCTGACCTTATACGAAGGAGCTCAAGTGGCTATGGTAGTGACTCCCGGTCTGGGTCATCATTTGAGAGATTCTCTCCTCCAACTCCATTAATCCAGTTTAGGTAATACTACCTGCTATTGTGTTCTCGCTTGTGTTTTGGTAAATAAATTATTCTTTGTAAGTAGACACATGTAGTGCTAAGATCAACATCAACTACATTTCTGTTTTTTGTCGGGAGTTGGATGAAACATTAAAAAGATCCCAACATCCCATTAGCTGAATGATTTGCCAAGTGACTATAATTCTTGTGTTCCTTGCTCACTGTTTTGAACCGATTTGATTTACACATTCTTTTGTTTATCCAATATGAAGTATATGAGTTTACATCATTTATAGACCAATCTCACTTGGTAATTCCCCCCTTTCCAGTGAAAGTGGTGATGAGGCTATTCTAAATGCACTCTGGGCAAGATATGAGAATGTCTCCGATAAGGTATGTGAAAAGATGTTCTCCTGAACTGATATAGCTTCTATAGGCAATGTGCTGGTTATATTGTGGAACTATTTGAAATGGGTTTGTTTCATCTTGCCATTTTAGCTTTATATGTTGCAAAAATGTCGACTCAAATGTCCTGGTTACTTCCAGGGTCTTTTCAAATTAAACTTCACTTTCTGTGAGGCTAAAAGAATGGTGCCAACTATTACACTTGCCAATGCCTAAATAGAAAAAGTTGTTTGTCATATCACTTCTGGGCACCATGTGTACTAAATAACATGTGGTTTAAACTAATTATCTAATAAATTTATAAATTACATATAAATTCCCCTTTTTAAGCTTAAAAGTTGTATGTTATCTAAAATAAAAAGTTTAAAAGTTGTAACGAAATGAAAAGAAGACATTCAATTTTAAAATAGGTACTTCATTTATTGAGTAATATATGCATGTGATGTGAGTGGTGAAAATGTTTGAACTGTCTATACTCTCCAGGATTTGGGTTCCAGCTGTATCCAGTATCCAAAGCTGAAACAGTAAATCAGACTGTAATTTGTGGTGTAGAGTCTTCTTCTTCTTCTTCTTTTTCCCTTAATATAGTTGGAGGTTTATATGAAAAAGACTCAGCACTTGTGTCATACTTAGATTGGTTGCTGATTTTCATTTCTATCTTCTTTTTCCTTTTTGCATGCAAATCTTTGATGCTATATTCATTTTTGGTACCTGACCTACTCTTTCATAAGGGTTTTGCTATCTCATTAAAGGATCTAATCATTTTATCAGTTCCCTTTTTTTTTTTTTTTTTTTTCATTATTTTTGGCATAGAAGGACCATTGCATCTAACTTTTGATTTGCTGGTAAATTCATATGCCAAATTATAATCTCTATCTTATAAGATGTTTCACTCCAATGGCCAGTAGATATGTATCCTCAGAAAGACACATCTTGTCTCTACACTCTAGACTCTACTCTGAAAACTGTTTTTGATCCATATTTTGTTCTCTATGCTGCCAGCAGCGTATCTTCGCCCTTTCCCATTCTGCAGCATATGTTTGGAATTCAGGGACTGTTTTACCTTTATGGAGTGAGCTGGACTGTTTATATTATCTGGTGTCATTCTAGGATTTGATATCTCACAAGTTATGTGCTTGTCATAGTTCTAATTAGTGTGCAACTATGTTTAATTTCGGTGTTGATCAATACTTATTACATGAATCGTTTTTAGCTTAGCTTCATTGTATTCCTTCACTATTAGCTAGCAAATGAAATATTTTGTCATGCAGGGCTTCTTCTGCTAATATGCATATTTGCTTCATTATTTTTCCACCTTACAGCTCTATTAACCTGTTTGAATAAATTTTCAGATGGAAAAGAAGAGGTCATTTCAAATTTTCTTGAAGCAATTCCTTCTCGTATTTCGAAATTGGGAACCAATTAATCTTGCCCAATCACGGGAGGTTGTTTCCGTTGCATCTACTACAGAGGGTTCAAAAGTTGTTACTGATGTTGTACTTGGCTGTTCATTTGGTCATCCTGCCGAAATTATTCTATGTTTAATTGAAGAGCTTGCACAAATAACCATACTCATTAATGAATGTAAGTTGGCTTTATATTTTCTAAAGCAAGCTCTGTAGTCTATATTTCTTCCTACTTAGTTAAGTCTCTTAAGTGCTAATTGCCTGGTTGTACTGGATTGCTTGTCCAGTGATATTTTTGTTTGAACATTTTTTTTCCTTACTTTTCCTTTTCTCTGGAGGGGTTGACTGGATAAAGTGGAAGATTTTCACATTCCTCACAACTTCACTTTGCTTTGTTAAAAAGAGAAAGAGAAAAACGTGACCCACCTTTATCCACCAAGAGGTGTGTAGATAATATTGGGAAAATTTAGAAAACGATACTGTTCTTGGCAGCAAAGATCTGTGAACAATGCACCATTGTGTTGGTGTCTGCTCACTTGGTCTTTGGACACTGTAGCATTTCTCTCTTGCTGGCTTAACCTGGTAAAGTGCTTTAAGGCAATGTGCTCTAAGTAGAGGAACCCCTTCCTACAATAAATGACTAATTGACATCCTTGCGAACATTATAAATTCTTGTTTTCTCCCTGAAAATATTATGTTTAACTCCATCATAATGCTATGAAGTGCAGATCAGTTAGGAGCTTTGTCTACCATAACATCTGAAGGTTTGCCTGTCTTGGATGCTTTGACTGTTGTGATTCGTTCATTGCACAATTGCCGACTTTTTGGCTACTATGGTGGGATTCAAAAGCTTACAGCGTTAATGAAGGGTACAATTTCTCTCATACTTTGTCCTTTTTATTCTTCCATTTGTTTTAGTTGCAATTGTTGTATGTTTGCTTTGGGGGAAGGATAAGAGTGGTTAATGGAGATGATACGCATTATCTATATGATACTTTCTCCAAATGTAGTTTTGAATTTTATTTACTATTCTCTGTGTAGAGATCATCCATTCTTGATCTTTCTTTCTACATTTTGATGTGGTCACCCTTTTTTTCTCCTTTCCATTTGGACGTTTATATACCAAAAGTCTTTCACTACAAACTCTCTGAATTTGTGAGTGTTATTAATTTCCAGCCACAGTTGTGCAACTCAAGACCATTGCAAGTGCACTTTCAACAGATGGAAGTTTGTCAAACAGTGTTGTGGAGAGGATTTCAATTTTTCAGAATATTTTAGTACGTGCAGTCTCCATAATAGGCAGCTTTATTAACTTGCAGTCAAGCACATATAAAAAAGCTCATCTAAGCAGCAGTCACTTGGAGTTAAATGTCTCAAGGAGCAGCAGGGAAACAACTGAACCTTCTTTAGACATGAATGATTCTCTTCCTGAAGTAATGTTGCAGTGGCATAAAAAGGCAGTTGTGTCTGTAATGGAAGCAGGTGGCCTTAATTGGTTAGTAGGTAAGGTAGGCAGCTTCATTTGTTTTCCTCTTTTGATTTCCTTTTTTTAAGCACATGCATGGGATTTAAACAAGTATAACTTATGGTTCTATTTCTAGATCTGGGTATTCTCTGGACATTACTTTCTGGAATGATTTATGTATTATTAAGTCCATCAAGATAATTTATTGCTTTTAAGATCTGAGTTTGCCTATTTCTTTGTTGTGGTCCTTTCTGTTGTAAGAGCTTGGTAAACAGGTAATTCAATATACTTATGAAACAAATTATGCAAAACATTAATTGATTCCTGGGAGGAAGACACCCCACTTACTTATCTACCTATCTGCTTATAAAGATGATTTTTTTAGCAGACAAGTATCTTGTAAAAAAAATGGAAATTACAAACTTTCCTAACCTTTGATGCTAATGCTTGTGATTAAGAAAGAAACCTTGATTGTTGAAAATTGGTATACCTTTTGACCTGAGGCATTCTTTGTTAACGTTCCTTAGTTGAGAAGTATTTAATATGCTATTTCTTGTTTCTTGTCATTTGGATGCTTTTATAGGAGAACACACTTTGGTTACACACAGTCAATTTTACATGCATCTACCTCCGTTGATCATAAATACAGGAGAAAGTGCTTTGGTTATAAAATGAAGTGCTATATACATTTCTTGTGTTGAGAAGAAATATAGTCATTTTGCACATTACATCAGCATTCTTTTCGTGGCTTATTATTGATGTGAAGGACCTCACATTTCATCTATTATGTTGGGAATTGATATTTTTAATGCTTGTTATGCCACCAAATGCACTTCAGCTATGCTTATTCAAGAAACTGTATTCACCCTACTAAACAGTATATGCCGCCATTTTCTCTGTGTACAATTAGTTATAACATATTGCACCCCCCCCCCCCCCCTCTCCCTATACTTTTACTAAAAATTAATAAGTCACTGGCTCTTGCTATGCCATTTTAATCATTTTTACTCGATGGCGTAGATAGTAGTGTGAGTCAAATATTAAGATTTAACCATCTATGAACTGTAGGAAGCCACTGTTAATTAATTCTTTTGGTTGAATATTTGATTTCAGAGCTGTTGCGTGTCATGAGGAGGTTGAATATGAAAGAACAACATACAGACATTTTACTACAGAATTTAGTTCTTGAAACTCTTCAATCAGCACTTTCTGATAACCCTCGGGGTCAGAACCATTTTCGAAGTATTGGTGGACTTGAAGTTCTGTTGGATGGGCTTGGAGTTGTATCAAACAGTGCTTTGTTATTAGAGGATTTCTCAAGTTCTGGCACCACTAGGTATTATATTTATTTCAGTTTGTTGCATCTACAATATGATCTTTGGTCTTTCTATTTGGTCCACTAAATTGGAGTGATAGGTTTTCCATTTATTGACTGACAGGTATTCTCTGAGTAAAAATTTAAGATCATAATGAACCTGGTTCAGTGGTACCCGATTGCAATATTTGCACCTTAGCTCCTTAGTTGATTTACATGATAAAAGACAATGCTATAACTTGGATTTTTCTTGCTCTCTCTGTGTGTATATTATATGAAATATTTTTTTGATAGAATGGATTTCTTTTTTCCTGGCAGGAATAATAACTTCCTACTGGATATTTTCCACCTCCATGTTCTTTTATTGGAGGTTCTTAGGGAGGCCGTGTATCCTTTTTGCTATTCACTTAAATATATATGTTTGTGTGTGTGTAATATTTGCCTTTCATACTTCGTGGAAATACTAAAAGGCCACAAGGAGTTGTTTGATGCAACTGTAAGTAGTCTTTTTCTTGAAGAAATCTATTTACATAATTGGATTTCAAATTGCCTGTTTAAAGCCTTCATTTTCAGCTTCTTTTCTGTCAAATTCATTTCAGTTAAAAATGAATGCCTAAACATCAATTCACTTGATTTTCTTCTCTTTTTAAATCTATATGAGTAAACTGTGCAAATGATCACTGATGTCCTTGACCTGAACTAGCTTTGGAAATTTGAACAATATGCAATTCTTATCAGAGAATGGAAGGGTGCACAAGTTTGCAAATAGCTTTTGTTCACTTGCATTCACACTACAAAAAGTCAGACTGGATGGCAATGACTTGCCATGGGACGCTTATGATAATAGTGATGACACAATTTCCACTGAAGCTAAAGGGACAAAGGACTCTGCCACAGTTTCAGTCAAGCTATCTTATTTACAAAGTTGGAATGATTATGTTGCCAAGATGAGCACTGCCCTTTTTTCTTTTCTTCTTCCATCAGAAGTTAGCAAACTACATAGAGCTCAAGCATCAGTCGGAAGAAGTAACTTGTTAATGTCTCCAGCTTATGTTGAACTTTCTGTAAAGTGGGTGATTAGAGTGCTTCTAATAGTTTTTCCATGTATAAAAGCTTGCTCGAATCAAAGGGAGCTGCCTAACCATTTAAGGTATATCCTCAAGTGTTTGCATATTTTAATCTTCTCTTTCTTTACCTAAATTTATTTACTTTTTTTCTAAGGGTTTTTAATTCCATTGGTTTGCATTGACGAATGCTATTATTTGCATCCCCTAACTCTGCTAATTAGTTAATTAGTTAGTTTTTTTTTTGGTGTTTTAATCCCTCCTCATGTCTAATTTTATGACACTAAATGATTCTCACAGGTTTTTTATCTATATGCTTCAACGTTGTGTTCTCTCTGCATTCAAGACGATTCTCATCTTTTCACCATCACTAGTTGATGTCTTCCGAGCTGAAGGAGCTTGGGACTTTCTCTTCTCTGAAAACTTTTTTTATTTTGACCCTGCTTCAGGGGAATTTTCTGGTCATGATGGGTCCAACTATGAGATTCCACTGTTCAGCAATGAACAGAAGTATGCTGCAAATTGCACAGGTAGTTCTATAAATCTTAATGAAGTTGAAGCTATTCAGAGAGAAGTAATTTCATTCATGGAATTTGTGGCAACTTCAAGTGGAAGTTCACATAACTTGGTTAGTCCTTTGTTCTTCCTTTATCCTCTACTCTGTCAGATGTTACATATCTAGGGTTTTCTCTCCAACATCCCCATCACCTATTTCCTATCTGTTTATCCGGCAGTAGAAGAAGTCCTGTGGTCCAACATCTGTGTTGGATCTCATATGTTGTTTAGTTGCAAGTTGTGTGCATTTTGCATCTCAAGTTTCCTTTGGTTCACATGGTCAGAAAACTGGTGCAACCTATATTTCATTAGCAAGCTTCCTTGCACTGTTAAATTCTGGCAAGGAATGGATCTTTCAAGACTTGCTGATATATGTCATGTTGCGTTCTTTAGAATATTGATCCATTCTTGCATCTAATTCATGTTATCTACTTGCTCCCATTGTCATTGTTTACTCATCATATTCCATTCAATTGTATGTGCTATTAATTTTTTCAAAGAATAAATATTGAACTGCTGATTTAATTTAACATAGTTGCATGGATGTAGAATTGGTCATCTGGTCGTGTTATGCTAAAATAATTGCTCTCTTATCCGACAACTGCAGTGGATGAAACTTTTGTTTCAAACCCACCTGTAACTACTTGTTTGATTGAATATAACTTGCATTGCAGACCTTCTACTCACCCGTGCAAAGCAATGAGGAAAAAAGGGAAGAAAATAAATTTGGTTCTGTATAAAAGATCTGCAATAGATAGTTTCAATTGCTTTTCATCTGTGGTTATGTCTTGGTGTGCGCTCTTTTTGTATTTCGGTCTTTTATATTATACTTATATTTAATAACTTTCTGTTATGATAGCCTGAGTGCTCAGTTCTATTGGATGCCCTTGAACAATCTGCTTGTAATCCTGGGATAACTAATGTTCTTGCAAGGAGCCTGGTTCAAATATTGCAGCTTTCATCTGAGAAATCTGTTTCTTCTTTCAAGACACTTGATGCAATTCCTCGTGTTCTTAAGATTGCCTGTGTTCAGGCCCAGGAGTCTAAGAGAGCTGAAAGTGAAAGTCCTCATGTGGATTCTATTCAGATTGAAATGGCAACTTCTTTTGACCAAGAGATGTTGAGTTCTGCTAAGGCAGTCCAATGTTGGCAAACGAGCATGGCAACTTGTGTTGAAATTTTCACAAGATACTTCTCTCTTATAGATGATGCAAAAAGATTGATGTTGCACAGCTCTGCTTGTGTTGACCGTTTATTTGATTTGTTTTGGGAAGAAGGCCTGAGAGGCCACATGCTTTCTTATATTCTTGACCTGATGAAGGTTCCTGCCTTTGACCCTTCTATGTTTATTTTAGTCCCGCATCTTATTCGATGTTTGACTTTTGTTTTTTGGGCCGGCAGATTATCTCAATATCTGAGGAAGACCATAAAGCAAAACTTTATTTATGTTCGAAGTATTTAGAGACATTTACACATGTAAAGGAACACGAGAACTTTGTAGAATTATCTATTGACTTACTTGTTGGGATGAGAGATTTGCTTTCAACTGACGAAGAGGTATTTTACCGTTAGCATTTTGTATTTTTGCATATAACTAACATGTCAATCGAAATTCTGTTCTGCATATTGATGTATAATTTGGCTCCTGTCTTGCCAGTACTATCAGGCTTTATTCTGTGATGGTGAGTGTTTCATACATGTTGTGTCTTTGCTGAATGGGAACCTTGATGTAACAAATGGTGAGATGCTGGTACTGAATGTCCTCCAAACACTGACCTGCTTGCTTTCAAGGAATGATGCCTCGAAGGTACCTGTTTGTTCTTCTTCAGTTCTAGTATTTGGATTTCATTTATGCATCTCAAGACATACTTCTTGTACTGGCTACCAAAGTATAATTTGAAAATGCTAGCTTGTGCCTGCCCATCAGTATTTTTTAAAAAATTATTATCACTCTGAATTTCAATTGGCCCTTGTACATAGTAATCCATTCTTTGCTCCAAATTGAATCAGTACTCTGTTTCTAGTCAATGCATCTTTTTATCAGAAGTCATGTGCCTTATTGTTTTTGCAGCTAGAAAGTCCTTTTAAAATTTAGGAAGAATATATCTACTATTATAATTTTTAAAAGTAGAAGAACAAATCTAATAATTGAAACTCAACATCATTCTACATCCTTCAACAAGTAAACAGGACTGTTAATATTTGAGATAGAATTAAATTACATTCCTCCAAACACTCAAGAAATATCTATAATGTGCAGTAGTTGGGTATAAAAAGAATTTATAATTCTCAATTGATGATAATGTGCAGTAGTTAGGTATAACAAGAATCTATAATTCTCAATTGTTGATAGGTATTCTTCTCAATGTCACATGCTAATTTTTTATGAAGAGTTATTGCTAGCTTAGCAAATAGTTGGTTAGTTATGTACTTGTACTATTATGTTTCTACTATATTGTGACACCTTGCACTCTTGTAGCATTGGTGATAACATGTCATAGTTCATGCCCATAAATTTCTACTTCACATTAATCTTCTCTTTTCATCTGAAAGGCTGCATTCCGATCACTTGTGGGTGTGGGCTATCAGACATTGCGAAGCATATTGTTGGACTTCTGCCAATGGCAACCGGGTGAAGCACTTTTGAAGGCTCTGCTTGATATGTTGGTTGATGGAAAGTTTAATCTCAAGGAAAACCCTGTGATAAAAGTGAGTGATGGCTCTAATTTAGTTGTATTGACTGTGTGATATTGGTGTTTCTTTGTAGTTGGTTTCTGTTTAAACTGCTTCTCATGTGTTGTATCTGCGTCATTTTTTATTGATTCAGAATGAAGATGTGATCTTACTCTATTTGAGTGTTCTGCAGAAGGTTAGTAATTTATGCTAGCACACTGCACATAATACTTTTTCACTGTTCACTGGGAGGCAGATAAATGCATCTCATTTTAATTCTTTCTACTGAAATATTATCTATGTTTATTTATATTTGTGTAAAGTGATATTGAATCAATTTCTTTCCAATTCATGACTGGGCAGAGCAGTGGGTTGTTGCAGCAACATGGGCTAAATGCTTTCCTTCAACTTCTAAGGGATTCAATATCAAATCGAACTTCATGTGTCAGAGCAGAGATGCTTAACTTCCTTCTTGATTGGTTTGCGCTTGAAGATGATGATGGCGTGGTCTTGAAAATTGCCCTATTGGTTCAGGTCATTGGTGGCCATAGCATTTCAGGGAAAGACATACGCAAAATTTTTGCTCTACTTCGAAGTGAAAAAGTTGGATCTAATCTGCAGTACTGCTCATTGCTATTAACCAGTGTGCTGTCAATGCTAAATGAGAAAGGACCGACCGCCTTTTTTGATCTTAATGGTGTGGACTCTGTAAGTTTAAATTGCCCCAACACAACAAACATCTATCAGCTCACTGGTTGTTTCTTTCCATTTTTTTTGTGAACTCTTTCTTGTTTATTTTTATTTTTAAGTTCCTCTTTGCAGATTTTGTTTAAATGCAGTTAAGCTATTTAAGCTGCTATCTTGACTATGCCACTTTCTTTATAATCTCTGTATGGCACCTGCAGGGAATATCAATTAAAACTCCAGTTCAGTATCCTTTGAGTAAGGGACTTTCCTTTACTTGTTGGTTAAGGGTAGAAAGCTTTCCCAGGAGTGGGACAATGGGGCTTTTCAGTTTTCTTACTGAAAGTGGAAGAGGATGCATTGCTGTCCTTACAAAGAACAGTTTAATCTACGAGGTGCAGTAGTAAATTATGGTATTTTGTTTCTGTTTTCACAAAGGAAAGGCTAATTTTGCTCATACTTAGGTTCTGCTTGGTAAAGCTTGTGGTAATCCATATTCTCCTTCTAGTTATCTTTTGGATTACTGTCTATGATCATGATCTTTGCCAAAATTGGATTATTTGATCTCTAATCTGAATGATATACTTAAATGAGCTTTGCACTTAATTAAGGCTTTGTTCCTTTTGTATTTTATAAAGATCCCAATGGAGTCTTGCCATCCAAATATATTACATATTTCTCTCTTACTATGGCTTAATAATTTTAACAATTTATGGATTACTTTTAAATCTCTTGCAGTCGATAAATCAGAAGCGACAGTGTGTCTCTCTCCATGTGAACCTTGCCAGAAAAAAGTGGCATTTTCTGTGTCTCACCCATACAATTGGTAGAGCATTTTCTGGGGGTAGCCAATTGAAATGTTATTTGGATGGAGTTCTTGTTTCATCTGAAAAATGCAGGTTGCGTTTCATTTCATTATTTTTTGATTCCTTGTTGCTTTTTGTTGAAGAAGTTTGAAGAAGAAAATTGTATATATTGTCTATTTACCCAAAAGAACTGACCACAATATATAGGCAGTGAAAGGAAAGCTAAAAGACCCTAGGGATACTAACAGACATACAATAAAAGCATAGTAAATACAATAAATCATCTCAGCAGTTTTTAAGATCTGAAAAAGGAACATAGGAGAGTAGTAGATATTATGCATTTCATTCTTCTAGAAATGCAAAATTTTGACCAGAACTTTATTATTCTGATTGCAGATATGCAAAAATAAATGAGTCTTTGACTTGTTGCACCATCGGCACAAACATAAATTTCCCTTACTATGAGGACAATTCTTTGCTTTCAATCAACGATTCATCCTCATTTTTTGGTCAGATTGGTCCTGTTTACTTGTTCAATGATTCAATTACTTCTGAACAAGTGAAACTTATCTATTCCCTAGGACCAAGCTACATGTACTCCTTCCTTGACAGTGAATTTGCAGTTGGTTTGGACAGTCCATATAACAATGGATCAATTGATGTGAAGGATGGCCTTGCGTCCAAAATTATTTTTGGACTTAATGCACAGGTTCTTTATCTGCTTTTGGAAATATGTTTACTTCAAATTTTAATACTCTTATTCAACTCTTTTGTGTTCCATATCAGGCAAGTAAAGGCAGAATGTTGTTTAATGTTTCACCAATCTTGGATACTGGGGTGGATAAAAGTTCATTTGAAGCAACTGTGTCTGTTGGGACACAGCTATGTTCCAGACGATTGCTACAACAGATTATATACTGTGTAGGTGGGGTATCTGTTTTCTTTCCTCTGTTCACTCAGATTGAACTGTATGAAGATGAAGATAAGAAGCATGCTGGCGAGACTTTGCTAACTCCAGTTACAAAGGAACGTTTAACTGCCGAAGTTATTGAGCTTATAGCTTCTGTTTTAGATGAGAATTTAGCCAATCAGCAACAGATGCTTCTACTATCAGGATTTTCAATATTAGGGTTTTTACTTCAATCTGTTCCGCCTCAACAGCTCAATTTGGAAACACTTTCGGCTTTAAAACATTTGTTAAATACGGTTTCAAATAGTGGTACGTTGCCCAATTTCAGTTTCTGGATCCTGGATTTGTAACTTTGTACTTGTTAGTTATTCATGTGCTTAATTTTCTGATGTTCTGCTCTGTTAGTTATTCAGTTTCTGCTCTGTTGCAGGCTTGTCCGATATGCTAGTGAAGGATGCTATATCAAATATATTCCTTAATCCACTTATATGGGTGCACTCAGTTTACAGGGTGCAACGTGAGCTGTATATGTTTCTCATTCAGCAATTCGATAATGATCCAAGGTTGCTAAAAAGTCTATGTAGACTCCCCCGAGTTCTTGATATAATACAACAGTTTTACTGTGATGATGCAAAAAATAGTTCTGCTATTGGAAACAAACCAGTTTTACATGCTGTGACAAGGTCAGTTATTGCAGAAAGACCCACCAAAGATGAAATACATAAAATTCGTCTCCTTCTATTGAGTCTTGGTGAGATGGGCCTCAGGTAAATAGTTTCTTTTTCTATACTTATATTAAGAGCAGGTTTATTCTTTTCCTTGATGTGTTGTTCCCAGCAACATTTTTTTTTTCATGGTTTAATTTGTCATTTTATAATGGTTTATTCTAAAAAATGTTCTTTGATATATGTTTGGTTATGCAGGGAGCATATTTCAGTATCAGATATAAATGCTCTTATCACATTTTTTGAGAGTAGCCAGGATATGTCATGCATTGAAGATGTTCTGCATATGATTATTCGTTCTGTATCCCAGAAGCCGCTGCTTGCTTCTTTTCTGGAGCAAGTTAATTTGATTAGTGGTTGTCACATTTTTGTCAATCTTCTTCAAAGGTATGTCTTCTGTCATTATACTGCCTTTTACTTCAAACGGGTATGCTATAATTCTTACTATTATGGGCAAACTGGTTCGGTTCATAACCAGAAACAGAAGCCTTCTTGTTCCTTTTCACTAAAATATTTTTCTTAATTATTTTTAGTTTTTCAGTTTGGCTGGTGAACACTAAAACCTTCTTAGAGATCTGTGGCATTACCTGTACATTTTCTAATTAAAAAAATGGAATCCTGAATCTATAATTGATATCCAACAATCAGCTTTGACATTTTTTTTTTCATCTCACAAGGTGACCGAATAGTTTTATTCATCTTTGATTTAGAAATTTTTTGGTCTGAATACTGAAAATGAGTGCGCAGAACAAATTACATTGTGTTTTCTGCAACCTATGAGGTCAATATTGAGCAATGAAATTAACCAACTTACTGTCATATATAGGTTTATTTACTATCATATTTTTTTGATCAGTTGTGGCAATACAGGTCTAGGGTGATATAATTGCCATTTTTAACTTCTCTGTGCACTTCCACCTTCCTACTGCTATTGTGGGGTTTGTGGCACTTAACATTTATGGATAAAAGCTAATAATAAGCTTGTTACTGATTAAAAAAATCACATTTCTGATGATTCATGATACTTTTTAGGTGTGTATATTTATATGATTTTTCTATTAATTGATGATTTGTTGAAAATGCATTAAGAATCAACAACAGTGCCAAAAGGGACATAATTGAACTGATACATAGGGAAAATGCCATTTAAAATAGTACCGGATCCAAGGAGTGGCATAATTACCTTCACTGGAAAAATAAATTGAGAAAGGGCCAAAAGAAGAAAGAAATTGAAGGAATACACCTGTCTCCTTATGTCCCAACAAAAATGGAGTGTGCAAGCCTAAGTTGTGCCTAAAACTTCTTGACTCTGGTGGTTTTTGAAGGAACAGAGTTTCTCAAGTCTCCATTGGACATACAAAAAACTCTGTAGTCTTATCGTTACCATCCTCAGTCCTCACCCACCTTCCCCTTAGAACTGTAGCCTTCTGAATATATGTTTCCTTTATGTGTATTTTCTGAATGTATTGGCCTCTAAAATATTTATTCTCATGTTTTATTAATTCAGGGATTTTGAGCCTATCAGATTGCTTAGTTTGCAGTTCCTTGGTAGACTGCTTGTTGGTCTTCCGTCAGAGAAGAAAGGATCAAAATTTTTTAGTATTGCTGTGGGACGACCTAAATATCTTTTAGACAGCAGCCACAAGAAAGCCAGTTCAAGGATGCAGCCCATTTTCTCAGTAATGTCAGACCAACTGTTCAAGTTTCCTCAGACAGATCTTCTGTGTGCAACATTGTTTGATGTTCTTCTTGGAGGTGCAAGCCCTAAACAGGTGATTATGTATCATTTTCATTTCTCTTGTGTAATTGTGTTTTCATTTAACATCCACCTGAACAGTTGTATAATCTTTAGTTCAGCAGTCAAATGGTTATCCTTCATGTTTTATGACTTTCATTACTCATATCTGAGGACTTGAGTGTTTATTGAATGGTGAATGCACATGCTATAAGATTCATAAACGCAACTAAATTTTCTGAGCAGGTTCTTCAGAAGCATAGCCAGCTTGACCATCAGAAGAGGAGTAACTCTCAATTCTGTCTTCCTCAGATCTTACCCCTCATTTTCAGATTCTTGGCAAATTGTGATGATCCTACTGCAAGGATTAAAATTGTTAGCGATCTACTTGATCTTCTTGACTCAAATCCTTCGAACATTGAAGCTCTAATGGTATAAATATAAAATATTACCTGGTAGCTCAAGGAAACTGTTGCTTGTAAACTATCTTTAATTACTCAAATTTGTGTGATAGGAGCATGGTTGGAATGCGTGGTTGGATGCTTCTTTGAAGACGGATGCATTGAAGAACTACAAACTCAAGACACATATTCACAGTGACTGTGAGATTAATGAACAAAACTTTATTAGGAGTTTCTACTGTGTTGTTCTTTGTCACTCTATGCATTTTGTCAAAGGAGGGTGGCAACATTTAGAGGAGACAGCGAATTTTGTACTTGTTCAATGTGAAAAAGTATGCTTTTAACTCTTCTGAATAACTTTTAAGTATTTTGCAATTCATTGGTAGCCACCTACAAATTTCTTTGTTTCTTCAGGGTTGCCTCTCATATCAGTATTTTCTTCGGGATCTCTATGAGGACTTAATCCGGAAGCTGGTAGATTTGTCTGCTGAGGAAAACACCCTTGTAACACAGCCTTGCCGAGACAATATGTTGTACCTTCTGAAACTAGTTGATGAGATGCTTCTTTCGGAAATAAATTATAAGCTTCCGGTATATGATTACCCTGAAACACTCTGACTTGTGTTATTTTTTAATTTCCTCATTCCAAATATTTTTAATTGTTTTGTGAGCTAGCGTGAGTTTTTATTCTTTTAAAAAGAATTTTAGCGCTATGTAGAGTTGGCTTTAGCTAGGCTTGTTCGTTGTTTTTGTTTTTTTGTTTCTTTTTTGTTTTTTGTTTTTGTTTAAAATTTATTTTTCTTCCATTTCTGGGTTGATAAAAAAGTATATGTTGAGTCAAATTATTTCCATGCTGCAACTGTGATGCAAGATACAGTTGGTCTCTTTTATTGTGATGTACAGTAGTGATTTCTTTTGTTTTTATTTGTATTCTAACACATCGTCACTATATATGTTATATTATTTTACATTACATTAAGTTTCTGACCATGCCTTGCAGTTTCCAGCTAGCTGCACAAACTTTTCTACTGAGTTCTTAGAACTAGAAAAACTCAAAGACCTTGATTCTGCCTTATTGGAGGCCCTGCAAGGAGAATTTGATGAGAAGTTATCAAGGTATATTTAAATTGATTTTGCTCACTGTCTTCAATAGCTTGACAGCACTCCATTTTTCCAGTGGGTGATGATTATACTAATTGAAACAATTTTGTCTATGTATGTATGTATGTGTGTGTGTGTGTGTGTGTGTGTGTGTATTGGTTCCCGTTCATGCATTAAGCTTCATTTATGCTTCCCAGGAGTATTGAGGTTCAGAAGTTGCCCAACACAAAAGAAGAGGAGAAAATCAATGAAGAGTGGTGGAATTTATATGACAACATATGGAATATTATTGGTGCAATGAATGGAAAGGGGTCAAATAAAATGTTGCCCAAGTCTTCCCCAGCTGCAATTACTACCTTTGGGCAAAGAGCTCGTGGATTGGTTGAATCACTGAATATTCCAGCAGCTGAAATGGCTGCTGTTGTTGTATCTGGTGGAATTGGCAATGCTTTGGCTGGAAAACCAAATAAACCTGTTGACAAAGCTATGCTTCTAAGAGGGGAGAAATGTCCTAAAATTGTTTTTCGACTGATGATCCTCTATCTTTGTAAATCATCCCTTGAAAGAGCATCTCGATGTGTTCAACAGGTCATCCCCCTTCTACCCTGCCTTCTCACTGCTGATGATGAGCAAAGCAAGAGCCGGTTGCAACTCTTCATATGGTACCGTATATTTACCATTTTAATTTTTAAGAGAAGTTTTATCTGGGTTCCTTTATTTTTGTATTCTACATATCCATAGGTGACTATTTATCTGAATATGTGACCTGCAATTGAATTCATATATAGGGCCTTGCTTGCTGTTAGATCACATTATGGGGTGCTGGATGATGGTGCTAGGTTTCATGTTATTGCTCATTTAATCCGTGAAACAGTAAGTTGGGGAAAGTCAATGTTAGCTACAAGTATTGTTGGCAGAGAGGATTCAGCTGATTCAAGCAGCAATCCAAAAGAAGGAAGCTCCATTCATAACCTGATCCAAAAGGATCGAGTACTTTCTGCGGTGAGTCATATGATTATTTTTCCAGTTGCGTATGGATCTTTTCTTTGTGCAGCAATAAGCAAACCCTTGTATGCTCCCCCAAAGGTATTGGTTGGCAACTTCGGCGATGGGATCAAGTTCAATTCTGATTGTATTTCCTTGTTTTAGTATCTTGATCTGTTTTTAATTATAATCTACAAATTGGTTGTAAATTTCTAATTTGTTTAATTTGACAAGCGGTTAATTTCATTTGGGACTAAGATTAAAGAAAAAAATTATTGCACAGAAGTCTTGTTTCAAATACTCAATATTGTGCCAGGCTCCTATTACTTGCATTATCGTACACTTGAGGTTCCTCAATTACTGTGAACATATTGGATTGAAACCATTAGATCTTGGATTGAAATTTTTGTAAATCTGCCAATGAGGCACATTAGCTAAGCTGGAGTTTTATGCCTTAAAACCATTTAATCTTGGATTTAAATTCTTGTTTATCTGAATTTATATTGTTTCTTTGTACCCTTATGTGTTTTATCTTCTTTAAATAACGATATTGTACCCTGATAACTAATTTTAGTTGTATTCTTGTTATACTACACATGAATGTGTGTGCGTATGTATCTTATTTTGGTTTCCATTTTGTTGCATTATGTATCACTGAATTTTATGTGATTGTATCCAGTTTTCTGATGAAGTAAAATATATAAAGAGCTTGGGGGCAGATAGGACTAGACAGTTACAAGAGCTTCATCTTAGGCTCGATGAAAGTATGGTTGTTGATTCTAATCAAAAGAAAACAATCAAAGATGAAATCCAGAGCAGTTTAATTGCTGTTCTTGCCTCAGACAACAAGAGAAGGGATTCTTTCCAATTATCTAAAGATGAGGAGCAGCAAGTAGTTGCTGTAAGCATACAATTTATTTTTTTATTTTAGAATTTTAGATTGCATTATTTTTTATTTGAATTTTCAGTTAATTTTCTTGAATACAATTTTTCTTGAACAGGGAAAATGGATTCATACTTTCCGCTCTCTAATTGATGAGAGGGGTCCATGGTCTGCTAATCCTTTTCCAAATAATATTATAACACACTGGAAACTTGATAAGATAGAAGATGCATGGCGTCGCCGGCAAAAGTTGAGACGGAATTATCATTTTGATGAAAAGCTATGTCTTCCTCTCTCTACTATTGCTCCTACTGACGCCCTTTCTCTTGCCAATGATGGAAAATCTGGATTTGGGGCCAATATTCCAGAGCAAATGAAACGGATTTTGCTGAAAGGGATTAGGAAGATTACAGATGAGAGTTCTTCAGAATTAAGTGAAAGTGATGCTGAATCTAGTGGTCCTGTTTCTGATGACCCAACTGATAAACGGTTCTCAGATGTCGTCAAAGACATTGGTGATCAAACAGACATTGCTCAGGACAGAAAAGATTGCTCCTCTTCATCAGCTGAAACTGAAAATAGTGAGGTATGATATAAAATCCACACAGGAAAGCTTTAACTTATAGGGGTCAAATTCTTCATTGCACGTGTTTCAACAATTTTCAGGTTCTCTTGTCAGTCCGCTGTGTTCTGGTTACACCAAAGAGAAAGTTAGCTGGGCATCTGGCTGTCATGAAGAAGTTCTTGCATTTCTCTGGTGAATTTTTAGTGGAAGGCACTGGAGGATCATCTGTCTTCAAAAACTTTGACTCTTCAGGTATGTTTGATCTGAGCAAGCCTGATCAGGTAGGTGGAAGCCAGAAGCAGAATATTTTTAAATGGGCCATCAGTCTTGATCTGGATTCTGAAAGAGGAAGAGCTATTGATAGCATAAGTGCATTATGTGGGAATGCTCAAAAGAATCCCAACAATATCAAGCGCCATAGAAGATGGATCATCTCTAAGGTATACTAACAGTTATTTATTGAAGAGTCTTTCATGCCTGAGTGTTGCCAGTTATTATTATTATTATTATTATTATTATTATTATTATTATTTTGGGTGGGGTTATGTCAGAGGGTTGGAGTTGTACTCCTATCCTTAGGTCTAGTCGTCTAGAAGGCCATACCTTGTGTATGGATTTAAAGTTTCTTCTACTGGCTACCAACTGTAGGTAAAGGCTGTCCATTGGACTAGATATTTGCTTAGATACACAGCAATTGAGATCTTCTTCAACGACTCTACTGCTCCAGTGTTTTTGAATTTCGCAACACAAAAGGATGCAAAGGATGTTGGCAGCTTGATTGTAACAACCAGAAATGAATCTGTGTTTCCTAAAGGATATAGGGACAAGACGAGCATTATTTGTTTTGTTGATCGGCGTGTTGCATTGGAGATGGCAGAAATCGCCAGAGAAAGTTGGAGGAGAAGAGAGATTACAAACTTTGAGTACCTGATGATTCTTAACACCCTTGCTGGAAGATCTTATAACGATTTAACTCAGTATCCTGTGTTTCCTTGGGTTCTGGCTGATTATTCTTCAGAGACTCTTGATTTGAACAAGGCATCTTCTTATAGGGATCTTTCAAAACCAATTGGAGCACTGGATCCAAAACGGTTGGAGGTCATCAGCTCTCTACTTCTTTGGCTTGGTTCTTGAGTTCATAGTCAACTATAGTATCATAAGATTTTAAAGTTATTGAATTTGGCAGGTTTTTGAAGACAGATATCGTAACTTCTGTGATCCTGATATTCCCAGGTAATCTATGATTTGTGCTGTGCATTACCTTGAATAAGCATATTTCTTAACCATATATGCCTTGTAAATGTATGTGACATGGGTTAATATCTAAATCTTCCTTTGGCAGTTTTTATTATGGATCTCATTACTCTAGCATGGGAATTGTGCTCTTTTACCTTCTTAGATTGGAGCCTTTTACATCACTCCATCGTAATCTGCAGGTAATTGACTGGTTGTTCTGCAAATGGCTGTTTTCCAGTCTTTGAGTCATTCAGTTATGGGTATACTAACCATTCAAATTATCAGGGTTATTTAGAATGACCATTTTGGTACTGAATTAGCCTCTTTTTCATCTTGATTTGTCATCTTTAACTCCACTGTTAACTCTTACTATTGTATGGCCTTTGCCATTATAGGGTGGAAAATTTGATCATGCTGACAGACTTTTTCAAGGCGTTGAAGGCGCATTTCGGAATTGCCTTACTAATACAAGTGATGTCAAGGAGTTGATACCTGAATTCTTTTACATGCCAGAGTTTCTTATTAATTCAAATGCCTATCATTTTGGAGTAAAACAAGATGGAGAACCATTAGGTGATGTTGTTCTTCCTAAATGGGCTAAGGTATTTTATGTCCCTGCATATTTGCTTTTCTGAATTCTTGTTGGGTCAATCTCAGTAAAAAAGGATACTGTAATCCTTTATGTTTTTATGACGAATTTTGTAACTCAACTGTTCATTAACTTATTTCAAACCCAGTAGCTAAAGTTCTCAGCAGAAAGTGTGTTTTTACCATAGCTGGGATGTAAATGATCAGATTTATCCATTGGGTGGACATACTTATTTGGTTGACCGAAAGAATGCAAGCATTCCCTTGCAAAATCTGTGTATCTGTATTCCTTTGGAGTAACTTTTAAGGTTGCTTGTATAATGGCTATAATGCTCCTAAAATTCAGTTTTCTGTCTTTTCAATTTTCAAATGATGAAATGCAAAGAACTTAGTTTGAAATCTGTTTACACAGGGTTCTCCTGAAGAATTCATAAGCAAGCATAGGGAGGCCCTTGAAAGTGAATATGTTAGCTCAAACCTTCACCATTGGATTGATTTGATCTTTGGTTATAAACAGCGTGGAAAACCAGCAGTTGAGGTATGGCCAACAAATTTGTAGGGCAGCATAACTAATGCAGTTTACTTATCTTGTTTGATTCTCACTGAATTTTTTATAATGTCATACAGGCAGCAAACATTTTTTACTATTTAACTTATGAAGGTGCTGTTGATCTGGAGACAATGGAAGATGAATTGCAAAGTTCAGCAATTGAAGATCAAATTGCTAATTTTGGCCAAACACCTATTCAAATTTTCCAAAAGAAACATCCTAGAAGAGGACCACCAATACCAATTGCACATCCTCTGCAATATGCGCCCGATTCTATCACTTTGACTTCAATTGTAGCAAGTACTGCTAATCTTCCATCGACTGTCTTGTATGTTAATGTGTTTGATTCTAGTGTTGTCCATGTGAACCAAGGTCTCACCATGTCTGTTAAGATGTGGTTAACAACTCAATTTCTGTCTGGAGGGAACTTCACCTTCTCTGGCTCACAGGTGCTATCTTGATTCATATTGGGTTAATGTATTAAAGCTATATAGTAGTCTGGTTTTCATGGTTTCTTAAATCTTTTTCAGGATCCTTTCTTTGGCATTGGTTCTGAAATCCTTTCTCCTCGTAAAATTGGGAGTCCTCTGGCAGAAAATATTGAACTAGGTGCACAATGCTTTGCAACATTACCAACTCCGTCTGAAAACTTCTTAATATCATGTGGCACTTGGGAAAACAGTTTTCAGGTCATATCATTAACTGATGGAAGAATAGTGCAGAGCATTAGACAACATAGAGATGTTGTCAGCTGCATTTCAGGTAAACTTCACAATCATGTCTTAACATCTGCCTTAATGGATTATTTTACACTATTACCACCTCTGGTTCATTATATTGCTTAGTGGAAATTTAAACAAGGTGAGGTTTACTTGTGACTTGTGAGTGTTTGGGAAGTTATCCATTTACAGTAGTTAAATTATTTCGGGACTAACTTGAAAACGAGGTCACTAAATTGGTATTAGTTGGTATGCATAGTATTCTACTCTGGCCATGATTTCTATTGCCCATTAGTATTAGGTTTTTCGCCATAAAATGATAGTATTTGGTTTTATTAGCTAACAAGCGTACATGATGATTATATTTTGAACATGTTTATTGCAGTGACATCCGACAGAAGCATCGTTGCTACAGGAAGTCATGACACAACAGTTATGGTCTGGGAAATTGTCCGTGGCAAAAAGCGAGTAAAACATGCTCAGCAAGAGGCTCCTAATGTCATTGCTGAGACTCCATTCCGTATACTGTGTGGACATGATGATATAATCACTTGCTTATATGCAAGTGTAGAGCTTGATGTTGTTATTAGTGGATCGAAAGATGGAACTTGTGTCTTCCATACCCTACATGATGGTAGATACATAAGATCTATTAGGCATCCAACTGGCAGCCCGTTGTCAAAGCTCGCTGCTTCTCGCCATGGCCGGATTGTTCTTTATTCTGACGATGATCTTAGTTTGCACCTGTACTCCATTAACGGGAAACACATCGCCTCTTCCGATTCCAACGGCCGTCTCAACTGTCTTGAACTCAGTTGCTGTGGTGAGTTCATGGTTTGCGCAGGCGATCAAGGTCAGATTGTTGTGAGATCTATGAGCTCACTGGAAATCGTGAAAAAGTACAGTGGAATTGGCAAAGTAATAACTTCACTGACTGTTACACATGAAGATTGCTTCTTAGCAGGGACAAAAGATGGAAATCTTCTTGTTTATTCTATTGAGAATCTTCAAATCCGGAAGACAAGTGGTCAATTAAAGGCCAGAGCCTCTGTATCATAACAAATGAGCAGCTGACCCCCCATGAACGAACCAACTGTACATTACTATTCTTTGAAGTTTGAAGTGAAGAAAGACCTCCTCATTGTTGATAGTATTAGAAACATAGTTTTGACAACATTACAGTTGTGTTATCTATCTGTGTTGCAATGGACAGTGGTGGGTGTTTGGCCTTGAGTTTTGTATAGTTGGGGTTAACACCTAATATCATATAGGAAAGGACAATTATGTAATTTAAACAAATTTTATTTTATGATATAGAGTCACCAATGAATCAATGAAGCTGTTAGTTATCAAGTGCATCCAATAATGTGCTCTTCTCGCTTTCCTTTCATTCAAGAGATATAGTGATACGATTTCATATAAGACTTTCCTTATTTCAACATGGATGCATTTTCATTTTTTTTTCAAATTGTGGATTATGATCCATACCATATTAGGAGGTGGACTATTAATAAATATTCATTATAGTATACTAAGTATTTATTTTAAGTATTTATTTTTAATATATTGAAAATTCATTATACAACAAATTTAATATATACCCTAAAAATGAATTTTCAAAAAATGTATATTCTATTTTAAAGATGAAGATTACAACTAGTTTTGTTGTAATGTAGACCAAGTTTCAGGGTACAATAATTATATGAGTTCTACTACATGTACCCTTAATCTTACTTTCTAAATTTTACTCCATGATGTGACAGATTATGACAAGCTATTTTTTTCATGTGAGTCCCAACACACAAGTATCAATCGTTATGCTGTGCATCCGTATGCACCATGCATGGTGCATACGGATGCCAAAACGACGTCGTTTTATTAAAAAACGTGCGTCTCCCCTTTAAAAAAAATTCAGGTTCGATTCTCAGCAACAACATTATATTGTTCATTCATTCTGGAATTTTAGTTCATAGATTATGGAATTATAGTTCATTGATTATGGAAATATAGTTAATCGATTATGGAATTGTAGTTCATCGATTCTGAAATTTTAGTTTATAGATTATGGAATTTTAGTTCATTCATTCTGGAATTTTTAGTTCATAGATTAGATTATGGAATTATAGTTCATTGATTATGGAATTTTAGTTCATATATTGTTGCTGGGAATCGAACCTGTTTTTTTTTTTAAAGGGGAGACGCGCGTTTTATTAAAACGATATCGTTTTTGCATCCGTATGCACCATGCATGGTGCATACGGATGCACAACATAATTTGCCCACAAGTATCTACATCAAGATTTTGTGTGTGAGACCTAATTATATTGCCCTGAACAGTAATTAGTATAGGCCCATCATTTTTCATTCTGAACCCATAAATTTTGTCTTCTTGTTTCTCAAATAATTAACAAAACTGTCCATGCAACTTCCATTTCTATCTCCATCGCCGAATAATCCTTTCATTCTCCTCGCATTGGCTCGTAGTGACTCGCCCTCTTCACTCAGTACTGCCAACTCGACTGACTCGGCTACTGCATCGCTCGTGAACGATCCATCTCGTTCATCTCTAGCTATTTCTACTCCCACTTTCTTTCCCGCTAACAGCCTTGCATTCAATCCTTGGTCATTCATCACCGGAAACATAATCAAAACGCGGCCGCAGCACAGTCCTTCTATGACTGAGTTCCACCCGCAGTGAGTCAAGAAACCCGCAATCGCGGGGTGACTCAGTATCTTAGCCTGCGGGACCCACTCCGTGGATACCACCCCGCGGTTTCTAACTCGTTCTGTGAACCCAGTAGGGAGCATCTCTGAGTAGCCTCGTGTTGACCCGGGTGGGTTTCTCAGTACCCAGAAGAATGGCAACCCGCATTTGTCTAACCCGGTAGCCAACTCGCGCAGTTCAGTTTGACTCAGTGTCGCCTCGGTCCCCAGCGCGACGTAAATCGCCGAGTTCACTCGCTGTTCATCTAGCCATTCCTTGATCTTAATCCATGCCGGATCACCCCCGTCTTCCGGTTCCGGCGGCAAAACGCCGATGGATATCACCGGCTTATTGTAAAGCTTGCAAACCAGGTCGAACCACTCCGGTTCAAACTCGACGCAAGTTCTGAACAACACGATATCACTCCCATCTACAGCTAAACCGAACCGGACCTCGTCCGGCGTACCGGACTCGTTCCCGACGGCGCCGTCGGCATACTTCATAACTTCATGCGGGCGGTAAACGACGTCGGATTGAAAAGGAACCCAATTTGGGGCAACCGTGACAGCCTCGGGATTAAAATCTCTTCCACCATTGAGTATTACAGATGGAGGGCCAATAAACGCCATAGTTGCAGCAGTAAAGAGACTCAAATACGCAGATGAGATCTTCAGCTGAGATGCAATTCTGGGAAGCCAATGAGAGGCATAGTCATAGATGATCCAATCTGGGAATGGGTTTGCGTTTTGAAGAAAATTGGCTAAAGGGGACTCAAGATTGTCAAAGGCTATCTTCAAGAACTGAGCTTTCTGGTATGGAATGTCCATAGAAGACTCAGCATGGTCTGGCAAGTTTTCAACTTTAGGAAGGGGGAGGCTAACTAAATGTATGAAGGGGGCTAGGTGAGAGGGTGTTGTTGGCAATCTTTCAAGGTTTCTTGGAGTGGATATGAAGGAGACTTTATGGCCTCTTTGAGCTAAGCATTTTGATAGATGGTGGAAGGGTATGAGATGGCCAATGGCCAGCCATGGGAACATAACTATATGCAGAGGCTTTTCAGTACCCATGAAGAAGAGAGATTAGTGAAATGCTGCAGAGTTAACTAATTATTGGATTTGGGACTAATATATGATACATCATCTATATTCTAGTGGTATCTATATAAGAATGAGATACTGGTATGTTTTTTATTGGTTAGAGCAGAAAGTCTTGGTCCATTTTGATGGCTTCAAATCTTCAATTGTCCAGTTAGCCCGCCTGACAAGGTAGTTATTATAAATATAATAATAAAAAAAATTATCCATTTGTCAGACTCTGCAGCAAGCGGCAATTCCTTGGAGGTCAATACTACTGCTAGCAAATTGCAGCAACTTGCTTGGAGGATTAATGTTATAACTATCCTATAATATTATATTTACTTATTTATTAGTCAGTATAATATTTTATAGAGTTAATTTTGAATTTACTCTTTGACTATCATTCATTATCAATTTTAGTCATTAATTTTAAAAGCTACCAAATATAATCATGGAGTATTAAATAATTTTAAAAGCTACCAAATATAATTATATAATCATATAATCATTGAGTATTAAATAATTTTTAATTATAATCCACGTTAGCTTTTTGTGTGATGTTAACATTAATAGTAAAATTGGAAAATCAAGACTGGTACCCCTTCAAAGGGTAAAACTTTGTATCAACTATTAACATTGAGGATTCACAAAGAAATGTTAATAGTGGATTACTGGATTATAATTGTAAATGATTCAATACTCAAGAAATTTGATAGCTTTTAAGGTTAAGGACTAAAATTGAAATTAACTCTGTGTTATATGTTTTCTAAGTTCACCGCTCCTGTTATGGAGACTAGTGGAGGAGGTACGAATATAGTAAAATAACTAGAAACGTACAATTTGCAGTATATTATAGTATTATACTAGGGGAAGAAAACAAAGATTGAATATTTGAATTCTTCCATTATAGCTGCGATTATGTGAATATCAAGGGAGAAATATGGCCTGGCTACTGGCTAGTCTGCCCAGTACTGAGTATACATATTCACAAGAGCCAGAGAATGAATGCGAGAAATGGACTGTACACCAGAAAAATAGAAGATTTTTCTTTTTATTGCAATTTCTCATGTACACATCCATTCCACTCGGGCTTCCGGCTAAATTTTAACCCATTGCGTTTACAAAAATTAGGGACTCAAGTATCTGAGTCCATCTCACTCTACTATTATATACTATCAAAGTAAAATGTACTGTAGCTCTTAAATAGTTCATTTACCACTTACAGGTTGCTTCTTTCTTTCTCCTTGTTTTTACGTTTATTTGGAGACGGCCCCTGGCCTATAGGGATTGACAGGAGTTGAGTTGCAACGATGGGGTGGGGCGGGGCAGTATGGACAAGTGTGGGTCCCCTTCGCACTGCAGCATTCCCGGAATTTAGAGATCTCATAACATCTGTGCTATTCATTGAAATCCTCATAAGGGGAGGATCCGCTTGAAAAATCACTACAGAACGGTGTGTCCCTTGGAGATGAGGGGACAGATTCTCTTTGCTGAGAAGAAGACAAGCCTGATGATGCAGAAAAGATGTCAAAGTTAACAATGGTGTAGGCGAGACAAAATTCCAACCATAAAAGGGAAGAGCCATGCAAACTAACCTTTTTGCCCTCTTGTGCGGAATTTTTTTGTGTGCCGCCTAATCAATTTCTTGGCTTTTGTTATTGTCAATTGTCTGGCAAAGGGTGGAAACTCTGCCTCACTGTCACTCCACTCACCACCATGTAAATCATTTTCTGCTTCACCTCTCATTGTTCGTAGAACAAAATTCTTTGCCTTACGGCGCTGTGAATTGAAAAGGCCCCTTACGGAGGTCACAAACCGATCGCCTGCCCCATCACTTGATCGCTTGGGCCAGGTTAATGGGTACTGCTCAGATTTTTCAGCTGAACCTCCATCACTATCACTGAGATTAAGATCAATGTTGGGAACTCCAGTTGCACCAGCTTCTTTTTGACCATGAGCTTTATCTTTAAACTTCTTGCCCTGGATTCATAAATTTAGGCAATAAATCACTATAAGAAAAAAATACAATTGTATAGTTCAGAGATAAATAAAGGCAATGAAACTCAAGAAACCTCACATAGTAGCCTAACCCATTGGAAGCTAGTAATATCATCTCAGCAGCAAGAAGTTAAATTCCAAAAGCAAAATGTACACTTGATTACCTGCATTCCTGTGACAGATTTTAAGACTCCCCATATGATATGCTTCTTAACTCGTGAGAATAGCCTCCTCCAGGTTCCAGTAAATTCAGGACGATGGAATGTATCCATCAGCAATCTTAGATCACTTACAGCAAATCTTGATCCTTCATATGTCACTAGTAACTCAACCTATTCCATAAACACGTGAAATGGTATGAGCACAGGAAGTTGTATGACTGAGAAATAACACAGAATTGTAATCATACATGATGGAACCAACCTGACTTATCTTAATATTGTGGAACTCTCTCATTCTTCGAGGCCTAGATCTTTTTTCATCATTTGCCTTTCCTACCTTTTTCTCTTCATGAGAGGAGCGCCCAGATTTAATAAGTTTGGAGTCTTTGGATTTATTTCTAGAGGCTTCATCTGGCTGCTCCATAGATGCCAAAGCCTCACCTTTTGCTGAAGATGCGTCCGAACAATGAGCTTTCACAAGTTCATTAGCAACAGATTCAGCAACAGTTTCCTCCCATGTTCTATCAAAGGAAGATGTTCGTCGTATTTGCGAAGTTGCACCAGAAACAATATTTGTATTCAAGTTCTGCAACTTTGATGCCTGTAAATATTCCAACATGGGAGGTCAATCTTACAGAGCCTTGCAAAAAGACAGAACATAATGAAATGCTAAAGGTTACATCCATTGATGCATCCTGAAGCAAGTCTGCAATCAAGTTGAAAACACACTAATGTTATTTAATATAAACTGAATTTCCTATCCTAGATCCAGTTGATAAAGTAACTAATCATCTTGCCTAGGAGAATCCATATATAGAAAGAACTAAATGAAGCCATGTAGCACATGAGTAAGCCATGAGTTTTTGATGTGGAAGAGCAAGAAACTCACTTCAGAGGCATCAGCAGATGAAGACTGAGAAGTTCCACATGTAATTGGTAGTACAGAGGTGTTTGATTTATACAACACCTGAGAATCTTTAGCTAAATGGCTACTAGAAACTGGAACTTCATGTGCTGATGAACCTTTCTTTGCACGCCTTGAACCAGCTGTAGTTGAAATCCAAACTTCCTATCCACAGCAAAACAGTTCAGACATTACTCCTATATTCTTGTATTAACCTGATTCTCTTAAGCTGGATATTTTTACAAACCTGTCGTCGCTGGGAGTCTTGTTCTTCTTCTGGGAAAAAGTATTCCCACATCATTCTGTACATAGTCTCAGTCAAGTGTATTTTCAAGGGGTAGATGTCCACCTGGAAAAGGAGACAACCAAACACAATTCTTTTAATATCACTAGGCAACCCAAGAAAAGGTGTAACAAATAGGCTGTGGCCTGTGGGAGATGTTTCTCCTGGATAGTTCTCCAAAACAGAAAAAAAATTTTAAAAATTAAAAAATTTAAAAAATTTAAAAATTGATAAATACATATATTAGACAGATTGAAAAGCTGTTTGAATGTGTAACAGGCATGCATGGATAATGATATAATTAATGTTAAACCATTGGTCTCCATGCATCATATAACAAGGTGCCCTGAAGTCTACATCTGCATTTTCCAAATATATTGCATGAACTGTGGAAAACCCACCAGTACGACAACAATGCATGAATGCCACAGTATAAACAGCCATGTCAATTAAATAATAGGCTCAGTTATAGCCATTTTGAAAATGCAATTTTTTTTAAAAAAAAATGGTGAAATTAATGCTTTTGAAAAAGGACAAGTGAAATTAATTTTTGTCATATAAAAAGAACAGCCAATTACCTGGAAGAGTTCAAGAGGACAGTTACCATCTTTAGGAGCTCCCTGTTTTGCATCTACACGAAGCATAACTTTTCTGCAGCATAAGTACCAAAATATAACAACTACTAAAAGCTGTAAACATACTTAAAAATAACTAAATTTATGCATTTTGGTAAAAGAAAAATGACAAGAAAAATACAGGTAAACCTCAAGATAGCTCTCTTTAAATGGTAAATTCAAAAAAATAGGTTATTGGAATCCAATTGGGGAAACACAAGAACAAAGAAAATGTTAAATAAATTAGGTGAAAATGCTAGACTTTGTTGGGGAGGGGAAGGTTGTCATGGAAGGATCAGAAGTTCAGGACTCTTGTGAAAATTTTCAAATTTGTTTGATTACTATACTTTTTAACAGAGCAACTAATAAATTGTTCCTGAAATTTTTTAAAGGACCAGAGCTCTTCTGTAGCTTCTCTTATTTTTGTATAGTTACTGCTATTGATAGATGCCTGATTCAGAACATGAAGGAAGACATAATTTGAAATGGAAATGTGCCATACTTTCCCCATTCAGGAGGAGGGTTCCAGGCTGAAAGAAGCATATCAGACTTGGCATTGGGCAGACAGTTTCTTACAACAAAGTATTTTGTTGTAAACCGAGCAACACCAACATCTTTGTAATCCCTGTCAAAATCATATATCTGCATCGAGAAATTGCATCATTCTAAGCAAAGTATGTCCAATATGGATGACAAACAGATCTATGTAAGTCATCAATTATTTAAAAACCAAAAGATGAGGAAGTTAACAAGCAGAGAATCCAAAATCTTTGGACAATATTAAAATACACTTGCATTCAATTAGTGTATTCAAGAATGAATTACCTAGGGAGGAAGATACCGATATCTTTTCCCTCTTTTTTCCTTTCAATTACTAACATACACATCCTGATCTTTTTGTTTGTGTTTCAACATGCCCGAGTAATTTTATGGCTCACACAACCATTATCCAGCTAAAGATATGCACAGATATTTGAATGTTGTAACCATATACTAAAAACCTCACCATGTCATTTATCTCTGCTTCTGCAAAAGATTTACCATCTACAAGCATGCTCCAGACAACTTTATTAATCTGCAAAGAAATGTGCATAGCACATGAAGGACTTTTGTTCTTTTCTTTCTCTGTCAACCGTTGCTGTGCAGCCTTCTGCAGGGCCATCCTTAGAGAAGCAGATGCAGCTTTTCTAGATTTTTGTGCACTAATTAGCTCCTTTTTTAATTTTTTTACCTGTAAAAATGAAACATACAAGCACACAATTTTATTATAATGAAGATATAATAATATCAAACTATCAACACAAGGTAGCACAAAAATACAAATGAAATAGGGATAGAACTTGGAAATCAGGATGGCAAGCTGAAAATGTTTTCTATAAATTACATTCTCAAAAAAAAATTACAAAATCTACTATACATAAAAAAAATTAAAAAAACAAAAAATAATCATTTGAAGAAGGTTTCTTTTCCCAATAAGAAAACTTGGAGAAGAAACATTACTACTAACTCATTAATTAAGGAATTATGAAACATGCTTACAGGCTTACAGCCCAGACTTAGCTTCAGAGTTCCAAGATGTGATAATGTGATCTTAAAAGTATTCCACTCTTGCAATTTGACAGACAAGAACTTTGTCAAGATAGCCAATTATAAAACTGATTCATCTGGCACAAGGCATGGCATGTCACTTTTATATAAATGAATGTGCTTGTCCAAAATTGTATGAACTAGAGGCACACCATGCCATCACTACCAATAAGACATGCTTATTTGAGGGAGATGAGTTGCACTACCCTCTTAGCAGTTTTAAACAATAGAAAGTTACCAGTAAATAACATTTGGGTGACTATAGGGGAAAAAGATGCCGGAATCTTGAAAAGCAACTTCAAATGTACTTATTTTAAACAATAAAATATCTTTGCATTTCTTAATAGAACAATTGCACAGGAAAAATATCTCATAATAATGCTAAAATTTTGAAAAGCAACTTCAAATGTACTTATCTAGTTATCTTACCAATATGGACCTTCCACCAGTTACCATCCATGGATCACGATCCTTTTCCGAATAAACTTCTACAGAAACATCATTACAAAGAGACAACTTCCTGATGTCATCCAGGATTAACTTTTGGAAACGTTCCTTTTCTTCAAGGTTGATCCTAGCTAGTTCTACCTCTTCAACACCATCAGGAACAACTTCATCTGCCTCCTCTTCAACATCTTCATCATCATCAGTTGGATATGATAGACTAACTTTTCGAGGCCTGAATTTTCAACATCTTCATCATATTTCAAATGTAAACAATTTTAGATCAAATATGAAAATGACCAAATTCAACACCTCTAAACCCTTGACCCCAAGTTTGTTGGGGAAAGTGGAAATTCACCCAATTGGCATAACTGGAAACTGTTGTCAGTATAAGATTTGGATACTACAAGTTTTAGGTGATAGAATCACAATTGACTGTAAAAGCAAAGTAGCATGTAATTATCCATTTAGTTGAAACTACTTATGGCAGCAAATACATTAAATTTGAAAAATCAAACCCTCATTCAATGTATGCAGAGCTCAGTCTATATATCAGTACATTTTTTACATCTTCCTCATATTCAAAACCAACCTTCTTCAATTTGTAAAAGATCTAGTTTGAAGTTTAATAAACTTTATCATTTCCAGCAAAAACAAAACATTAAATGATGAATATTGACATCAAACACCAACTTGGCAAACATAAAGAATATAGACACAACATTGTCTGAGGCATACTTCTAGATCTTTTTTTATCTTGTAACATCCTATCATATTGTCCACATACTACCATCTCTACTCTGCAGCTGTACAAGGACATCAGATACAAATGTTAGTGTAGTTAAACTAGTATCAAACTCGTACATCAATGATTTGTAAAACCTTTTTCATGAATCTGAGGGAGCACACCATGCTCTTAATAGTAAAACTTCAGCCTACAATGGTCATTCATTACATATTTTAGGCAGAAAATTACCAATATTAAAAACCTTTGTTTCATGACAGCTATGGAAAGAAATTAAATCAGAGACACATTGGATAACTTGTATTCTATATTCAAAACCCACATCAGTGTGTGTTTGAATAAATATCTGTTTGTTTCAGTAAATTTTCATGATTGAACAATATTATAGCATAATGTTAAGAACTGAAGGATAATATCAGTAGTGGTCATCCTGTAAAAGGTATCAAGAATAAGGTAAAAGATATACTTACTTTGGAAGTCGAGCAAATAGGAGATTGGTTAAAACATCCAGCATGACTTGAAATTGGCGAGATGTCATTGTTGCTGTAATATTATGAGAATTGAAAGAAAGCTCTTTTAAGGGCTTCACCTGCAACACATAATATAACTATAGATCATCCTATATTAAAAGAAAGTGCCAAGCAAAACTTGTGTAATGAAACATGGTGTCATTATTAAGGAGCCTCTAATCACCAAAAATAGATATAGAGCATACCTTCAAGTCAGGAGTACCACCTTTATACCTTGTATACCGGAAATACATATCACAAGGCATAAATACTCTTTCAAGTAATGCCCCAGTTCTTTTCACTTTTGGTGAGCTTTTACGGATTTTGGGAAGCCACTGAAGTCCAGCCCCTGGATCTACATCAGTTGGAGCAACGTGAGCCTGCACATGCTCTAACATCATGGTGAACTCCATGCGGTTCCATGTCAATTCTGGTTGAGATTCAGGGATCTGAACATTCCCTCCACCAAGTGCCTGTTCAATTATCTCATGCCCAATATGAAGAACTGAATGGAATGAACGAGCTAAAACACGGCCACTAACAGCTGCAAGCAAAAATCTACCCTGCAAGAGGAAAAGGAAGGTCATACAGCATTAGCATAAAATAAAAGCACTAACAGGTAAGTGAGGTAACAGTTCACCAAGTATTGATCAGAATTGCACATTCACAGTAGCAAGTTATTGTGAAACTTGAATTTCCATACTCTTTAACCAGCCATATTTGGACATGTCTAAGTTGTTATCAAGCAAGGCAGCCAATGTCAATGTCAATTTAACCTAAAAGGGGGGAGGGGGGATGACCGTGCTAACAATGCAATTAAAGTTACAATAAATGCACCATTACAAAGCTGAAATCAGAAAGTGGTTAAAAAGAAAACCGCAAGGGAGGCATATTCCAGCTAGCCAAACAGCTTACATTTGCATCTTCTGAGTGAAGATTGAATTGTGGTTCAATGACATTCACCATGAAATGACGGGTCCCCTCCCCCTCAGACTCTTCAGTGCTACCAAATTTTGCTGCAGGAAAATGCATAAAAATTACAATCACTCAAGTTAGGATGAGAATGCCAATGAAAGATGTTGAAAGTTATCTGAAAATAATATGTAAAGGCACATTTGCTGTTCAAAACAACACAAAAGTATAGACTATTGTATTGTGAATGCTACAAACACACAAATTGAACATACATGCAACTATGTTGTGCTGGAAGAACTAACCCATGGAGCAAGAATAAACACATTGCTCAAAATAAGTGGACTTTGATAACACATGCCTCAGTAAATAAAAATAAAAGAAATAAATAAAATTGAAACTTCATAACTACTGCATGTCAGTACACTCAAGGTATGGTTCAAACTTTACCAGTTTCATTAAAAAAAGAAGCCTCAACTTTAACTGAATTAGAAGGAGATGACCGCAATTGTGATCCTGATGTCCCTGAATGTTGTGGAGATGAAGAATTCACACCATGACTAGGAGGAGACTTCCGATTATCATCTTGAGACATCTCAGATTTGTCGGCCATCTTATTCTCCTCAAGCAACTTTCTGTGAGCATATTGCCGAGAAGGAGATGGCTTTGGAGGTTGAAAAGCTTTAGATAATCCACCAACCCAAGACCAGACAGCATCTCTATTCTCAATAGTCCACAAAAGTTTAAGACCATAAATAAATATGCGCTGACAATTATCTGCAATCACTACATTATATCCATCATCATCACTTAGCTCAGATCTTGCATGGTCATCGCTTTCGCTATCATTTTCAAACTCAGACCTCACATAAGTCACCTCAACATTTCTTCTGTCAGATTCTTGCCATGCCAATAACCTTTCAGGATCAGCCTTTGGAGATTGCCTCCTGATTGTAAAGTAATCAGATGATAAAAGAAAACCATCATCACGATGTCGTTCTGTGCTGCCACTCACCATACTGCTGCTTTTCACATTCCTAGCCCTTTCCATTGATCCAGATTGTGAAGTTTTCCTAGTCATTTGAACTGCTTGGGAGACACTAGTGCAATCTTCCCTATTAATAAATGCTTTGGGCATGTGAAGGTCAAGACCCTGATACACAAGATCAAGTGGACCACGTTTGCTTTCGAATGTGAATTTTTGCTTTCCTCGACCATAATAAAGTTCATATTTCAGCTTTGTCATCTTAAATGTCAATCCCTTGGCTGGATCATCATTTTCTAGAGGCATGTGATTGATGCATGCTGGAGTTGCATCAACCCTAAACATGAATTCTGTCATTACCTTGTCTAGTGACAGATTCCCAGATCTAGGAACTCTTGGGACTCCAAAACGTGGCCACCTAGAAAATGACCGAATTTTCTGAGGAGGAGCATAATTTAAGTTCCAGAATTTGATTAGCCATGCTAAATCATGAGGACCAAGATTGAGTGTTGGGAAATCAATTGAGGGTGTATTTGAACCATAGGCAGCTCCATCAAGGACATGCTGATCAGACATGGATGATAATTCTGACTGGCCATAGCAAGGAGGAAGAGCAGGCCTAAGCAACAGATTCCAACGTAGGGACAAAACAGTGGACCTAAACGGATCATAAACCTTTTCACGAGGAACAAGTTCTTTTGGAAGAGCAAACAAATAATGGTTTAGGGAATTTCCAGATTCACACTCCCATTCCATGGTAACTTCAACACTGAAAACAGGGGCCTCTATGAGTGTACAAGAAAAACCAGTTGGAGGTTTTACACTTGAGTTTTTTAGTATGCTCTCCAAACTGCTTATTATAATCTTGAAATCCTTTGCTGAAACATAAACACGACCATCAGACTGTTGCAGTTCCATATAACCTGATATGATCTGAAGCTTGTCAGACATTTCATAGGGATCAGTTGTTGCAAGAACAGTCCATTTGGCTTCAGAGAAGTATAGAGTGATGTTCCCATGCATATAGTTTCTCATTTCATCCCACCATGGCAAGCTCTTTTCCTTTTTCGGTGGAGGAGGATCAGGGTTTGGATCCCTAGTACTTAAATTGGCCCTGCGAAGTGCCACAGTAAAAGCATAACTGATATCCGTAAATGACGGCTCAAAACCAACACCATAGGAAATTTCTGCTTTTTGAAAATATAGGGGCAAATCAGAATATGTTTTCATTGGTGGAGTTGTGCCACTTGCTGAACGAAGCAGACTGACCTTCCTCCACCTCCCAATGAAGACATTTTTGAAAACTTGAGGCTGAAAACATGTTGCCTGCAATTTTAAGGGAAGAAAAAAAATGGCAGCAGTTTGTCAACAAGCACAAGGTCATCAATTCAGGATTCAGCAAAACAACTTAATCAAGCAATCTTCATGAAGGAAAAGTAGATAGGTAGATTACGCATTAATATTCTTATGCTTTAAAAAGGAAGTTAAGTGAATGACAGCTAATATGTATATAAATACAGAGGCAAACTGTTAATGCTAACTGAATGCAGATATTATAAACATATCAACTCCAGTGCAGATAGTGTCAGAAACCAAGTAGAATTCCTATTTGGATATTCTGTTTAAAGATGTCACAAAAATCAGGAAATACATAAGATCCATGAGTGTACTGATAATCACTTGAGTTTCTCACTGATAAAAAAATGTCACCCTATAGACATGGAAAAGGGTTTAAGGGAATTTCAGAACAAACCTGCTGAGCAAGCACAAGGCGACCTTCACATTTTCCAGAAGTTGCAGCAAATAATGGATAAGTGTAATTTCTTATTCGTACAGTAAGAGAGCCTGCACATAAATTGATATTACTACCATATAGCCGAGAGAATGGGATGTTTTGTGCCTGACATATAGGATCAAGCTTCTGCAGAAGCTCAATTATACCAGTTTCACCTCCTTCAATTCTTGTCAAGCTTACATCTAATTCTGTAGCACAAACTGAAAAAAGAGAAGTCCTGGAAGTACTAGGCGTAAAACCAGCTTGAAATCCTTCGCTGCAAGCCCCTGATCCTTGTGATGGCTTAAGATTTTTACATGCCTGGTAGTATGACCGGAATGATTTCCTATAGATCTCCTCTCGCAGTTTTTGAACTGCAGAAGTGTCCTGCACATCAATCTCTTCTCCATTAAATAGAAACTTGCCTTCCAGAATAGAAGCATTTTGCTCAGTAGCACCAGAAGATGGACCACATCTGGAGACAAGTTCATCAAGAAAGTTCAATCGCACAGCTAATTCACTAGCCTCATTCTTCAGCAACTGATAATGTTCATCAAGCCAACCCTGGATTGGCTCTTCTTCAATATAAGCAGTTAGTTCACGTATGCAAAATCTTACACGTCCAACCTTTGATGACCTGGATTTTTTAGGTTTTGTATTATCTTCCTTGTTTGGAAACATAAGTTTAGTTTTAGCAGAAGTAATGAGCTTTAGAGCTCGAATCATTTCCTCAACAGAATCATCAATGGCACGCAACTGTAACCTGTAAGGCATGCAAATGTGAACATCAAGGGCTTGAATTACCCAGTCCCATTCTCTCTCAGTTTTGGAATTTGATGCAATGCTAGAAGCATTAGGAATCCGAGAAATTTGCATCCTGCTGCTTCTAAATATTCTTGCATTGTTGAAATGGAGTGTGAGCCCTTCAAGAAGCACACCTATTCGTGCATTTTCAGAAAAGATGGACTGGACCTGAATAGTGGTTTCAACTCCATCCCCAACTTCAGCAGATATATTAAGCATTTCAACATCAATTGCAAAAATGGATTCCCTTTTCTTGTGCTGTTTCACAAGCTCTACCGATTCTGCAGATTTCTCTTTCTTCAGCTCATTATCATTCATCACTTCTTTCCTAGATTCTTGAAGCTTATGCTGGTGGACCATTAACTTCAACTGCAAACCAAGTTCAAATAACGCTATATGCAAATCTGGTTCCCATCTGAATGTCATATCAGTAGCACTAAAGAGAGAGCAAACTGCAATGTCTTTAAGACCACCAGATCGCCTCACAAACTTTGCATTTTGCAAGTCAAGCAATGTAACTTCAGTTCCAGGATTATTTTCTTCCAAAAATTCTCGATAGATAGATCTGGCTCTTTCAAGCTCCATCTGTGTGGACTGTTTCTCCTTGTTTATGCAAATGCTGAGATGGGAGACATCAAGGGAAACTGAATACTTCAGTTTCTTTGATTCATCTGAGGTTGTAGACTGTATACTTGCTGTTCGGGGAGTACCATCTGCAGAGACATTAATCAAAACTACCCCACCGTGGGACCCATAATTAACACGTTTGGGGTCTGCAACAACTGCATTTTCTAAGCCAGCATCTCCACTGAAATTTAAAGAACATCTTTCAAGATTAAATCTTATGACTTGAATCCCCTTTCCGGATGGCTTGGACAATTTTGTACTCCTGTTATGTGTTGGTTTCTTACTAGAAGCAGACAAACTTCTTATTAATGATTTGAAGGAAAAGGCTGCTGATATTAGTGATTCAAGGCGCCTGAAGTTCATAAATACTCCCATGCCAGTTACATCCATGGATAGAACCAATTTACAGTTGATACCATCTTCAGGCAAATCTGTATCCTTTCTGCCCCAATCAACACTAATCTTAGCAACATGCATTAATGATTCTGTATTTGTTTCCACTCCAAACAGGCTCTCCTTCAAGCATTCTTGATATTCATCAGACATGTGCAGATTGAATTCACCAAGTTCCATATGTACTTCTGTGCCCGTACTTGATATGTTGTTGGCAAAGACATGTGATGATTGTGAACAACCCTGCAATTTGCAAATGAATATGCCATCATAATTTAAACAATTAAGAAATTTTTTATACGAGAGGTGTCTATTCATTCTTACAGACAGAAATTCTCCTGTTATCTTGATAGCCAATTTCCATTTTTAATGTTGATAACCTGGTTGCATATTTGGTACTAAAAACCATTCCATATTAGAAGAATGTGCACTTCTAATCAAAAAAGAATCTTACATGGTACAACGGTGACCCACTCATATCATAAAGAACAATTGTCATCTCTGGGGCAGAGACAGTGCATGTCCACATAATGGCTTTATGTCCAGAAGACTTTGGGCTTTCAGAAGTAGAACCACCATTTTCAACTACCACTTTCTTTTTCCTCAAGGCAAGAAGGCCCATCCACGGAGTTAATCTGGTTAGAATTAGATTGCTCTGAGTACCTCCAAGCTTGACTTCAACTTCAAACCCAATAGGTGAGGTAGGCTGTACCAAAGCATCTGAAGAATTAAATACAATGGAAAACGAAAAAATATATATTTAAGAATTTAAACAAGCAATGAATCATAATCGAAGTGACAAGACAATATATTTAAAGTTATAAGACATAATATGCAAGTGCTGACAGACATGCATTGGGACATGAGTATGCACGCAACAATTATTCAGCTATCTCTGAAGTATAAACACAACCCATAACCTCTTAAACAATGATTGGGCTAGTGCTGCAAGGTTCCTACATCATGCAGGGTCTAGAAAAGACAGGTGTACACAGCTGAGACACATTATCTCAAACATTTACATACCTCATTTTTGTTTCTATGGAATCCTTAGTGTGAAGCTCAAGATATTAAGGAAATCCACAGTAAAAAGATGCTGCTACAGGATGCAGTATAATGATGTGCCACATACCTGACGTGGAATATGAACTGACGAGACAACATCCAGTTTCAATATTTCCATAACAGAAATACCAGCCTCCCTGAGTAGCTGCAGATAACAGAGAAATTGGCATTTAAAAATGTATTTTAAATTTTATATATATATATATATATATATATATATATATATATATATATATATATATATATATATATAAACAGAGTAGCACAAATAAAAACTACATTATATTTGAAGTTAAAATATGCATGCATACATGAATTTCACTAAATTCCATCTGCAAATCAAGCCGTGTACTCTCTCCCACATCTTCAATTGATCGAGATTTTGAGCCTTTGAGTTGAATGCCCATGATGTTATTCTCCACCAGAAGACCTTCTCCACGATGGACAAATTTCATGTCCAATTTGGGTAGATTGAAGCTAAGCTATCAAATAAATATAGTAAGTACATCAATTCAAGTATCAACAAAAGGATTAGAAACAATGTAGACAAACAGATATTAAGGAGAAATGCATTGATATCTGCCTCAAATGTAATCAGGAAACAATAACACAGATGCCTCAAAAAGTAATTTTAGGCATACTGAAAAAATGCATATAATGTTATGTCAATCACCTTAACATAGAGACATATAGAGACTTTTCAACAGTGCTAACTGGGCAATCAATTGCATTTAATATTTTGATTTAGAGCTGTCATGAATTGAAACTTACAATGATGATAGTTTTAAGATCAATTATGTTTTAACAATACTAAAAATAAATAACATGGAGCAAAATTAGTAGCAGCAGCAGTAATAGTAGTAAAGTAACCATATTCAAAGCAATTTCCACCAATAACAGAGACTTTGTAGCTTGTTGCAAGTTGTATATAATCTTGCAGATCTATAGAAGGAAAATGAACAGAGACTTCATTGTTAAAGACAAATAAAGTAAACTAAACAAAATATTAAATATAGAGAAAACTAGAAAAGAAAGGTGACACGGACACCATAAGTCCACATGAAAACCTCCTTTAAAGTTCATGAAGAAAACCAGGTTTGTCACTATCTACTCACGGGAAAATCCACAACTAGCACATATTTAGACATGCAGTGCATTAAGGGTGTGGCAGCATCTTTACAGAGCAGATAAGAGCACCCACCATATTAGAGCTTATATTAGAGCTCAATAGCTCATACTATTATACTAACACATATAAGCAGTAATTATCTTTTACCTCAAAGCCCCCCATATTTGAGCTTATCTCCATAACCTTCTTTATGACCTTGTTTTTTACAATTTATGTCATATTTCAATTACTTGCACCTAATGTCGCAAGATAAAAGAGCATGTGAACTTAAGCACTTAAGTCCATACTCCATAGCACAATCATAAACTCTCACTGCCACAGACAAGTGGGTGTATGACTATGCAAAAAATTAATCACCACATTCCTTCTCCTGCCATTCCCATCCAAACACAAACTAGAAGCAAGAAGTCAACTCCCCAGTCCCCACACTCACTGCTGAAACAATTTTATTTATCTTTCATCACCTGCTTCTCTCTCAGTTTTCTGCTATCATGTACTAAGCACTGATTTGGTGTACCTTCTCCACTATTAATACTGAAAACAAGTATTCCAGTATTCCCACAACCTTCTTCTCAGTTGTTTCAAAAAGGAAAAAAAAAAAAAAAAAAAAAAAAATTGAAACAGAGAAAACATGGAATTAAATTTGAACTAAAGCTCTGAATTTGCACCATCCAAACATAGTGAGACAAATAACAAAAGTAATAAAGACAGAATAGCCAAAAATCTAATATGAGTAGGTAGAGAAACTAGTAAAGTAGAAGAAAATGTATGGCAAAGACATGTCAACAGGTCAAACTCAACTGACCTTTTCTGGAAGCATAGAGGCATATTTACTGATACCCAGTACTGCTGGCTTTTTCTGTGGCTTTTCAGCAGCCCCAGCCTCCAAGGTTCCCATGACTTCCTGAGCTTGAAAAACAGCCTCTGCAGAGCTTTTCCTTTTAAGTAACAGCTCCTCATTGAGATTTACAAAAACTTCTCCACTTCTGAGATCGACATTTTTAACTACCACTCCCACTTCCCTAGACCCGAGTAGAACACAGCACAGAGGAAAACAGAAACAGTCATAATGAGAACTAGTTCTGATTCCAGAATCAGTATTTAAAGTGGCAGAATAAATATAATTGAAACCCACATTTGAGATGAGATGCTACTCCATTCTGAAAGTTTTAATATTCTGTTTCAAAATGAATGCCATAGCTTCTCAGCAAAGATTACGTTCATTCATTCACTTTCCTGAATTGGAGAACTTCTCCCAATTTTGTCCTCTACTTGCATATCCATATATGCTACTCAAATGGATTCATGGGACCTACTTCTACAACTCCAACCAAATCTTTTTACTTCACAATTCTAAGAAAATGAAAATTAAAACATGGACTGCTATGTCATCCAATTAATTACTAAATATACACACCTTCAATTCCTCTGTCATACTAATACCAAGCCAAACACCAAATGACCAAATCAAGTAGGGACAGGAAGAAATATAAACCTACCTTTCATGACCAAACTCGCACATAACAGAAAATTCTTCACAGATAAAAGGGGCAGATGTCCTCTCTGTCACAGATAGTAATGTCTGCTGGAGTGGAAAAGGTTCACCATAAACTGATGACTGGTCGTAGCTGATTCGTGTATCACCTAAGTGTACAAGGACAGGAACAAGGTTCAACTTCACAAACAAAGCTGGCTTAGATCCACCATCTTTTGATATATCTAGGGTCAGTTCTTTCACCTCCACAGCAGCTTTGGGTGTCTACAAAATTTAACAAAACTTAATACTCAAAATTTTAAGCATGAGGCACTCCTAAAAAAAAGAGTATTTATAACAAAGAACTTGGAATTTGTTGAGACCTAAAAGCATACAAGTGCCCATCCCTTTCACAAGTCAACCATATCCAGACACAACACAGTATAATCACATCAAGAAAACTTCTTCTGGCATTGGCCATCATTTTCCCTGTTTTAACAGTGTTAAGTGTTCAAAAGATGGAATTCAATCAAGCATGGGAAACATGTATCCCAATCTCACACAGTTGCACTAACAACCGCATATTCATAAAAGAACAAGTGAACGACTGCCTTATTTTATTCCAAAATACACACAGAATATATGAACAAATTAAAATGCATCTTCCCATCTAACCACATAACCTCTTATGCCTCTGATCAATAGACAAAAGTTCAAACCGTATGTTAAAGACTGAATGAAACATTGTGCTGGTCCTGCTGGATCTTAGTCTTTATTCCAATAATTATCGTATATGCAGTACTAATTGCAGTCCATGGTTCTTAGGAACGGAATATTCATTTTTTATTATTGAATGTTGTGTTCCACTCCAAACATAAACTACAAGCTTAAGTTGTTAAAGTAGATACACATTTAGCATATTAAACATTATCAAGTCCACTCATGAGTGGGCCAGATTTTTTCTGAGTCATACATGCTGAAATACTTTGATAACAGGTAGTGCATGGAATTTGTCAAGTATGCATAAATATATTCAATTAACGCTGAAGGAATAAAAACAGCTGCACCCAGCCAGGCTTACTCTGATAGCTAACTCAGTCACAGAAACTGACAAAAATCTTGCCATATTAGCCACAACCATCCACTTTCCTCTTCCTGACTTGCGGGTTCTCTGAGATGACTGAGACCTTGTTTTTTGAGAGGACCGAGAGCTTTTGCTTGAATTTCTCATAACAATTTCCAAATCACTTATTAGCACCTGCAATTTTGGATCCCTGGATAAAAAGCCAACCCCAAGTTTAACTAATGATTGCCGTAGACTTAATCTGATTTCACCAATGGAAATGCTCTCAACAGCACCCTGCAAATGATTGATCATTATAGAAAGAAAAATTTTGAGTATAGCAAAACAAAAAATGAAATCAGATCCCTCAAGATAATGAAGAGACTAAAAATGAAAAGACAAGTTCCATTGAGTGGAAAACTCATTTTGTCATAAATGATAGTACTACATTAGAAACTAATTAATGCACACTATGAAGAAGAGATAAATCCTAAAAGGAATTGAAAGATAACCTTTTTAAATTTCACCACAACATCTCTCAAACATTTCCATCCAGCAACACGAAATCCAACAGATGCTCCCAGAACTCGGCTCAAAATCCAAGCTATTAACCCAGATGCAAATCTGAAAGAAAATCCAGAATAAATGATACAAAATAAAGATTCAAAATGGATCATTAGAACAAATATACAACATTCCAACCAAATCAAGAAAATAGGCCTAGCTTGATTAAGTTTATCAAACAATAAAATGAACTACCAGCATTCAAAATCAGGAATTCAACAAGGAAAAGGGAAACAAATAGAATGTGAAACCATTATGGAAGCTCTAAAGTTTATTTAACTTAACTACACTAGCAACTCACTAAAGACATCTAAAATTCTTAATTCTGACAGTAAGATCGCAGCAACAGCAGTGAGAGGCAATAAACTTTTTATTGTAAAGTTACAAAAATGAAATGAAAGTCATAGCTTTCAAAAACAAGAGTACTTATAAAAAAAGATAGTTAGCACAATCTAACAACATTAAGCTTCCCAATTTCTCTAAACATCAGAGAGTGGCAATGACCTTAGGTATTTGTTTATTCAAAAATACATAGTGACTGGATTAACAATTCCTTCACTATATTTATCCCAAGGGTAGAGATTTTATATCCTACCCCACATCACCCTCTTACAATAATCCCAACTTTTGGTGTTGGATATGGAACTCACCAATTAATATCATTCTTTTAAATAAACCAACAAATGGGTTATGAAGGATTGATACTTCAACTTTGTTAGAGTATGAGAAACTATGTTTTAGAGTTCTACCTAGGATAGGACTATTTATCCTAGAGTGTTTGAGTCCTAATTATAGTTAGAATATTATCCAATCTTATGTAATCCCTATATAAAGGGTCCTTATGAGTCATTCTTATGTGCAAGAAAATTTATCAATAATTATCCTATCAAACTCCTAATTCCATGAACGGTGAACCAGAGAAGCACTCATCATTTTACATTTTCTGTTTCCCATAAAACGGGTATATTTTTCCACTACTAAAACAAGCCCTAATGTATTTTTGATAAATATGAACAAACCCTGAAGTATTTCTAAATTGAGCTTAGGAAGGTTACATAAACTCAAGTTGGGAATAGTAGAAGTATCAATAACTGCTTTATTACTTCAGTTTCCTGCTAATTTAATAATCCTAGAGACATTTTTTCTTTATATTGTTTTTTCTTGGTAAACAAAGACATCAAGACTAAGCAAAAGAGATTAATCTCATGGAGTCACTAAGAAGAAACTTGAGAATGCTGCCTGGAGGATCGTCCTAGGACCGAGATACTAGTTGCCCCAAGTTGGCAAGATGGCCAGCCCAACCATTATCCTCCTAGAGATTGTAGGATTGCCTTCCTAGTTTCAGACTTTCAGTATCATTTGTCCCCATAAACTAGTTCATTTTTCATACCCTTGGTCTTGGTTTAATCTTCAATAGCTTCTGCTTAGCTAGCAAGTGGTGGCTCTTTGCCACACACTAAGATGACCACCTCATGATTTCCACTGGCAGCCACCACAATGGACAGAGAAAGATGTATACAGCAACTGAGATGATTAACCTCAAGTTAAAAGAAAACTTATGGCAATAAAACTGGTGATTATAGCCACAAATTTATTTGGTAGTTACAAGCGTGTCAGTGTCCCAATTCAACATCACCAGAAAAATAAATAAATAAAAGGAGAAGAAACTAGACTGCGTGAAGCCATGCAAAATGTGCGATGTTGTTCAAGTTAAAGGAGCTTGGTTCCTTTTAATTAAGGACTCAAGTCTGAATTGTGTGATAGAACACCAAACATTGTGGGAGCTCCCCCGCACCCCCCCCCCCCCCCCCCCCCCCAAATGGCCCAACAACAACTCAACTTTGGATTAGTCAAAACTCAATGTGGCTACTAGAGTACTAGATACTAGGGTATCATGGTACCCCCAAAACAATCTACAATATAGTACTTAGTATGCAAGAATGACAGCAGAATGAAATCCTGGTTCCATATTTTAATCCCATTCCACTCGTTGGTACAAGGATCAAATCTGAGGGTCTTTCCAGTCCATTCCCAATCCAATTTTGTTCACAGTTTCATTCCACCCAAAAAGGTTGGAATGCCAATTCCTATATAATGTATATTTGGCCCTAGTTATTCATATTATTTACAACCATAAGTCTAACTCATAGTTCGTCTATTTTTATCATTCATTTCAACCAAAATTCCTTAGATTTAAATATTTAATTCGTTCAAAATACTACATTTCATAAACTAGACCAATTTTGTCAAACTAAACTTTTTTTAATACTATTTTAAAAAATTTCTAAATTTGTTTCTTCCAAGAAACAGGAGTTCTTCTCTCTTTTCCATGTAATTTGACATCTACACCCACTACATATAGATTTTTATTTTTTCAGTGTGATTTTTAGTATTTTAACTCTATTTACAGTGAAAAGAATACCCCAATGTATAATCCACAAATACTATAGTATACAGTGGCTTCACCCCTGATTCCTTTCCATGTAATTTTATTCCTATACACCAAACAGAACATATTATTTCAATTTGTTTTTACTATAATTGGAAAGAAGCCAAACACATCTTTTTAACAAGTTTGAAAAATGTTATGAGCATTGTATTAATATGTATGCAACCAATCACTACTTTAGTACAAGTAGTGAGATGAATAAATAAATAAATAAATAAATAAGTGGGAATGACCTTTCACTTTGGTCTAAATGATCAAAACGTCCTTTACCTCTTCCACCATGACCTTACCCAACAAAACTAGTTATGAAATCTCAAGATTTGCTTAAAAGTTTTTTTTTTTTTTTTTAAGATTCAAGCTTAATGTGATCAATACAAACCATAACTCTGGCCATCTGAACTACTGCACAAACACTAAAGAGATCATCCACTATAATTTGTTAGCCAGGCCCTGAATAAGTTCTCATTGTAAACAAAGCAAAGCCAGCTCCATCCCAAAAACTTTGCTTCCTAGCTCAAATGAAATACACTAGATCAATCCAGCACTATAAATTCTAGCTCTAACAAACCCCAAGCTCAAACAATTTTCCAGATTCAGCAAAAGCATATGCATGATCACAACAAAATTTAAAGGAAAAAAAACAGCAGCAGTGCAGGTGAATAGATGTGGGAATTCTGTTACTTACGTCAAGAGAAGCCATAAGAGGATGGAAAGGAAGAGGAAGCCGAACAGGAAGTTTGCCGGAGAAACCGCCATTCCCGGCGGCAGAGGCGTCGATCGTCGAGCGTCAGGGAGAGGAAGTCAATGCGACAGCATTCTGCTGATGATGATGGAGTGCCCTAGTGATGAGATGAAAATCACAAAAATCATGCGTGTAGTTGACTGGAGAGCATCGATAGTGAATTTGTGGAGGTTTAGTAGCTTTGAGGATGAGAGAATTTAGGGGGAAATTGCCGAGAGGTGGAGATAAAGAATCGGACGTCGATCTGGAAAGACATGTGTTCTCGAGGATCAAGGCCTGGGTGTGTTACAGTGTACAGGAGAAGAAGTGAGAGCTTTGGATCGGGTGAGAGTGGATGCATACGCTGATTCGTAGTCGTGCGGTCGCGCTGTCGACCTGTCCAGTGTCCACTGTCGTGCGTGCCTCTTCTACTCTGTAAAATCACTTGTACCGATTTTTATTCATTTTATTAAAATTAAATTATAGAGAAAATTTCAATTTTGGTCCACTGACTATTGCACTTGTGTTAATTGCAACACTTGACTTTCAAAAATGTTAATTTAGTACCTTGATTATACAATTTCTATCAATTTTGGTCACGCCGGCCAAATTGCCGGTCAAATCTCACCGGAAAAATTTAATAGGTCAACTAATGGGGGTATTTTAGTCATTTTAGTTATTTTTTCTTTTTTCTCCCCTGAGCTTCTCCATTTCCGGCGACCAATGGTGGATCTTCATAATGTGGCAAAGTTTAAATTTGAGCTTCCAACACCCACTTCTGTTTTAGGGTTACCCATTGGACAACACATGAGTTGCAGATTTGGTTGGCTAATACATTAGGCATTTCAAATATTTGTATCTACAGTTTGATGAAATTAAGGGACTCTATTGCCATTGAATTTATTGTTTCCTGGCTTCCTGCTGCTGTATTAAAACAGGGGTAAAGATAGTCAAGGTGATGATGTTATCAAGCCGTACACTCCGACCACTTTGGTCTCTGATGTTGGATATTTTGAATTAGTTATAAAGGTATTGTAACAGGATCTATTTTGTTTTGATTAGCTACACTTGTGATAGCAGTGAAGTATTCAGATATCTTTGTCTTTATTGGTTGGTTTGATGCTATGCGTTATGTTTAATTAGATGTATCCTCAAGGAAGGATGTCTCATCATTTCCGAGAGATGCGTGTGGGTGATTATTTGGCAGAAGCGGCTGGTTATGAAGATCCACCATTGATCGCCGGAAATGGAGAAGCTCAGGGGAGAAGAAAGAAAAAATGAGTGAAATGACTAAAATACCCCCATTAGTTGACTTATTAAAATTTTCCGGTGAGATTTGACTGGCAATTTGGCCGGCGTGACCAAAATTGATAGAAATTGCATAGTCAAGGTACTAAATTAATATTTTTGAAAGTCAAGTGTTGCAATTAACACAAGTGCAATAGTCAGTGGACCAAAATTGAAATTTTCTCTTAAATTATATATATTTGATACACCAATGACCAAGTTATATATGGTAATGAATCACAATGTATCATGAAGAAAAAAGGAAATGGTACTAATCACATTCTTTTATAAATTTTGTAAGCAATTTTAAACTATTATCATCATAATCATTTATTTGTTATCATTTTCAAAATATATATCTATCAAAATACAATTAACTACATCTAAAAAAAATTAATATTCTAAATTACTACAAATTATCTTGTAATCTAGGTAGAGTCCAACTAAACCTATTGTACACTATTGGATCAGGTCAATCTATATGGCAAAAAAAAAAAAAAAAAAAAAGACAATATCTTTTATATGAAAACCTGAATGGAGAAAACTACGTGCCATTTGAGATTGACTAAACTAAAATCCACTGTTACTACCAAATAATACGGAGTAATACATATTAAAGCATACTATACTTAATGTATGGAAGTCCACTAGCACTAGTACGAGGTTATGAAGCTCTGGTTGGCGTGGCGCGAGTTGGGGGAGGGAGGAAAGCATTCCCCCACACTAGATAAAGTGTTATATTTATACCAAGAGCAATCACATTAGTGAGTTTTGCTCAAATTTTGAGAAGAAAAAATCAACATGTGTTTTTTGACTAGTGTGAGAATTTTTTTTGGATTTTTACCTCCGGCAATTTGTGTATTTTTTGTGGGCTCCCTGCTGACAGCATTGACCTGAAAATAACATGGCATGTTGCGGCTAGTTGGTACGTAAATAATGGTTTGTTTATTTATCTTTTTCTATGAATACCATCTGCGTTTTTTGTTTATTTGCTTCTTCTCTCCTCCTCCGTCTCTCTCCTACATGGAATGACAAAAACAAAATAAAAATATCAACTGAGATGGATGCTCTAAAAGTAATCAATGAGACATAATAATGGTAAATATCGATATAACTGACGTGACATTCGTTAATCTTACATTCACATCAATCACAACATGTGTAGGTTATTGAGGTGACAATTAGCGAATTTTTATTTTTTATTTTTTATTTTTTATTTTTTTGTTGTTATGATTAACTCGGGATAAAATTAATAATTTTGCTATAGTCAATGAACCATTTCAGTAATTAACTTTCGAAAAAAATGGTGCATGTGATGACCGAAATGGTATATTGACTATAACAAAATTACCAATTTAGTTCCGAGATAACAGATGTCTAACGGTTAGGACCATTTCAGGTAAGAAAAACATAATTAAAAATTAAATTGAAAAATTTTGAAAGCCAAGAACAAAATTGATAAAATCCTCATAATCAAGGGACCAAATCGGTAATCTACTCTAATTTCCTTACTTAAATTTCCAGGTTTACATTCCCAATACATCTCGGGTTGCGCAATTGGGCATGGATCCGAACCCGGATTACAAAAAAAAAAAAAAAACAAAAAAAAAAAAATAAAAAAACAAAAAAAAAAAACAAAAAACGAGCCGAGCCCGCGGGTCTAGGGTTTTAGAAGGGGTTTTCTGCGTTTTCGTACACTAGTCCATACGTAAAGAGCTCATCTCTACAACCCTAAATTTATGCAGGAGAACGCCGGGAAGATCAGACAAACAAAGAGCAATACCCAGCTGATAAAGGCCGTGGGATAGGCGTTAGGGTGTATCGCAGCGTTTTCGGGGAAGAAGGAATTGAGGGATCAAGTTAAAACAAAGCAAGACGCGCATCTATTCAGCCTAAGAGGAAGGAGGAGCTAGCTGCAGAAAAGAAACAAGGGTAAAGACATTGCCTCAACCTCTCACAATTCGTCGATTCCATTTACAAACCCGAACTACACAAGCTTCCCCTAACTGGTAGATTGGTAAAATAAAAAACTATAATGACCGAGGCTAAGACAACATCGGACATTGACGAAAGAATTAGCAGGCAAGTTTATTTATTTTTTTGTTTCATATTCTAACTGTAATCCAATTGAATTGTATTTTTTTTTGTTTTTTTGTTTTTTTTTGTTTTCTCTGGAAAAAGTTAAAAGATATACTTATTATACATAGCTTATGTTCTGTGTGTGCTTTTTTAATGTCTGGCTGAATGATTCAGACAAGCTCCTCAGCTGATTGGGGTTCTGAAGGAAATGAAAGAAGGTTTGGATACAGTGAGGTCCAAGGTGCAGGCTTTGACTACAAAGGTATTGAGCTTTTGTTTTTCTCAAATCAGTTTTCAATCGTTAGTTATCATACTTTTCTTTACTGATTGTTGTCAATGGCAACAGATGTTGCTAATTGCTGGATCAAAAGAGCCGATATTTACTTTGCTCAGTGGATGGGCTATCTTTTCGTTATTGCACAATTAACTTTCGTGAATGGTTTTCAGAAAATTACTGGATCCAACCTAATAGGAATTTAGGATATTAGTTATGCTTTGTGAGGAAAGAATGTTGGCAAAATAGAGAAGTAGGAGGTTGGTTTCATTTTTTATAAAGTTTGATATTAATTTATTCCTTATGAAAATAGGGCTAAAGAAAATGCAAAGCTTATATTAATATATATCCTTTCTGTATGTTGAACTTCTGCATTTCTTTTGGTAGGTGAAAGCGAATCAGTTTCCCACTGCAGATGGGATAAGTTATCTTGAAGCCAAACATCTTTTACTTCTGAACTATTGTCAGTCACTGGTCTATTATTTGCTACGCAAGGCCAAAGGGCTTTCGATCGATGGACATCCAGTTGTTCAGAGTTTAGTAGAGATAAGACTTTTTCTGGAGAAGGTATTATAAATGACCCCAAGTTATTGTTAAGTCTTGGCTTGCATCATTTATCTTTCTTCAATTTTATGTTGCCCATCTAAGGTGGAGAGGAGAAAATGACTTGGAGAACACCCCCCCCCCCCCCCCCCTCCCTCCCTCCCTCCCTAGAAGGATGTACTTTGACTTTGTTTTTGTTTTTGTTTTTTTTTTTTCCTTTTACTAAGTTTTTCTGTTTTCTTTTCAACTCCTTGCTTTGTGCAGATTCGTCCAATTGATAAGAAGATGCAATATCAAATTCAGAAACTCACTAGAGTAACTGAAAGCGTATCTGAGAAATCTGTTTTGACTGAAAAAGGATCAGATACAACCCAGAAAGAGGACCTGTTGAAATATCGTCCAAATCCTGATATGCTCACTAGCAAAACAACACTAGAAGTGAGTAACTTACATAAGAATAAGTGATAGTGTTGTTTTATTATATATTTTTTCTTTCTTCTTTTCATAAATGGGTTCAATTGGTCGAAAAATATATGATTAATGGCACAAAAAGTTGTGCCAATGTGAACTTTCCCTTTAAATAAGGGGAGCAAAATATTTGTCTGAGTGTTCTGATTCTCAATATCTGGCATTTGCAGGACTCTACTGGTGTCTATCGACCACCAAAACTTGCGCCTGCTATCATGGACGAAGATAAGACATCAAGACAGGAGAGAAATGCTTTGAGGAAGGAGCAACAGATGCTTCGACAGGCTAAACAAAGCACATATATGAAAGAGTTGATAGATGATATTGAGGGAAGACCCGAAGAGGTGTGTGACCATTTGGTTCATTTCTGCTATTTATTACTCCATATCTCATTTTTGGATGGCCTCCTTGTGTTTTTAACTATATCTAATCATAAAATGTGCAGTGGAGAGAGGTGGTTGGAACTGAGAGCAGAGAACTTAAACGGTACATGGCTAAGATGGAAAAACGTGAACAACAAGAAGAGGAGCAATTCACTCGTGCTCCTCTCACAAAATTGGAGAAAAAGAAAATGAAACATCTAAAGAAGTCACGAAATGGGTAAGCCAAATTAAGTTATGCTGTCTGATTGGTCTTTGACCATTCATGGATTATGCCATCTGGTTGATCTTTAGTCTTCGCAGAGATTTTTGGCCTGTTAATTTCAAAATTGCTAATGCATGTGGTTCATATTTGATATTTATCGACTTATAATCTGGTTTACCAATTGCTTTCTGGTTGTGATAGGTTGCTTGGCCTGACTGAGAGTTTCTATGATGAGATCAAGACTTTACCTTTTGAAGAAGGTGTTTCCGATCAAAAGGACTTGGGAAGTAGTGGTACTGTTGAAAGAAAGCAGAAGAAACGTAAGGTAATTGTGCAGAAATGGTATTTGTTTATACTTTATATTGCTTACATTTCCTTCAAATTTACTTTATGGCCGGACACTATATACTGATTAGCTAAACTGCATTCCATATGAATTCACATGATTTAAGAAAAATATTTTGTTTTGATGATTCCTTGAAATATTTTTACTTTTGGGGTTTTTTTATTTTTATTTTTATGGGGGTCCTCCCTCTTGTCTTCTGTTTCCCCAATTATCCATACACAAGTCAGCAGCTTTTCTTAGTCCTCTTTATTAAAGTTTTCGCGTTCTCTTATTTCTCCATATCAGATGACTGTTAAATATGCTCCCCTACACTCACCTCTTTGTTCTGACACTTAATGCCCACTTGCAGAGAAGGAACTAACCAACTCGACGATACTGGACCAACAGATTTCACTCGAGGAATGGTTAAATGTCTCTTCAAATAGTTTATCAAGCAGGAATTGCTTTGGCAATGGCAAGTTTTTTTTCCTCCATAAATGTTTGTTACTATTAAAAATGTATTCTACAAGGCAAGAAAATTTAGCACATTACCTTGAGAAATTTTGGATAAATAGAGTAGTGGGTGTTTTACAACAGGTATCTCAATCCTGCCTGTAGCCTGGAAATATAGCACAAGTAGTGAATCCCTTGCTCTCCCTCTCTTAATCAATTGTCTACATTACCCGAAACATAAATACGAAGTTTTTGAAACATGTTTATCATTCAGCCTTCACTGTAGGAGCAGTTTCTTTCATCATCCACTCTTCACTGTGAGAGCAGTTTTGAGTCACACGCCACAATCTTAACGCGACTAACGTTCTCCTGGCTTTCCTCGCTCTTGAATATAGCATCTTGTAAGATGAAAGTCCATACATTGTCACAGAATCTATAAGTGTGAAGATGACCCTGCAGCAAATATTTGGAAATTTCATAACATCAGAGGTGCATCTGGAAAAATTATACTACAGATGATGACTATTGGGAATTCAACCATCACATCGAAGGCTAACTATGTTAAGAGAATTCTGTTAGTCGTTTTTTGTTTAATACCAAAATGAGGTCAAATTGTAAAATCCTGCGTTCCAAATTTCCAACAAAACTGGAAACACCCATCACTATGGTCAAGGGTTTTGATGCAATAACTACCAACAAGCACGAAGCATATCTAATAGTGATAATATCAAATGTTAATAGTGATAGGCAGAGACAACTCAAGATGCAGTGCTTGTTTTCTACTTGATAGACAGAAAACTGCAAAATATAATGCAAATCACAAGATGGTAACAGAATGATAAGGCAACACTCTGGCTCACAAGTAAAGAAGATCCTACAGTCGTAGCAGTGTCAATGTTTGGTGGAAACATTTAACTATACAAAGGACTGAGAAACTAAAAGATGATTAAAAGAGGCCAAGCAAGAAAATTTATAGCCTAGATATTGGTGGAAGCCTACACCAATCATTGAGAGAGGACTAAAAGCAACCCGTACTCATCATTTTAGAAACTAGCAGCATCAAGTTGGTGTTGGTGGAAAAGTTGAAGTTTTGGACTTGACTCTACTCACTTTACAAATAAAGGGCAATCCACTCTTTTAATAGACTATAATAATTTGTCCATATATTAGATCAATGATGCAACAAAAATCAGGTGCATGTATACTGTTTTAATAGTCATATATCATCAAATACTATTTAAAAAAAAAATAAAAAATCACTAAATTAGTGCATAATGCAAGTAATATCCACATGGGACAATAACTGAAGAGATCCCTTCTGTAAAACTATACTTCTGTAAGAAAATAAAATCATGGTGTTCATATATAGTATTTAGCATCCCTATCGCCAGATTGGCATTATCTTCTCTTTGTATTACTCTTTCACATTACTATCTTGAATATAATTCAAACCTGCAATGCCTCCTAATCTCTTATGCTCTAATATTTGCGCAACAAAATGGAACCACAATGCCATTCAAATCAACCTACTAAAGTCAGCATTTTAAAACGTTATGTTTGGACATTTTTGGTTATTTCATCAGGTATTTGTAATTTGGACTATTAGCAGAATAAATGAGTAAACCTTGCTTAAATAGTATGGAGCAGTAATATAATAATATGCAATCAGCAAATCAAACAATGGTCTAAACCTACAAGAAGAATACCTTAATTGTAACCTTGCTCTTCACTTGAGACTCCAGAGCTTCAGTCATGGACTGCAAACCAGATAAAATGTGAAACAAGTCTAACAAAAGAATCAAAACTATTTATTTATTCGTAAAAACACACAAAAACATACAATGCCATAAAGTACACAGATTTACAGTTTAAAAAACTCCGCTTGTAAGCACAGAATATTCTCAAAAAAATTTATATATATGCACGATAAGACACAAACTTATGAACACAAATAACAATAGACCTTGTCGAACTGAACGAGGACTTGGATGGCGAATTCCGGGCTGAGGATACCATTGGAGACCATCTCGTCGAGCGTCTCCGTCAGGCACATCCCAATCGTCGATCTCCGATAAAGCTCGAAGGTTGCCATTCCTATTCCTTCACAAGATCTGCATGAAAATTGTTATTGAGCAAAAGAAAATGATCAAAATCAGAGAAACCGTTGATTCAGATTTGGAACTTCAACGCCAAAATTAAAGGACAAATTGAATTTGAAGATGAATCAATATAGAATCAGAGGAGTACTGGAAATTACGATTGAAGTTTTGGGAGTCAGAATGGTCAGGCTGTTGGAAGCTGAAGAGAGAGACAGTGCTGTCTGAAGAGAGGGAGGAGAATTGGGGCTTTTATACCCTAGCTTTTGTAGCTCAGTGCTTATATAGGCGTGCGGTGCATCGAAGGGGATGGAAAGACACAATTGCCCTCCGATTGATATTTTATCTCCTTTTTGGGAATAATATTAGAAACTAATTTAATTTTTTTTTCCCATATATTATAACATCCTCAATTGTTTGAGTTTTTACCATTTTTTTTTCAGTCCAGTAAAAAAAAGAGAGGAATGAGAGAAAATAAAAAAATAAAAATAGTTAAAGTGGCCACCAATTGGTGACTTTGGGACCATCCTAACAAGCACTTTCTAGTTATGCTTTTATTTTTTAAAAATTATTTTAAATCTCTGATGTGGCTCACAAAAAATTCATTCTCCTATAACATATTCATTTTTCTTTCTCCTATCATCTCTCTCTACGCCTCACCCAAAAACTCAACAAAAATCGCTATTGGAGAAAACCAATGTTATTATTTATTCACAACGCCATGAAAATTCATATTTGAAAACACCATAATTACTCTTTAGTTACAAATAATTGACAACAAGTTTTAGTTTTTATTATAGTGGCTAGAATATAAAATTTGATCGATTAAGATCATTTGATTTTTTTTTTTTTGGTCACTTATTAATCAAATAACCAAACTTAACTAAAATTGACTAATACACACCCTTATATACTAAATCAAATATTCAAACTCTTAGGTTTTGAACATATGGATGTTAAGATTAAGCATTTAGATAATAATAATAAAAAATAATGATAAACAGTGATGAAAGTAATATATCATGTTCAACTAGCTAAATAACTTTTCTAGAATTATAGTACGTGCATGAAAAGGAAAGTCCAGTTTTTACCGGTGTTAACTAGAATTTTTTTGAGAAGAAAAATTGAATGTATTAAATATGAAGAAAGATCGTCAACAAGATAAAACAAGATAAAGAGCCGGAGGGTCAAATCACTCTCTGCAACCTGACACCGAAATGTTTCCCGAGCAAGAATAATATGGATAGCAGGAATATAGATGAATTCTATAATTGTTGTATAACTTAAGAATGAAAAGTATTGTATATAAATAATACATTAAAATACTTATTTGTTACTCTTATGTACTTCACTATTTTATTTATTGAGGAGGCCCCTCCAATCTAATATAATCATACATTAACCCCTGGAATGGAGAGCTTCCATTTGACTGTGTAAAATAAATGGTATTTTCTCCTTGCACCAATACACTGCCACCCAACTCCACATTGAAGAGCCAATAAAGGCCATGAATTCCATGCCTTGCAATTGCATTGTCCTTCCCAACTATTCCACTTGAAAATAGAGCATCTTTGCTACTCGGATCGTTTAGTCGAACCTAGAAAATGTTTAATGTTAAATGGAAAATTATAACATCAAAATAATTTACAGTGTAATAAAGTATCAAATTGTATCGGATACAATCATGTATGGTTGTATTACTTGTATATTATTTGCATTGTCACGTATTGTCAACAATTAATCTTCATTGTATTTAGTGGGTAACCAAACATATCACATGTGATTGTATATGATATAAATTGACATTTTTAAAACTTTCATAAGTTAATATATAACGAACAATTTCGAATAAGTTAATGATTTACATACTTCCAAATTGGCTTGGACTGCCGAGGCAAGTGCCAACCTCAAAGTGTAGCTTCCATCTTGAGGAATGCTTTCAAGCTTGAACTTGATTTGCCATGTTGTGGCTTGATAGGTCGTCTCGTCCTTTTTTCTATTGATGTCAAAATAAATTCGTAATTACGATTATGCACTTTTTAAAAAATAGATTTACAGTCCAAAGAAGTTTAAGTTTAATGCAAAAACAAACTTCTATACCTAGTAACTTGAGCATAGAACCAGTCTTTGGTATAATCGCTTTGATCGACTATATAAATTAAATCACCATCAGGATATAACTCTGTGTATCTCTCCCATAATCCATACTGTCTAAACCTGACCATTAGTCGACACATCAATACTACCTTGCAATTTGGTCTATTAATCATATATTCATATCAATTAATTACTCCGAGTTCTATTTTATGCGTTTAGTTAACAAATAACGATTCAACTTTTATTTTATTTTATGCATTTGATTGTTTTAACGATGAACAATTCAATTTATAATATGTAAATATGGAAAGCACAAGATTGAACCTGTCTGGATGATTAACGAAGAGCTTGTTGATGTAATTTGGATTTGGGTCAGGAATGTAAAACTCGCGTGCAGAACGATCAGGGATGCCTATTTCCCATAATGTCGGTCCATTTCTTGGTGGTTCAAAAACAAGATCGTTCATCTCAATATTGCATCCTGATTTAAAAGATTGATTTTCACGATTAATCAATTTACCAATAACTAATAAATATCATCAATTGTGACACTTGTCACATGCAGTGCCATATTATTCGATAAACTATTTTTAAAAATTGGTCAAAATAATTTTTTTTTTTCTAGAGAGAATACAACCTGCGGTTATTGTGATTTTTGAATCATTCTTATAATCTCCAATAAATCCTGGGATCCATGCATACAGATTGTAGTCTCCAGTACGTATATTGGTGATCAAGAAATAGCCTCCCTCATCTGCTCTCGTCCAGAATTGATAATCCTGATAATAATATATAAATAAACGAACAAAAAACTATTATTTTTGGGTGACTAGGAAAATCACAACCATTATCTGAGAGTGTGCGTTGATTAAACTCCGATATTGTGTAACAGCTTACATATCACACAAGAGAGTAAATCACATTATTAAGATTCTGCGCAATAGGCTTATCAAGAAAAACAAAAATCAAACTCATGACATTCTGATACGAAATTCATGTTCCACCCACTCGCCCAGGGCCCCAGGTCACCTCTTTTGTAGCAACAAATAATTATTGTTGTTATTAATTACTCCGTATATTTTAATTTAAAATATAAATTTAAAGAAGTGTTTGAATGTTTCGTTCCTTTAAAAAAAATGATAAAAAAAACCTACAACCACTCTTTAAAGATACGTCCGGGATAAACCCCACTCACCTATAATAACCCGTAAACCACATAAAAAAAAAAAAAAAACAAAAAAAAAAAACCCTGCACTACTAGAAGAATCCTAAATTCACCTTGCATTCTCTTTGCCATGATCCAGCATCCCCTGGCGGAGCCAAACCAACATATGCACCACTAGCTGGCATACTATCGCTACTAATATATCTGCAAAAATAAATAAATAAATAACCATTTTAAATTTTTTTTTAAAAAAAGAAATTATATCTGGTAAAATTAAATAGAAAAATTTCGTATTACTATATTACCTGTCGAGGACTAACAATCTGCCACTAAGACTACCACGTTGAGACGACGACTGAAAATCTTCCGACGCCGGAAAGCTGTAAGGCCAGCTCTGAATTTCTACAAGGGACTGAAATTAACAATTATTAGTAATTTAATTTAATTTTATTTTTGTTGTAAATTTTACAATTAAAATTATTTTGACCATACAAATTAAATAATATATTCTATTTCAATCAAAATGTTAAGCTAACGGTAAACCTAGGTGAACACATATAGAGCCGTCAAAATGGACTTAGCTCATCGGACTATCCCGTCTCGTCCCGCCACGGCGTTGAATTTTATGACATATATATATATATATATATATATATATATATATATATATATATATATATATATATTTTTTTTTTTTTTTTTTTGTTTTTTTTTGAGTCGGGCTTTGGTGTGAGGTGGGGGACGACGTTTTGATTCATCTACCCGTGGCATATGATTTATCTCTTATTCCAAATCCCCAACTCTAAGGGTCCCCACACTCCGACCCGACAGAGTATGTGGGAGGATGTAAATCACGGTGACTCAATGGGCATATGATTTATCTCTCTTAATGACTTGCAAGTTATTGCACATTGCAGAATTTATTCAATACACACTTTTAGACAGTAACTTTGAATTTTTTTGTCACGAAAAAATAAAAATTGTTTAAAGACAATTAAAGTTGTAGGCAACCTGTGTTTTGGCATCTTCCCATAAGCGGAGAGGGTCTTCTCCTTCTACCACAGAATTAAGATATATAAAAACAGGTCCAAAAACTTTCTTCCATGGTTCACCTTGCTCAAATTTTGGCACTAGATCTTCTCCAGCATAATGGGCACTAAGAAACACCTGAAAATAAAAAGTTTCTTAATAAATAAATATATATATATATACACAAATTATTAGTTAACAACATGTAGGAATTAGTTTACCGCAAGATTCGTTGGACCAACATGAGAAGTGAGATTTTGTTTAAGAGGTCCACCAGATCGAAATTCATCACTAGGTGTAATCTGCCAAAATCCAAGCGGTGGTTCCATACATATCCATCCATGTACCTTGTGGTCTTTGTCTTCGCACGAGTATTGATATTTATCATCAACCTAATAAACCATAACAAATCTAAAGTTTTGTTTTGTTTTTGTTTTTGTTTTTTTTTTTTAATAATGTTATGTCTTTGTTTTCCATTTGATATGAATTAAATTCTTCCGAAAGGTTGAACCCCAACCGTAAGGACTCCCCATACCCGACCCACATAGCATTTGGGAGATTTGATATGAATTAAATTAATTTAATAGGTGGTTGAAATTTTCTATCACTTTTCAGCTATGGTTAATAATGATTAGAAAAGCTTAAAAACTCATAAATTTATATAAACATGCATGGTATATATTATATTATATATACCTCCCCTTTAAATTCAGGCTCAATGGGGTCCACCAGTAGGACTGCCTCAGGATAAGCCAACGGTTGTCCTCTTCCCGGTAACCGATCATCCGGTAAGGGCATGAATCTTTGCCTATTATCCGCCATTGCCATGTAGTGAAACCTTTATGTGTGTGTGTGTGTGTGTGTTTTGGATATAAGCAAAAATATAATAATGAATAGGATGTACGATTGAGATGGAACGAAGTTTTACTTGTCTTTTCTAAGCTTGAATGCAATTCTTGTCTCATCAAGGTTGAAGCCTGGCCATCCCTCCAAACGTTCGTAGATTGCATAAGAATAAAAACCGGATGATCCACGTAGCAGGACAAACCTAAAAGCTCCATAAGTAATAATTAATTAATAATTAGCACTAGTTTAATTAATACTATATATCTTGATTAATTAATGTATTAAAAAAATCTTAATTAATTAATTAAATAAACATAACAAAAACCTTTTGTCTACGTTAAGTGGAGCATGCTTTCCCTCCTGGGACACATCCCATGTTGTTGAGAACGAAACCTCTATCTGCTCCTCCGTCTGCAATATAACTTCATAACTTCTGCCCGTAATCCTATGTTTAATGAAGATTTTGTCGAGTTAATAGAGTTTAAGAACTTTATTTCTAACGGTTTTTGTATTAATTACGTGAACAAATTAAGGTATACCTTTCAAATGTTCCGGTTGTTCCTGTGCTTCCTGCTGGACTCCAAACAACATCCCAGTATCTAGATCAAATCATCAGATGATATTAACGTTAACACTGACAATCTAACGTACATATTAATCTATATTTTTCGAATTGAAATTAATTAGTCATAATTAATTAGCCTAGAAATTAAGAAATTCATTAGTGCATGTGTGCATATATGGTATACCCTCTGTTAGTTTCTTCATTAGCTATTTCAAGCAAATTGTTGACTCCATTGTAACATATTCCGGTAACCATACCGTCTGGTACTGAAAGTGTCACTTTGAGGATGCCATTATCCATCACCACCTGAAATTAATTAATAATGATTTTCAGCTGACTGGTTGAGACGTACTTGTGATGAAATGCGGAATTTCAACCAAACGATAATGTATAATAATGAATTTTTTTTTGTCATCTTTAGATAATTAATGACTGTGAGTTTCCATCATCATTAAAAAAAAAAAAAATTGTAGGTGTAATATTATTACATGGTTTTGGTCTTGGGCATACAATTTTGTCCCGAAGAGCGACATTAGTCTCTAGTTATCTTAGCTTGTCGGGGTTGAATTGTTGAGTAAAATTCTGGAAATAAAAAATAAAAAAAATCTCTTTTAGCTAGACATTAAAGAGGCGTATAGAATTGAATACATACCAAAAACTACAATTAAGCAATTTAATTAAGAAAATGAAAATTTTACATGAAACAACCCTACTTTACCTTCTCTTACCTAGCTCTTTGTATATGGCTTATAAAGCCGAAATGCATAAAATCCTTGGCCTACTAATATGCATATATGTAAGCTCGCTATATTTTGCTTGAATTCGAAACAAAGAAATTAAAGCGCGCACGCAATTTTATTTATTTATTTTTTTGTGGGGTTAGTCTTTACTTAATCGTCACCGCTGGTTTAGTTCAGTGGATATTAGCTTGTAAGAGTCGCCAAGTAGATGCGTCAAAGACAATTCTTTGACCTGAAACACTATTTACTCTATCCCTTTGATAAATCTAAGAGTCACAAAATACAACAAATAAAATAATGTTAAATGCTAACAATGGTAAATATCACGTAAGAATATTACTATGTTACTTTAAAAAACTTGTAAATAATGTTAGGAAAACCATATGCGACGTGTTCGACGGAGAAGGTGTTGACAAGAATCGAACTTGTGACCTTCAGATACAAGAGTTATACTTCACCACTCCTTTTTTTTTTTTTTTTCATGATTCCAATTGAATAGTCATAGGTTCGAACCCCGGTGGTGGGGCTTAGATTCTTTGGGCTAAAGTATAGAACAGATACTAAAGTATAAAACAGACACTGCCTTGTAAAGAATTCCAACAAAATAAAAAGAGAGAAAATATTTTATTTCATATATTTAATTTAACATTACATTGATGATTACAAAAAGGAATGAATTGAAGCTCACATCATTTAGGCATAGTAGGAGGAGCTTCTAAGCGAATATAGTCATACATAATTCCTTGAAATGGGCTCTGATTCCTGGGCTGAGTCAAGTAAATGACATTATTATCCCCCTCAACAAGCAGACTCCCCTGTATATCCACATTATACAGCCAGTATAGCCCATGTATTCCATGCCTAGCAATTGAGTTATCCCTCCCTATCAATCCACTGCTAAATACTGGCTTGTTTGAGCTTGGATCATTAACCCTAACCTGCAACCCAATCTTGGACCATCAGTAAATATTATGAACCCTAATTTTATTAATTGTCAATATACGTCTCTTACATACACAAGTTAGCTGGGAAAACAATCGTTCCTAAATAGTTACCTGTAATTCAGCGAAAGTTGCTGAAGCGATTGCCACACGCAATTTGTATACGTCATCATGGTTGACATTATCGAGTTTAAACTTGATTTGCCATGTAGTTCCCTGATATGTTTTGTCATCTTTTTTCCTGAAAATAAAAAGTCAACTAAATGTTAGGAGGCTAGCTTACTCGGTTATTTAATAAATGGAAAGCATTCTTTGAAGTAACTAGAGCAAACAAAAGGTATGGTATGAGTATAAAGTTATGTTCATTATTGGACTTGCATACCTTGTGACCTGAGCGTAAAACCAATCTTTTGTATAATCGCTCTCACCTACAGTGAACACTAGGTCCCCGTTTGGATACAACTCTGAGTATCGTTCCCATAATCCATATTGTCTAAACCTACAAAAATGTAAAAACAAACTTGTTATTAGTTCATGTTGTTGACTTTGTAACCACAAGGTTTCAAGTTTGACCCTAGTGACCTTTTTGATTTAAGACAGTCAATTATGGACAACCAGATCAGACATAGCCGGCGCTAACCTGTCAGGGTGGTTAACATAGAGCTTGTTTATATACTTGGGGTTGGGATCAGGAGCGTAGAATTCAGCAGCACTGCGATCAGGAACGCCGATCTCCCACAGTGTGGGTCCTGCCCTCGGAGGCTCATAAACCATGTCACCCATATCAATAACACTGCCTGAAGTTATGGTTATGGCGGCTTCGTTTCGATAATCTCCGATGAATCCAGGGACCCAAGCATACATATCATAGTCGCCGGGGCGTATATTGTTGATGGAGAAGTAGCCATCCTCATCTGCAGTGCTCCAAAATTGATAGTCCTAGTGGAATTGAAGAAAATAAAATGTTATTATTTAACTTTCAATCTTCATTTCAACACTCCCAGTTCTTATCTATATATAAAACTAATATTGTTTATTAGTTTATGCTAGGATCACCAACCTTAAAAAACACTAGCATATATAGGCCCTGTTTGGTAAAATGGCTGTTAGCTGATTGTGTTAATTAGAGGGTATAAATAGTTGATAACATTAGCTGATTGTAGAAAAGTGTTTGGTAAATTAGCTTACCTGATAGCTGTTTGGTATAATTTCTTTTCTCAAAAAGCTAATTGAAAAAGTTGTTAGGAGTAGTTTTTTTAATTTTAGCCTTTTAGAGTTGCAAAAAACTAATTAACCAAACATTTATATTGATATTTTAACTAAATCAAACAATTAATAGTGGTCAAATAAGCCAAAATTGGCCTATAGGCTAATTTTTTACCAAACAGGGCCATAACCAAAATAAAAATATCAAAAATTAACCAAAATTTACCTTGCATTCTCTTTGCCAAGATCCAGCATCTCCAGGTGGAGCCAACCCCAAATACGCACCATTAGCCGGAATAAGATCATCAGAGATGTACCTTTTCAAGGCAATTTCAGAACTTCAGACATCAAATCTTTAACACTTTCTTGGATGTACAGTGTGGCAAAATACTTGTTAAGCCCAAAAGGGTAAGAAATTAATTAAATCATTCCAACTCTGTTTTAATGGAAGCATATGTTCCATCTCAACTAAAAGTCTAATGATAGTTAGATTACGTATAGTTACACATATATTATATGTTCAACACACCCTTCACGTGTGCCAGCAGGCAGCAGTTTACTTTTGATGGGTCAATTTGAAGACATGTGCTCCATCTCAAAGAAGTCTAAGTTGATAGTTGAATTGCTGTTTAAATATTATATATGCATGGTCAACAGTTCTTACTTGTCGCTGATTAATAATCTGCCACTGACACTTCCACGCTTGTCTGCTGATGGGAAATCCTCTGATGCTGGAAAGCTGTACGGCCAGCTTTGGACTTCAATCAGCATCTGCAGATCAACACTATAGTAATCTTAGCTTGTTGGAATTTTAACATTAGACTTGTCTGTCAGACAATTCAACATTTTCATCTGCTAAATTAAACCTGCTGTTTGGCGTCGTCCCATAAGGTGAGTGCATCTTCAGGTTCCATTGCAGAGTTGAGGTAGATGAAAACAGGACCAAAAACTTTCTTCCAGGCCTCGCCTTGCGCGAATTTCGGCGATAGTTCATCGCCGGTGTAATGAGCGCTAAGGAACATCTGACCAAATCATCATTACAAACATATATAATGTGTAACTATGGGTGGATGTCCTTAGAGTACGTAGAGGCAACTTACCGCCAAGGTGGTGGGGCCCACGTGGGAAGTGAGATTCTGTTTCAGGGGCCCACCAGTTCGGAACTCATTACTGGGCGTGATTTGCCAGAAACCTACTGGAGGATTAGTTGATATCCATCCGTGGACTTTGTTATCCTTGTTATCACATGAATATTGGTACTTATCATCAACCTGCAGTTAAAGTGAGTCATTCAACAGAATGAAAACGCAACAAAAAAGACAGAACAAGAATGGAATCCAATAAATTTATGGCAGAAACGGTCAGAACCCACTGGTATAAAAAAGAACAAATGAGACTAACTTTTCGCTACCCTTTAATAAGGACGTGAAAACCTCAAGGTTTTCCGCGTCCCTAGCATACGGGTACAAGAGTAGGGGATGTGCATATTTGTACTAGTGACCACATAACCGAGCCATAATGCACATGTGCCAAATCAGCAGGATCTAAAAAACTGAATTCAATTGATTAATTAGTCTCACCGGACATGATGACGTAGTACTTTTTTAATTTTTTAACGGGATAGGACTCTGAATAGAAACAATATAATACCTCTCCTTTAAGTTCAGGCTCAACAGGGTTGACAAGTAGGACTGCTTCCGGGTAGGCAAGGGCCTGGCCTCTCCCTGTTGATCTGTCATCCGGCAATGGCATCAATCTTTGCCTATTGTCAGCCATAGCCATGTAATGAAACCTATAACGTTCAATAACCATTAGTCCATTATACATATATACTCATTTCTGCTAGCTAGTAATCTTTGAAGCCTGACAAATTAAAAGGAAATAATAAAACTGCCAATTCAATTCAAACATGACACCTTATTATATCTTCTTACTTGTCTTTCCTGAGCTTGAATGCAATCCTGGTTTCCCCAAGGCTAAATGCAGGCCAGTCTGGCGAAGCGACGTGCTCATAAATGGCGTAGGAGTAGAAACCAGAAGCCCCGCGAAGCAAAATAAACCTTTTATCTATGTTCAGTGGCACAAACTTTCCCTGCAGGGAGGGATCCCATGGCCTTGAGAATGATACTTCCACCTGTTCTTCTGTTTCCATTATAACACTAAACTTTGTGGCTTTGATCCTACATTATATTGTAATCACACAATTGCAGAAACCAGTGTTTATATATGTCTTTGATTAGGTAACAGGCCGGCTATAAGGTATCAATGCAAGTTTATTAATTAAAAAAAGCATACACTTCAAAGATTCCAGATTTCCCAGTGTCGGTGGCATTCCAGACCACATCCCAGTATCTGCAGATCAGACATATAAGCAATGTTAATAGTTGCCATATATATTTCCTCACAGATTCATGTAAAATGCAGACTGTATGGTAGAGCTTTACCCTCTGTTAGATTCATCATTGAGGACTTCAAGAAGATTGTCAATATCATTATAGCGTATGCCAGTCACAATCCCCTCTGGATTTGATATTGTCACTTGAACTATGCCATTATCCATCATCACCTGCACCACAACCCCTCATATTACATATTATTGTCAATTTTATTTTTTATTTTTTTTGGTAACGAGGAAAATTGCAGTCACTACTCGAGGATGTGCATTAAGTAAATCCTGCTTTGTGACCTTATCCAGCAAATGACCACAAGGAAGTAAATAAACTAGGTTGCCCATAGTTGATCGGTTCAAACTAAGAAGAAAAATAGTGTGCTATTTCATTTGACACAAGGAAAGTGCTGAATGCTGAGTATATATAAATAATAAATATGCAATTTCACTATAAGCTTAAACTTTTAGTCGAAACAAAAGACATCAAATTCTGTCCTTACATGGCGATCTTGTATGTACAACCGGACACCAATAGGCGACATATCTCCAACACCTGAATCCTCTTCAATTCACAACAAAGAATTTGAGCTGAGCTAAGGCTACCTGCAGAGTTTCAACTTTCTATTTTCATGCAAAATTTTGCACTGCTAATTAATAATGAAGATTCTGATTTCTGAGCTGAAAATTGTGCCTTAAATAGTAGTATTATTGCCACCCTGTAAGCACACAGAAATGGCTGCTGCACTGTTGCAGTATATATATATATATATATATATATATATATATATATATATATATATATTGAGAGTTGGATTCCTTGGAGAGACAGCAATTGTTTATGCTCATGGCTTTAGCTTTACTAATAATCTCTTTGCTATCTTTCAAGTGCTGTTTGGTGCATTGGGTGTATCTTGAAAGTAAAGTGGCATAGACAAAATTAATCTTGCAGTACACTTTTTGTTGAATGATGCAACTTTAAAAGGACCAAAATGTATTCACATTACAAATGAAGATCTTGTTTGAGTTATATATTTTGATGATGATGGGGATCAGATTGTTCTAATGGTGAAAAACTTGGGCAGTATCTATCTTTCATCTTCTGGATTGTTATTAAGGCCAACAATCTGAATCTTCTTTCTTTTAAACCAAAATAACATATAGTTTGGAATTTCTTGATTATCAAATTGCTATTAATTTAATTACTTAATTAATTATATTCAACTTAATATGTTAGGCCAAATCACTGTGACATTTGAAAAAAAAGTACATTTAAAAAGTTAATCATTGTCAAATTAACGATAAGTAATCTGCTTAATATGTAACATTGAACACAATTATATTCGTTTTGTTCATTTATGAGGATTTAATGGAACTTTGAATTGAGATTTCTTTTGTCCCATTAGGATTTTTTTTTCTTCAATTGAGAGTTCTTTTGGTTGGTTTGTGAGTGTTTGATGAAATTTTTTCAATTGAGAGTTATTTACACGGTTAGCTCGTTATTATTATACTCTGAATTATAATTCATATTGCAAAGTGAATTACTGATATACAAATTCAATTTTAATATACTAAATGTTTATTTTTAATGTACTACTCTATACTATCTAAAATGAATTTATTGTAAATTAAAAATGATCTTTCAATATACTAAAAATGAACCTTTGTCGGTAATAGTTGACATTATAATTTGCTCTTAGCATGAATTTTGGCTTATTAGACACATTATCCAATAATAAAAACATGTGAAATTATCTTTATGCCCTTCAAAAAATATATATGCAATTGAAGAGGATAAGAAACGAAAGCCGAAGGCTCTCGCTCTCAGTCTCTCCTGGCCTCTACCCGCTGTTTCGGCCAACCTCCACCACTGTAAGCCCTCTCCTTCCTTTCTCTATAGATTGTTCTTTTGCTGAAGCCTCTAAATGTTGGAAGCAGCTTCATCTCCAAGCCTCTATCTTCGCGTAGCTCCGATTACACGTTGCTTATTTACTTGATTGGTTTTGATGCTTTGAACTGTTAAATTCAATCGTTAAGTGAGGAATATTTTGGTTAAAATGGAGTTAATGGCGCCTATGAATCAAACCCGTGATGGGTTTTTCTCCTTTCATTGCATTCATAGTAATTCTAGAAATCACAGTTTTGGGGTTAGTAGCGGTATCAGTTCTGCGAATTTTTTTGTTGCCCGCAAAGCTAGATTGTCAGTGGTTTCTGTTGGTGGTGGAGGGAAAGGGAAACAAAGGCGAAAAAAGGTGTTTGCTCTCTCGAGGATTGAAACTATAAGGAGTAATGGTAGTAGGCTTTCTAGGGTGGAGAAAGGGTCATATGATAGGCAGGGTGAAAATGAGGTGATTATGTCTAATAATTTTGAGAGTAATAATAACCTTAGGAGGCTGGTGAGCAATGGGAAATGGGAGGAAGGGTTTAGGCATCTCGAGACTATGGTTTACCATGGTGAAATCCCGGATATTAATGTGTGCACGAGTTTGATTCGGGGGTTTTGCAGAAATGGGAAGACTAAGAGGGCTACGAGGATAATGGAGATCCTCGAGGAGTCGGGGGCTGGTCCTGATGTTATAACCTACAATATCTTGATCGATGGGTATTGTAAGTCGGGTGAGATTGGTAATGCATTGAAAGTGTTGGACCGAATGAGTGTTTCTCCTGATGTTGTTACGTATAATACTATTCTAAGAACTTTGTGTGAGAGTGGGAAAATGAAGCAGGCGATGGAGATTCTTGATTTGCAGTTGAAAAGGGAGTGTTATCCTGATGTCTTTACTTATACGATTTTGATTGAAGCTATGTGCAAGGAAAGCGGTGTAGAGCAGGCAATGAAGCTGCTGGATGAAATGAATAGTAAAGGATGTAAGCCCGATGTTGTAACTTATAATGTCCTAATTGACGGGATTTGCAAGCAGGGAAGGTTGGATGAAGCGATCGAGTTCATGAACAATTTGCCTTTAAATGGTTGCCAACCTAATGTGATTACGTACAACATTATCTTGCGTAGCATGTGTAGTGCTGACAGGTGGAAGGATGCCGAGAAGCTGTTTGGTGAAATGACTAGAAAAGGTTTTTCTCCCAGCATTGTTACCTTTAATATACTTATCAATTTCTTTTGTAGAAAGGGGCATTTGGGTCGGGCGATTGATTTGTTGGAGAAAATGCCAAAGCATGGTTGTACTCCTAACGCCCTGAGTTACAACCCATTAGTTCATGCTTTCTGCAAGGAGAAAAAGATGGACCGGGCAATTGAATATCTAGAAGTCATGGTTTCCCGGGGTTGTTATCCTAATATTGTGACCTATAATTCATTGCTCTCGGGTCTGTGCAAAGACGGGAAGGTTGATTTTGCAGTCGAGATCTTTAACCAGCTTAGTACAAAAGGCTGTTCTCCCGTGCTTATCACTTACAACGTAGTGATAGATGGGCTATCGAAAGTGAGGAAAACAGAACGGGCCATAGAGCTTTTGGATGAGATGAAGAGAAAGGGTCTCCAGCCCGATTCATTTACTTACTCTTCACTTGTTTCAGGTCTTTGTAGGGAAGGAAAGGTCGATGAAGCCATTAAGTTGTTTTGTGACTTGGAAACATTGGGCATCAGGCCCGATGCAATCACCTACAATACTATAATGTTGGGACTTTGCAAAGCTCGCCAAACAGACCGAGCAATCGACTTTTTGGTTGATATGGTGTCAAAGGGATGTAAACCAAATGAATATACATTCACTATTCTCATTGAAGGCTTAGCCCATGAAGGGTTTGCAAAGGAGGCTTTGGAATTATTGAGTGAGTTATGTTCAATAGGAGCTGTGGGAAAGAGTTATCCTGAACAGATTTTCATGAAAGATGTAGCTCAAAAGCGACTTGTCACTAAAGTGTGATTCACCCTTTGTTGTGCATTTGGTAGTATACACTCCATATGTTTATAAAGTCATTTGCTTTCAATTCTCATCTATGCATATTTTTGTGTTTTTCTGCTTTAACCTTAGCTTGTTAGCTTTATAGCACTTAGAGAATTTGTTCTTCTGTATAATAAAACAATTACTAAATGCTAAGGGAGTAATACCATATGGGAGGTCATGAGATTGAGTCTCGGTAGAGATAGTGTTGACTCTTTGTGCTTCAACAGGTTGATAAAGTATAAATGAACAGATAGTACAATATAATAGTCAACAATATTCAGAAGAAAAAAAATGCTAAGGGAGTATTTGGCTTTTTTTTTTTTTTTTTTAATAGTATTATTGACTCTGTTACACTACAGTATTTGTTCATAACTACTTTCTCAACTTACTAAAGCACAAAGAGTCAATATCGCCTCCACTGAGACTTGAACCCACAACTTTTCATATGAGAGAGGGAAAAAAGTATGATTGATGTTAAACCACCATTTTCAAGTGATTCAACATATGAGTAAGCAGTGTCAAACTGGGAATTATGAAGTCTATAAGCCAAAATCAAAATAAAGCATCATTCTCTAAGGTACCTAAGATTCCCTTGGCATGTCAAGTCAAGCTAAAAAGACAAATCCCTACTTCTCCAATGGCATAATGCTTTCTTCCTTTCCCAAACCAATGCACTGAAAAAAAAAAAAAAAAAAAAAAAGACAAATAATTTTGCAATTTCTTGAGTTTAAAACATTACATCCATACAAACTATACACGGGGCAACTCTCTTCACTCTGATCTCTAGCTTAACTAAAATATCTTATTCTCTTCTTAGCCACAGACAGTGGCTCCAAAATTTTCACAAATAATAATAAAATCAACAAAAAATTTCATTTGTTTTTAGTGATTTCATATTTCTGAAGAGAGAGAGAGAGAGAATGGAACAGCAGTGAAGAAGCCATGGAGAGAGACGAAGAAGGGCGGTTTACCTCGTGCTGGGGACGTTTGAAAGTAATGATTCCTTGGATGAGAGGAAGAAGAAGAAGGGCGAATCATCTGCTAAAAACGCAAGGCAACGATAACGGCGTAGGGTGCGGGATAACGACGACGAGCGGTAAGTCGAATTCGGCCGGAACATTCCGTTATAGTCCGCTGAGCTATGCTCAGAATTTCGACCGCGGTTGCCCGCTCGAAGACGATGAGGATTCTGCGCCTCTGCGTTTTTCAACGAGATATGCTGCGGCTTCATCCACCAAATCTTCGAAAGGCCGGTAAGGCTGTATGTATATATACATATATACTCCGTATATACTTATCACAGTGGTAAATATGCTTAATTGTTTGCATGGATGCGTTATCTATGGAGTTTCAATCTGCATGGAAGCAGATGAAAGAATAGAAACTGTTCACACATTGTTTATGGAGTAATTACGTATATAGAATTGAATACGAACTGTCTGAATTGAAATCCCTTTGTAATACTACACATACTCTAATTTCTACTCTATTTTTTTTCATACTTATGTTGTAGTCCGGTACAGGAATTTTATTCCATAAGAGTTCATATATCATTTTTCTTCGGATAATTCAAGTGTTTAGCTTGATTCCAACTACTTTCAAACATATGGTTCTTTATTATTCATTCATTTTGTCTCATTTTATATGTTCTGATTATTACTCATTTCTCTACACTGTGGGTGAAGTCTGCTTTGTGACTCAACAAAAGACCAGAAATGTATACCAATCTAAGTTATTCATAACTGATTGACTGAAACTAAGAAAATCAATAGATAATTTTTAAGGGAAAAAATGTTCAATTTCTAATTCCTAGTATATACCATTATTTTGTGTCTAGTTTTATAATCTTTAATTAACAGTTAGTTTTACAGGCATTGATATAAACACAATCAAGTTGATCTTTAAAAAAAAAAAGGCTAAATACATGTCAAAACATTGAAAGAAAGTACAACATAAAAGACCAATGGATTTCACAAAGATGGATAAAGTGCAAGAAATCAGAATGACAAGGAATGTGGGATGGAATACGAAGTTAAGCCACCGTAAACGGCACCAACATTACCCAACGTAGAGATCAAAACGTATTCTCTCATGCTAAAAGGGCCTGGATTCAAAGCAAACTCGAAATCAAATGCTCTCAGGTAGATCCTCCTCTTCGGCAGACGTTTCGCCAGGACGACGGCGATCGGGTACGCCACCGCCATCGTCGTCACCATCGACATCACGCTCTCCGCCGTCTCTTGCAGGTAAAATTTGTTGATGATTATTAGGAAAACGCACGACAAGGATCCCAGCAGTAAGACGCGGAACGTCCACACCATTTGGTTTTCATCTTCCTCCTCGTCGTCGCCGTCGCCTTCGCCGTCGTAGAATTCTCTCTGCCACGAGGCATCTTCTTCTTTCTCCGACGGCGGCGACGGTGGTTGCCCTGATGAGGCGTCTTCTTCTTCTTCTTCTTGTGATGAGATTGTGTGCGTAGATCTTGGCGCGCCTCTTCGCTCTGCCCTATGCACATGAGACTCCATGGTTTGAATTTGGGGGAAATGTCTTAGCAACTTGTCAAGATCGCATGGGGAAATAGTATAATATGGTTCAGAATTTAAATACGGGTTATGTATTTTTTAGGCATGTAACACAAAATCTGGACACTATGCATTAGAGCATCTACATCAGAGGAGAAATAGTGGAGAATTCACTACTTTTGAGGCCAATATGCCATGGTAGCAGAGAGAGAATCAAGAGAGAGAAGGGGTGGGGAGTCTCTGCAAATGTTGGGATATTACTCTGCCCAAGAAAAATAATTAATGATGAAGGATAAAGAACCAATAGAGAAATGACATGCTTATTTTTTATATATATATTTTTTATAAAATCAGTTTTGATTTTTTTTCCCTCCCCTCCCACATTATTCTCTTTCCTACTCACTCTTACATTCTCCCCCTAATAACCCCAACTGATAAGGATGCTCTTAGATAATATAAACTGCTGCTTGAAGCCTCAAACAAACAAAAAAAACAATCCTTTGCTCTCACAAAGACTCTAATTTTAAATTTGTGGTATCAAGTTAACAATATAACTAACTTGGTTGAGATTGGCTCCAACAAAAACAATTTTTGTTACAATATATACAATTATATATAGAAAGACATGCATGTAATAAGTATCAAAATATTTTTTATTAAGATCACCCCTCTAAAATATATGTTACACCAAATAGGCAGATACATAAGTAAAATGCATTTGATATAACAAAAAGTTAGAGTTAATTCAAAAAGAGGTATCTTATCTTTGGTGACAATTTCAAATTTAGTTTCAGACTATTGTTTTTATCATTTAACATCTCAGAACTATTTTTTTTGAACACTTTTAGTCATTCTCATGAGTTTTTCTATTTTTAGTAAGGACATTTTTGTTTTTTTTTCATTTTTTCGGGTTTCAACCGGTTTAATCGGTTTAAAACATTAGGTAACTTCTGATTTTTAGTAATTATATTTTCAACCGTTTTTAGTAAAGTTATAAACCAATTGAAACTGAAAAAATAACAAATGAAAAATATAAAAAGATAAAAATGCCCTTACTAAAAATATAAAAATCCATGAAAAGGACTAAAAGTGTCCAAAAAATAATAGTACGTTAAATGTTAAAAACAATAATGTGGGACTAAATTTAAAATTGTCACCAAACACAAGGAACCTTTGGTGGAATTAACCAAAAAGTTATATATTTTATATGACCAAACAATATCATAACATTTATTTATCCTAATATAAAATCGAAACTAAAATATGGGACAACCATCAACAGATATACCCTTAGCGGTGGGACAATTCGCAAGATCGCAATGCTCAGAGTTAGTAGTCCCCCACCATGACACATTTTTGTTCTCCAACCCCACCGTGAAGTACAAAAAGACTGCCATGAATGCAACGCCGGCATCCAACGCCGCGGAGAGGACATAATTATACCTCTGCCACCATTCCTTCCGGTACCTAAAAACAAAGAAGTTGAAGATGGTTCCGACCAAAATCCAAGAATTGTAGTTTAAGGCCGTTGCCGGCGGGATCTGAGAACATGCGCCAAGAAGAACAGGGAAGTTGATGAGGGTAATCCAGGTTTGCGAGGGGAAGGCCTTGTGGAGGAGAAATACCAGAAACGGACCCAATATTCCTCCAAGAAAGAACCAGTTAAGCGAAGAGTAATTTCCGAGCGAGCCAAAAATCCTCATCGGACCAACCAGCCCCCAGATAACAGAGGCATCGAAGAAGACACGGTGGCCCGGACAGGTCCAGGGACTATTGGAAAACTTATCCTGATCACATATGTGGTCTATAGAATGTAAGAGCCACCAGGCAACAATTGTATTGGTTGTTGAAGCAATGATGGTTCCAAAGACCTGTACCCAAAAGTTGTTGAAATAAGAAGAGAAGGGCTAGAAATATTCCATGGAAAAAAAATATGCATTTTTATTCCCTCAATTATTCTTTGCTAGTTATTTTAGTCTATAACTTTTTATCATTGTAATATACCCAACTAGACGCTAGGCCGAGGAGATTTTAACCCTAGGCGGCTTTTAGTTGGCTGGCCAACTAGGCGCTGAGTTGGGCGCCTAACTCCGCCTAGTTGGCGCCCAATTAGGTAGCTGAGTAGGCACCAAATTCGACGGGCTAGAAATAAGAACAGAAGGGCTAGAAATATTCCATGGCTAAAAATGCATAATAACAGAAATATACCTGAACCAAGAACATAGACCTTGGAGGAATCTTCATGTAATGACCCAGCTTGAAATCGCTAAGGAAAGAAACAGCATGACTCATGCTCATGTAACCATACGTCTTGAAGCAAACATTGGCTATAGGTCTCCCAGGATAGATTATACCCATAACGTATTCCGTTATGATATTTAGTCCTGGCGTCTGCCACAAACAGGAAGGAAAATGAATAACAGCCCAAAAGCGAATGAACATCATATATCAAAGCCTAAAAGCTAGCATTGAGGGAATAATATATAGCATATATAATTACAATGTTTGTGGTGGCTGTGATGATACTAATGGGCAGGGTAAAGATGAAACCCATGGCAGATGCAAGCAACAGTCCCCAGTATGGCATCTGGACCTCACTTTTCAAGAAGATGCATAGTGCCAGTGACACAATAATTGTCACTAAAAGAAGTGTGTAAAACCACCACGAAGGTATATCTTTGTACTTCCTCATCAATCTTGTATGTATATCCATCTTTTCCTTTGAAGCAGCTTTATATTGATCATAAATCTCTCTGCACCTCACAAGAGAACGAGTTTGGTTCAAGTAAAATACATACATAACCAAAGATATTCAACTATCAGTTTAAGCTTTTAGTTGAGATGGGACATATGTTTCAATTATCCCAACTAAGTTGGTCAGCTGTTGACATGGTAAACATGTACAAGGTTACAAGTTCAACATGAGTGAATTGAACTTAGCCTCTGGGTCACTCAAAAAAGAAAAATCGAAAATATTACCTTCCATAGAATAAAGCAACATGGGAAATTGTAGATGCAATTTTGGCAAATCCAAACCCATAAGTTAGAATAAACATTATGCTCAAGTGGACTGTCCCTTGCTTGGCGTATTGAGCTTTATCCAGCTCAAATTGATCATTGACAATGGCGGATATGTTATACTTTTGGCCCTGTGCAGTGAACAAGTGCGACGAATAGATGGGGAAGTTTTTGGCATCATAGAGATTGAATCCCCAGTAACATATAGGTACCACGACGTACATTATAGTCACGTAACCGACAAAGATGTTTGCAACGGTGAAGAATGGACTTATGAGAGGGCTGAAGAGAAAGGAGGCAATTGTGGCCCAGTCTAGCGTGAAAGCTCCGACTCCAAACCCATTCATGCCGGAACCAATCTGCTGTGCCGTCACGGATTTGGGAAACGCCCAGCAAACCCAGGAAATGCTCTGAAGAGTCTGGAAGAGGTAGCCAGGGAACAAGTACCAGCAAAAGCTACAAGCTAGTGCGATCATGAAGAATTTTGCTCGGGACATGTGCCGCTTGTCGTCTTCGTCTTCCTTTTCATGGAGGGTCCTGTGAATCATATCAATGGAACACAAGGATTAATATAATGCCAATGATTTTGTGTTCTAGTGACATGTAGTGGCTGTCCCACAGTCCTATATTGGAGGTCATGAGTTAGATCTTCAGTAAATATCTTCATGAGTTCGAGCCTCATGTTATATTGACTCATTTCTATGAATTTGTAATAATTTAAGATAAAAATAACATGTACATTCATACCGGAATAGTGAGATTTGGACGAGGGTGCTTGGCCACCACATGTGAGCCGGCTCAACTACATATTTTCTTATAAGTCCAGCCCAACCATATCCAAGTACCTGCCATGGTAAGCCGGTCGCCATTAGAGCAAACAAAAAATTTGAGCAGAATGACAATTCTAGTCATGTTGGTTAGAAAACGTTACAAGTAGTGAAATTTTATTGATTTTTTTAGCTATAGATAGATTTACTTCCTTTGTCGATTAAAATTATAAGAAGAAATTTATAATGCACACTTTCGATCATGTAATGGATGGGATTTCCCTTCTTGTCACCAAAAAATATTTGAGTAGAGAATAAAGAAAAAAGTAGGTAGTAGGTACCTGTGTGGTAAGAACAAGGAGCCAGCCAGCAAACAAAGAGATATTCCTGTGATAAAATGCGATTATAATGGTCACAATCCCAATGGCATAAGCGGTTCCATCTCCAAACGCGGCGCCGGCGTTCCCAAAAATGCTGATAAGAACGTGTTCCTTCATGTTAAACGGCCCCGGGTTAAGCGAGAATTGGCGGGACCCGAACCCGGGAATCCGGAACTTGGTGGTGGGCAGCGTGGCGGCCATGAAGCGTCCGATGGGGAGCGTGAACACCTGGACGGTGATCTGGGTGATGGTTAGTGGCTCCTTCCTGTAACTAAAGAATTGGTTGAGAAAGGAGAGGAGCACGCAGGAGAACACTCCCAGGACCCACATTCTGAAGGTCCATACGGGCAGGGTCGGGTCGTCGGTGGTGGGTACGGTTAGCCGGACTTGCTCGATCGGAGAAACCTCGTCTTCGTTTATCTCTCCGTCATGGATTCTCGGAGCCTCCATTTCCACACTCCTCATTTTTCTTTAGTGCAAGAAAGAAACGGAAGAAAAGCCCGGTAGACGGTGGATGACTTGATAAGGACTAATTAGTAATCACCTTTATAGCATCGACGACAGATTATATACCATTTTGGGTTACTCAAAAAAATAATAATACCATTTTGGGTGTTTCAAAAAAATAATAATACCATTTTGGGTGTTTCAAAAATATATATCTACAATCGGCAAATACAAATACAATACAATACATACATATTACAAACTTGACAAGAGCCAATAAAATTAAGACCCTAACGGGTACCCTCACATTTTGTTAGTATAAACTTTAGTAACGATCCCTCACATTTTGTTAGTCTAAACTTTAGTAATGAAATATGTCGTTAATTATTTATTATGCTTAACTTACTCATTCAAAATTACAAATAAGTTAAAAACCCAAATTTAAGCACAAAGTTAACATCGCCTCTACTAAGGTTTGATCTCATGACCCCCACATAAGAAATGTTACTACATGTCATCTAAGCACAAGGTGTTTGACAAGTGCTTGACATTTAATTAATCTTATTTTGATTATTTAGAACAAAACTCAATATTACAATTATGTTTTTGCATTATTGGAATGATTTAGGTCATTATGGTAGAGTCATTGTTATTATTATCAACTTATGGAACTAGAACAAGTAGTGGTACTACTCATTAACCTTATACAAATATAATAGATATTAATATTTTGTTCAATACTTTCACATGAGAATATACAACACACATCTCATAACATGTGAAACATATAGGGAAAAAAACTATCACGGCCAAATATCAAAAGGCACTTGCAAGATCCTAGTCATATACACAACAATGCAAATCTATAGTTTTCTACACCATAATCTCATTGCATGACGTTGCACACTATACTATCGCCAGTAACACAATTTCACATGACACACTAACAATAAAAAAGGAAAGGACAAGTACTAAGACTGCAAAATGACTTTTTCAAAAAATTGATAGAAAAAACTACTTTGAACAGCTTTTTGAATTTTAGCGTTTTGGAGCAATAAGATGTTACAAAAAGCTAATTAATTAAACACTTGTATTAACTGTTTAACCAAGTCAAACAACTAATAATAGTCAAATAAACCAAAATTGATTGATAAACTAATTATGTTATGAAAAGGGCATTTGTGTCATTGTAGAAAATGCGTTTACCCACTTAGATTTAGACTAGTACAGAGTAGTAAAAAAAGAGTCACTTTTTGGGTGTCTATAATGAATATCCGACAACAGAGAACGTGTACTTGGTTTGAGGGTAAAAACTCAAAGGTTAGAAGGCTTCTTTTTGTTTGTATAATTTGGAGTGGTGCTTTTCTTTTTCTTAATGATTAAAATTAATAAAATTATGTATTAAAAGTTACCATCTTGTCTGTGGTTATTCCCCAGGGCAGGTCAATTTGATATAATTATACATTTTTTTTTTTAAGTTTAAGAATCAATTGTATCTTTCTTGAGTTGAATGACCTAATTACATTTTCGTGTCTTGTTCGATGGCTATTTTGAGACTTATTCCAAATCATTTTCATACTAGTACTTTTTTAGTTCAATCATTTTGAACTTTTTTTTTTTATTTACTATACATATAAATACAGATTATATATTTAAAGATCATCATTTAACAAGATGAGAAAATGAGTTGAGGGTCTACTAGTGCTACTGTTGCACTGGTGAACATAATTTCAGTAGTCTCCAAGACAGGAATTATGAGTCTTTTAAGTTTGGAATTCAAAATTTATATATATAATTGTAATTATCAAGTATTTAATTATAATTATAATTTCAATTTCAATGTTTGAATCAAATGCCTCTAAATCTATGAAAGGAAAATAGAGGTGTAGGTTTAAGAAGGAAAAAAATTGGCTTTTGTGGGATACTTTTCTTACGTGCTGGCGTCATCAAGAGAAGCGTGGAGTATGAAATTTTAATGAAGGATTTACGGAATTTTACCGACTAAATATTTGATATAATTAATATTGCAGGGTCCACGAGAGACAATGGTCCCTCTTGGGCTCTTGGCATTACTCTCATTAGTTGACTTGTGAAAGTTACCGTGTGGAGAATCAATTGAAGGATTTCCGGCGAAAGAATTGAAGAGATTATGGAAACTTAATTTACTAATGAATATTTTTAATTTAATTTAAAATAAGTAAAATGGTAAGTGTATTTTTAAGGGATAAAATTATTATGTATTTTCAAAAAAAAAAAACATATTCTATGTAGACAATCGACCAACAGAATTCGTTTTCTTGATTGGAAAAATGGCCATGCTTATTACATTAATGTTATTGTCAATGTTTGATAGAAAAACCTAGGTAGATATTAGGCCCACTCAATTTGATTTTCTCAATTGGAAATAACGGACATATTTTTGAGTTCTACTACATGTACTTTCAAATTTTACTCTTTCATTTTTACACTATGATGTGATAAACAATGATATGATATTTTTATCATGTGGATCCCAGATAAAGTCTCTACATCAATGATTTGTGAGAGAGTAAAAATTGAGAATAAAAAGTGAGAGTCCATGTAGTATTTTTCCATATTTATTTCATTAATGTGGTTCTTAAGATTCAATCATTTTTATGAAATGACGTAGGTAAAAAGTGATAAATTATATACATTGTGGACCATGAATCAAAACGACATTGTTTGATATATAAGTTTTAACATATTCTGTAACTTTCTGTTTCTCATGTTTCAACACAAAATTTTAATTTATTCTATGCACAAAATCCTTACGCTTAATGTACAGAAATGCATGACATGATACACAGAAACCACGCATAACACGATATACATACACATATTTTATATTTTACTTATTCTCAGATCTGATTTGTGTAAATAATTTATGTCATATAGGCACATAATTGCATAATATAAGACATAAATTCGTAAAATAAGACATACAATGTGTTTTGTGTTATACAACTACTAATCAATTTCATGTACATAATCCTTATGCTTAATGTACAGATTTTAGTAACATAATGTACAGAAATGCATAACACAATGCACATAAATATGTTTTAGCTAACACGAACTGAAAAACAAACGGTCTCCATTAAAATTAAAGTTCAAAATGACGTCGTATATGATCATGTTCCACGGTATAACGATTGGTAAAAAGTAGCTCCACTCAATTTGCTTTTTATTTTTTTCCTGAATTGGAGATTATTTAAATAAAATTACGAAAATAGAGAGCACTCTTCCATTTTCTGTATTAGAAAATTGACAAATAAATGTATTCTCTATTTTTAAAATTTATTTCTTTATATAAATAAACAATTTTTCTTTTACTAAGGCACTTATATGAAAACTCCAAAAAACAAATAAGAATATATGGGTAGGGATGAATATTATTATTATTATTATTATTATTATTATTATTATTATTATTATTTTGGCATACAATATCTAATATTTCCACAGATATGAGTCTATTAGAATTGAATATGTTTTATATGTTCTTCAAAAAATAAAAATAAAAAAATTGAATATGAATTACATTGGCAAAGTTTTGACTTTTATTTAAAATAATTCATATTGTGGGGACCACAAGAGATAACGGCTCAACTTGGTCTCGTTGCATTATTCACTTTAGTTGACTTGTGTTTGGTTGACTTGGCTGTAGTCCTGTAGAACATATACTTTTGTAATGTATAGACTAAAATAAAATCCCATGTCTGATACGACTATGACAGACAGAATGGAATTAAAAATATCAATTATTTAGAATTGTAAGTATTTAATTATTAGTAGTATTATACACACACATACATATAGGTTTATATAATAATCTATATTAACATATAAATTCGAGAATCAATCTATGTCCTTTATCTAGATTAATAGATGGTACATGTCATCTATAACACAATGTACACAGATAATGTAATGCAAACACAATGCGCGCATGTTGTGTACCGCTCCATGCACCATGTTCTGGGCCGTTAGATTATGCAACATCAAGGGTGTGCACATGTTCGTTTCACACAATAAGACACCAGAAATTCAAAATATAAAACACAATTATATTTCAAGTACAAAATTCATATTATTAAGATATAAAATTTCATAACACAAAATACAAAAACTCATAACATCAGATACAATACATGCACTAGAGTTCACAGTGCATTGTGTACCCTCGTCCATAGTATAAGGATTGGTTAACCAATAGGCTTCCTTTAATACTTCTTTAAAAAAAAAAAAAAATAGGCCCTTTAATACAATTATGCTTGTACATATTATTTTGCAAACTATTAATTATCGACTATAACAAAAATAATTTTTTTGTATATCCAAATACTAAAACACCGGACAACCATCCACCGATATGCCCTTAGCGGTGGGACAAGTCGCAAGGTCACAGTGTTCCGAGTCATTAGTCCCCCACCACGACACGTTCTTGTTCTCCAAACCCACCGTGAAGTACAGAAAGACTGCCATGAACGCAACGCCGGCGTCCAACGCCGCCGAGAGGACATAATTATACCTCTGCCACCATTTCTTCCGGTACCGGAAAACAAAGAAGTTGAAGATCGTTCCGACCAAAATCCAAAAATTGTAGTTCAAGGAAGACGCCGGCGGCATAGCGTAAGTCGCTCCGAAGATAACCGGGAGGTTGATGAGGGTAATCCAAGTCTGCGAGGGAAACGCCTTGTGTAATAGCCACACTACAACCGGACCCAATAATCCTCCCAGAAAGAACCAGTTAAGCGCCGAGTAGTTTCCCAGAGAGCCGAAAATTCTCTTTGGACCAACCAGCCCCCAGATAACGGACGCATCGAAGAAGACATGGTCGCCCGGACAGGTCCAGGGACTATTCGAAAACTTATCCTGATGGCATATGTTGTCAACGGAATGTAAGAGCCACCAGGCAACAATTATATTGGTTGTTCCAGCAATGATGGTTCCAATGAACTGAAAGCAATAAAGTTGATGAAATAAGAATCAAAGCTACTGTTTGATAAATGGCTTTTAGCTGTTAGCTGATTGAGTTAATTAGAGGGTATAATTAGTTAATAACATTAATTGATTGTAGAAAGATGTTTGGTAAATTAACAGTTAGTTGATAGTTGTTTGATATAATTTATTTTTTCAAAAATTAATTGAAAAAGTTATTTTAATAGCTTTTTGAATTTTAACATTTTAGAGTACAAAAAGTTAATTAACCAAACATTTATATTAATTTTTAAACTAAGTCAAACAACTAATAGTGATCAAACAAATCAAAATTGACTTATAGGCTAACAATTTTACCAAACAGGGCCAAAAGGCCCGGTTAGAATGAATTGTACATTTATTATTTATATACCTGAACCAAGAACATTGACCTTGGAGGAATCTTCATGTAATGGCCAAGTTTGAAATCGCTAAGGAAAGAAACAGCTTGATATGTGCTCAAGTAACCATAGGTCTTGAAGCAGACATTAGCTATAGGTCTTCCCGGGTAGATTAAACCCATAATGTATTCTGTTATGATATTTAGTCCTATTGGCTGTGTCAAACAAAGAATATAATATAAGCAGAGAATTAAGGAAGATGAATCAGTTATGTATTGAATCCCAAAATCAAATAAATAATTACCAGGTTTGTGGTAGCCATAATGATGCTAATGGGCAAGGTAAACACGAAAGCAATGGCGGATGCAAGCAGGAGTCCCCAATATGGCATCTGAATCTCCTTTTTCAAGAAGATGCATAATGCAAGTGACACAAGCATTGCCGCTAAAAGAAGTATGTGAAACCACCAGGAAGGTATATCTTTGTACTTCTTCATCAATCTTGTATGAATATCCATCTTTTCCTTCGAAGCAGCCCGATATCGACTATAAATCTCTCTGCAACATACAAAGAAAAGAATTATTGTTGTTTATGTCTCATATGTACCATGTTTAGTGTCGCATATAAACATGTTGTTGGAAAAATGACTAAAATGTTTGAGTAGGCACATGCAATTCTCAAAATATGACGCTACTGTGAATTGGACAAATTTATGAAAAAAACATTTGGGAATTTCAGCAAACGCATGTCCCAAACGTCTTTTTCATAAATTTGTCCTATCCATAGCATAGTAGCGTCATATTTTAGAAATTGCATGTGCCTGCTTACACATTTCAGTCATTTTCTCCTAACCTGAATGTTTTATCATAGAACAAAGATTGGTAAGAAAACATTATATTACCTCCCATAAAACAGTCCAATATGAGAGAGTGTAGACGCAACCGTGGCGAAACCAAAACCGTAAGTCAGACTAAACATGGTGCTCAAGTGGATTTTCCCCTGCTTAGCATACTGAGCTTCGTCAAGCTCAAATCTATTGTTGACAATGGCGGATATATTATACTCTTGGCCTTGAGAAGTGAACAAATCGGACGAAAAGATTGGGAACTTTTGGGCGTCGTAGACATTGAACCCCCAGTAGAAGAAAGGTATGACCACATACATTATGGTCACATAGCCAACAAACACGTTTGCAATTGCGAAGAATGGGCTTATAAGAGGGCTGTACAGAAACGAGGCTGTTGTTGCCCAGTCCAGCGTGAAAGCCCCAAGCCCAAAGCCATTCATGCCCGAACCAAGCTGGTGGGCAGTCACAGAATGGGGAAATGCCCAGCAAACCCAGGAAATACTCTGAAGAGTTTGAAAGATGTAGCCAGGGAACAAGTACCAGCAGAAACTACAGGTCAGTGCAATCACGAAGAATTTGGATCGAGAGATTTGCCGCTTCTCATCTTCGTTTTCCTCTTCGTGGAGTGTCCTGTGAATCAAATGACCAGCAACCTTAAACTATCTGTAATCTGTGGTAAATGACGGTTAGCTGATAGCTGATTGTGCTAGTTAGAGGGTATAACTAGTTTATAACATTAGCTATTGTAGAAAAATGTTTGATAAATTAGCTATAGCTGTTTTGTATAAGTTCTTTTCTAAAAAAACTAATTGAAAAAGTTGTCTGGAGTAGCTTTTTGAATTTTAAAATTTGAAGTTGCAAAAAGCTAATTAACCAAACACTTATATTGATATTTTAACTAAATCAAACAATTAATAGTGATTAAAAAGCTAAAATTGACATATAGGCCAATTTTTTACCAAACAGGGCCAAAGTGATAAAATTTGTACCGGAATAGTGAGATTTGGACGAGGGTGCTTGGCCACCACATGTGCGCTGGCTCAACTACGTATTTTCTTAAAAGTCCAGCCCAACCATATCCGAGAACCTGCATACCACAATAAAGATCGTTATGTTGTGTAACCGTGTGCACCTTGTAAAATTGGATTCATAATTTCTATACTATAGATTCATAATTTCTATACTGTATATTCATAAAATCTATACTGTAACACAAGATTTTAAATTTAAATTGTCTATTATTCTTATTAATTTAAACCGATCCGATGTGGCCTATTAAGCTAAGACAGAAAAGACATACTTGTGGTCCATGCTTACTTGCTTAGTAGTTAATACTAAATGACATTTACCAAACAATCTTTTCCAGTTTTAGGCTGAATCTTTCCTCCGTCAGAAAATATCTCGAAATTTTCTTTATTTATTTTCCATATTATTAGTTTAATAAAAAAAGAGAAAAAAATAAAAAATAAAAATACCTGTGTGCAAACGACAAGAAGCCAACCAGTATAGAATGATATTTTCCTCCGGTAAAAAGCGATGATAATGTTAACAATCCCGACGCCGTAAGCGGTTCCATCTCCGAAGGAAAACCCGGCGTTCCCGAAAATGGTGATAAGCACGTGCTCCTTCATGTTAAACGGGCCCGGGTTAAGCGAGAATTCCCGGGCCCCGAACCCGGGAATCCGGAACTTGGTGGTGGGCAGCGTGGCGGCCATGAAGCGTCCGATGGGGAGCGTGGCCACCTGGACGGTGATCTGGGTGATGGTGAGTGGCTCCTTCCGGTAAGAAAAGAACTGGTTGAGGAAGGAGAGGAGGACGCATGAGAGCACGCCCAGGACCCACATTCTGAAGGTCCATACGGGCAGGGTCGGGTCGTCGGTGTTGAGTACGGTTAGCCGGACTTGCTCGATCGGAGAAACCTCGTCGTCTTCGTTTATCTCCGGCGCCTCTACTTCCAGTGTACCCATTTTTGTTGTAGTGCAGAGAAATGGAAGAAAGGTTAGAGGGTAGAACCGTAGAAGAGGACTAATCAGCTTAGAACTAGAAATGAAGCCACTTGTTGGGTGTCTATATACAAGAAAATTGAGCTGTCCATCGTTATCTATATACATGCAATACATACATATTTGAGTGTCAACTAGTGGGTTGAAAAAATTAAATCAACTTGATTGGTGTGACCGTGCACTCTTTCCCTTAAGAAAATTTGAGAGTTCAAACCCTATCTCATATTGAAAACTCAATCTGACCAGCACTTTATGGTACCAGCGGTGCTCCCTACAGTTAAAAATTAGCGAGAGTTGATCGTAATTATATCAAAATATATATTTTCATCCTTTCAATATATATATATATATTCGAGATTTTATCATGCATTTTGGTCTGGGTTGGGATTGGATTCCTCATGTTTAGACAAATACAATTTGGTGTGAGACATAATGCTAAATATATATGCTTAATTTAAGTGTCCTATAAAATAGATTCATGAACTTCAAAAAATAATTTGATAAAATTAGAAAGCCTGAATTATAAAATAAATGAAATATTAGTGTGTCTAGCAGTTTGATAAATGATAAGTACACGCCTACACCAAACGCAATCATCAATGATCATCACTAGACACTATTGTGTTGTTATTCTTCCACAATGGGTTGAATAGTCCAAGATGAGTGAACAAATGAAAGACAGCTTAATTATTGTGTGATGCTACTGTTGCTGCAGAGACCATAATCCAAGTCTTGGAAAATTTGTTTTCAAAAAAACAAAAAAAAAGTCTTGGAAAATTTTTGGAAAAATTATCAGCTTTCACACCTCTCATCTGTCAGTCTGTCCGATTGTCTTGTTTTGACTTTGTCGACAGTTTCAATTAAAGCACCGTTTGGTTAACAATACATTATATTTTTTAATTTTTATCTCTTACTTTTTTAATAATATACTCAAAAATGAAAAAAAAAAAAAAAAGAGTCATCAAAGTATATATTTGACATTGTTGACAAGCATATAGAAATCTATAGGTTATAAAAGATATTTTTTATTAAGAGTTAATTCATTTGTATTTTTTTATATTATATTTTAACGATTTTGTTGACAGATAAAAAATAGTCATGTCATAATAATACCAGGACCAAGACAGGAATAGTGAGCCTTTTAATTTTGGAATTCAAACTTTATATCTATAATTATAATTATCAAGTATTTAATTATAATTACAATTTTGATGATTTCAATATTTGAATCAAACATCTCGAAATCTACCAAAGAAAAATAGAGGTGTAGGTTTAAGAAGGAAAAAAACGGGTTTCTTAGGATAATTTTCTTACGTGCCGGCGTCATCAAGAGCAGCGTAGAGTATAAAATTTTAATGAAAGATTTTCGGCGAAAGAATGTAATAGATTACGGAATCTCGCCGACTGAATATTTGATATAATTAATATTGCAGGTTCCACAAGAGACAATGGTCCCTCCTGGGCTCTTGGGCTCTTGGCATTACTATCATCTCTTGTGCAAGTGGCTATGTGGAGAATCAATTGAAGGATCTCCGGCGGAAGAATTGAAGAGATTATGGAATCTTGACTAATGAATTTTTTAATTTAATTTAATATAAGTAAAATGGTAAGTGTGTTTTTAAGGGGTAAAATTATTATGTATTTTCAAAAAAAAAAAAAAAAAAAGTATTATGGATATCTTTTAGTAAATTGTGTTTTTAATAGATAATAATGTTGGATTTTTTTAAAACTACTTTCTGTTGTATAATGTCAGAAGTGCTGGAACGCCTATCTATGAGGCTCACTAATCACTATAGTGTAGGTTAAGCAATATATAGGTAATTTTGTAAATGTATCATAAGTTAAGATTATATATAAATATAATGTTTATAACCAATGTATTATTATTAATTTATTATCATACTTAATAAAATATTTGTTTCACTCATGTGAAAGTAAGCACACTATCAAACCGTATAAATCTTGTATTTTTCTTTCGTTCTTGTTCTTGATTTCTTGATTCCATTTTTTCTCAGCATTTTTTATAAACTAATATTTCATATAAATAGTTTTCATGTTACATGACAAAATGATCATTTAATTTGAAGTGAGTATAAATGTATGCGAAAATTAATTGAAGCATACATGTTTTTAAGAATAAAATAAATAAATAAATAAAAAGAAGTTAAAGTAAATTTGATACAAAATCATCCTTGTGCAGAGTCATGCTAATCTTCTGTGTATTATGCAAAGTCAATTACACTCCTTGCAAAAGCAATGGAATACCATCAACTAAAAATATCATGGCATCTCCAAGAGTGCAAAATCCCCACATGAACAGACTCCATTGGCAAATATGTGCAGCCTTTTACTGTCTCTAACAAGGATGTTCCTACCAGTTAAAGTAGATACCACCTCCAGAAAAACATGGCAATCCCTGCACATACCGATAGTCTTAATGACTCGAATGGCTGCAGCGCCTGGAGTGTTCAACAACCCAAACGCAACTGCCAGTTTTTCGCTGTGATAGCCTGCAGATTCAGTTGCTTCCTTGGGTTCGGTTTGTAATTCATAGCCAAGAGCCTTGGCCTGTTTATGCAAATCGCTTAAGAACTCTGCTACCTCTTTGTATGGCGGGTGAAGTTGGGCGTTGGTCTCAAATGAATGAACCTTGTCTCTAATGTTAATCCAGCTCCAGTCACGTAACTCTTTTATGTTGTTGTCTTCCATGATCTTTCTCAGTCGAGAGGCGTCCTCCAATCTCCCTTCTGAGATATACATGTTCAACAGTGAAGTATATGTCTCCGGGTGCTTTGGATTGAGGTTTAGCAGTTGCTCTGCAGCATAGAATCCCAGCTCTGATTTCCCATGGCTTCTGCAGCCTGCAATCAAGAGTGACCATGTAAACTCATTAGGCCGAATATCGTTCTCCTTCATAAACTCAAGAGCTTCCTCTATCCTCCCCAGCCTCGCGTACATGCTAATCAGGCACGAGTAATGGTCCCTTGCAGGCTTGATTCTGTACTTGCTTTTCATCATGTTGAAATACGCAAATGCTTCCTCCACCATTCCAGCATGGCTACAAGCAAAGAGAACAGCGGTAAATGTGACCAGGTTTGGCTTAACTCCCACAAATATCATGTCTTCAAAGAGCTGTAGTGCCTGTTTAGAACAGCCATTTTGTGCAAAGGCTGCAATCATGGAAGTCCAGCTTACCAAAGTTCTTGTGGACATCTCTACAAAAGAACGGCTCGCGCTATCAATGCTTCCGCATTTACTATACATGTTGAGTAGGGCAGTCCCCACAACCACGTTAGATAAGAAACCAGACTTGATTACTTGGGCATGAATCTGCTCCCCTTGCTCCATAGCTGCTAAATGACTGCATACAGTTAGTACACTTGAGAAGGTAAACAAGTCAGGTTTTACGCCAGATCGGTTCAGTCTCAAGAAAACGTTGAGTGCCTCTATTCCACAGCCATGACTTGACAGAACATCCTCTGCTAGATCTGTCAATTGGGCAATTCCTGCAATCATAGCATTCCACGAAACCAAACTTCGCGTTTCCATTCCATCAAACAACTTCCTTGCCTCCTTAACCAATCCACCTTTCAAGTATAGATACAGAAGTGAGTTTTTTATCAGTGGATTAGAACTATACCCAAGCTTAATGCTCAAAGAATGAACTTGTGATCCCAATCCTAAAGCCCACATCACAATACACGATCTCAAGGCATTAGACAGTGTGATTTCATTTGGCTCAACACCATTACAGAGCATATCAATGAAAAAACCCAGCGCCGTTCTAGAATCCCCATTATCTCCACAAGCACATATAACAGAGGTCCAAGATATCACATCCTTCTCCTCAATCTTCCGATACGCCTTAACTGCAGAATCCAAATCGCCACACTTGGTATACAGACTACAAAGAGCATTCCCAACACTTGTGTCATGCTCAGTTCTATATTTCACAACATAGCCATGAATTTGCTTTCCAGTCTCAAAATCAGACAATAAAGAACAAGCATTCAAAATAATCCCTATTGTCAAATTCGTGGGGTACCCTCCAACTTCCAGCATTTCCACAAACACCCGAATAGCAATCTCTGGCTGTTCTTCCTGAATATAACCTGACATTAGTGACGTCCACGTAACAACATTTCTTGTACACATTTTATCAAACAGCTTGCGTGCAGCCTCCATTCTTCCGAGCTTAGCATACGTATTCACAAGAAATGTCATGACAAACGAGTCCTGATATGAACCAGTCTTTACAATGTGACCGTGAATTACTTCAACGTCTGAAACTGAGCTGTTTTTCACACATTCTCGCAACACCGGAACATAAGCAGCTGATTCTACCTTCTCATTTACATTTCTTATCAGCGAAAGTCCCTTCCTGGTGTCCAGACTAAACGGGTCCACACCTCTTTCCAATGAAATGTGTTTCTGAAAGAAAGAAAATCATCAAAATTGAGTTCTTCACGCAACACATATAAGAACGTAAAAGAATAAACAAGGATAAATGTATTACCTTCTCAAAGGATAGAGAGGAGATATTGTTTCTCTTGAAATCTGGGTCAAGCTTGAGAGTGTTGCTTAGCACAACTGAAGGCATAGAAGCCATGGATTTGAGGAAGTGATTTCAGACTGTACTTTAACAGCAAATGTTATTATTTTTTTTAGCTTTTGCTGAAACGTGTTGGCCCTCCGAAGAATACGTTATCTTGTCGCTGGACCTACATGATAAAGATCCCTCTATTTACATTCACTCATTCAGGGTAAAGAAGACAAAGAGAGTCGGTGAGGTTTAGAGAGAGAAGAGTGAAAGTATGAATGTAAATATAATATTTTCTGAGATGTGCCCATTGAAATTCACATCTCTCTATTCGCGATGTTAAAATTTCTGGCAAATTCTTCCTCGTCGTGGAAGTAGCAGAAGCCATGGATGAGCTTAGCCTTGTAGTGAGAGATGGAGGCAATCTCCATCCAACACATAACCGCCACGCATGCCATGGAAGAAGGTCATGAGCTCCTTAGAGCTTGTTTCGATGGAGCGCAATGCATGACCAATGGCAATGGAGTCATAATAGTGACTTTTGAGTTTTTTGCCTACAAACTAACAAAAGTCACTAATCCCTGATGTCCACAAAAAGCCATTCATTCTTACATTTTTGTTTACAATCGGTCACACAAAAACCAAATCAATTGAGCTACCCATATTTTAGCAACAAGGATGAGACAAAGAACAAATATTTTACCAACTGTCGTCACGGGCTTTAGCTTAATGGTTCAGTATATCGTATTTGGAAGAAGAGGCCAATATTCAAATCTCGACGGCAGCAGTATTGGAATTATGTCCAAATTAGACAAATCCCTTGTGCGCGCGCACCCGCATTTGACTCTATCTACTGATTCATTGAGTCACCATGATTTACATCCTCCCAAATACTTTGTAGGGCAAGAGTTTGAAAGCACTTAAGGTTAGGGATTCAACCTTTTGGGAGAAGAAGAACAAATATTGTTAGAAAAGCGAAGGAGATCAATTGCAGGATGTACCTCAATTAGCAAAAACAAAGCCTCCCAACTTATTTTAGGTTGTTTAACCAATTAAGCTGTGCTCGAGGATCAAATAATAGTCATCATTCATATCTAAATCTGAGTAAGACCAATAATTTATAAGAAATAGATAGTAGAAATGGTTAATGGTACAAAAATGGAGTTTCAAGTTTCATGTCCACCCAGGCTAGGGTGCCAAACTGAAACGTCTGGGGTACATATTTTGGTGAGATAATAGGATTGAGAATCATTCTTGAAAGAAGAAAAATAAACCCACAAAGATGTAATACACATACACCTTGTGAAAAATCATATGGATCCAGCTGCTGCAGGCCTTGATTATTAGACACAACCACAAGCTGATTCTTTTCTCTTTTTTCTCTCTCTCTTTTTTTTTTTTTTTTTTTTTTTTGGAGAAACCACAAGCTGATTCTATAACATGAAAATCAACGCTTTTTACTCTTTGCTTTCGTAATTCTTGATTTGCATAATTCATCCGGTGGTTTCCAGATCAGATCCTCAAGATTGCCACAGAAGTTCTTATAAAACTGCAAAACAGCAAATTTAGTCAGCAATTCTAATATGGGAAATAGATTCATAATTTTTTTAATACAACATCCGGTATTCCTATCAGGGTGAAACTAATCCAGATTCGGTCAGTAGCCGCAGAGTTTCATTCTTACTCGAGGGAAGGCTTAGCCTAGGAAACTAACCTTGAGAAATTCAGTAGAATCTCCAGCAGCTTTCTGAATGTCCACCATGAAAAATGTTGGAGCTACTTGGAAAATCTACACACACAGTATTTAATTTAACTAATATTCGTAGTGTCAAAGTGAGCTTGAGATTTAAAAAACAATGAATGTACCTCCAAAATTACGGAGAAGTGTGAGATCTTATCTGCAGATAGACCTTCCACCCTCATCTGAGACATAGTGAGAGTCCAAATGTAAGCAACCATAAACCAGCACAGGTTTCCAACAAAAACAAATGCATTCATAAGTAATGAAGTTCATTTGTCCACCTTGTAGTTACGAATGTGTGTCTTGAACCCCATTGATTGGGCAACCACTTCCATAGTTGATAAGGCAACCTTTGCGGGTTTTTGTGTAAGAAAGCGTGTCTGGTGCGTTGCAGAATCCTGTGAAGGCCAGAATCCACTTATCAAGGAATGGACAAAATCCATTTATATTACGGAGTAATAAAATTCTATCACAAAATGTTAATTGTGTTAGTAAAACATTTTCCGAATTCGAAGTAACAAATACCGACACCCAACTCTACTAGTCTACTCAACTAAAGCCTTAATCTAATCTAAATGGAATAGTGCAAAAAAAAAAAAAAAAAAGCATTGCATTCTTCTTTTGGTCATTTAGATGTCAAAGGCATTGAATATAAAAATTGTAAGAAATATTTGAATGGTTTTTTATAGAAGCAATCATATTGTTGTTATTGAGATCACAAGCTTGAAATTCCATTCTTCTCTCCAGTGTAACCTCTCCCCCCTCAAACAATGAAGAAGAGTAGATGAAAGAGAATTTCAAAAAATAGTTCACTTTAAAGGATGTAAGCAATCAGCAATGTATACCTGTCCACGATCAAACAAGACTGAAAGGTTTAATCCTTCAGAAAGGATGATTAGATCAAATGCATTAAGAGCTAGAGGCCCAAAATCCTCATTGTTGCATTGCTCATTTGGCACTTCTTCCTACAAAACATTTTACTTTGTAAGGGCATGTAAGAAGGAGATTAAGCAGTCATGAGTCAACAATATATGACTTTCTTGTAGTGATAAGGTTCACTCTATAAATCACAGCATGGATCACCAAATGTGGGGGAAAACTGTGGTTTGAGAGGAACTATTTGCCATATGAACCATATGAACTGATACACAGCATCAGTAATGCAGGTGCTATAAGATAAGAACCATCCAGCCTTCACACCATAGGCTAATTAATGCTTCAGCTAATCCTCATACCAACTGTCCAGCAAGCAAGTATAAAATGTATGCACTCTTCTAGTTTTCATGCAGAACTTAATCTCAGATGAAGTGCTATAAATTAGAAAGACTAAGACATGAACGAATTACCAACCTCAGTATCATCAAAAGCTGCATTAATGTCATCTAAATTAACATCTTCATACTCTATGATCTTCACAGGAATATAACCCTTCTTAAACCACTCATCATTCCTGATCTCTTCAATCCGAATGCGCTGTTCAATGTAGCAGAGGTGACTAGGTGAGAACCAGAAAGAGTTCATAGAAAAAAGGGCAAAGTTTGTCTAACAATTGTAAAATGCCAAGGCTTTCTTCAAGATGTATATTATTCTAAAATATCCAACTATAAACAGAAAAATTGATCACCGTTGATTACTATGCCTCTACTGTGATTGAACACCAAAATAAAGAGTACATTTTCTAAGAGTCAAGAGTCCCAAGAATTATGGTACTTTATTGGTAAGTTACCACACATTTTTCAAATAAGAAAATATTATGGTCCAGAATGTACAGATCACACAAAATGCTATGCAACGGCAATATTAGACTCTATAAGGATTTCCATTGGCCCATATGCAGCCATAATACATGTGTGCATGTAACTTACAAGCCAAAGTACTTACTGTCTCAGGGTTAGGGTCTAAAATTTTATGAATCAATGATTTTGCTCCCACTGGGAACCATGATGGGCAAGAAAATTCTGCTCTCTCAATCTGCAGAAAAGGTGCAAATTAGTAACTAAATCTTAATTAAAGCAGAACCTTCCTCAATAAGCAAGCAACTGAAAACAAGTTATTTAAGCAATTAGAAGGTTATGCATTTCTAGCATCCAGTTGTCTAGTACCTTGCCATACAATGTAGTGAGATCAACCTCATCAAATGGGAGATAGCCTGCCATTAGAACATAAAGGATGACACCACAGGACCAGACATCTGCCAGAGCCCCGTTATAACCTTTGTGACTGAGAACCTATGTAATAAAATGAAGGCAAAAGGGAAAAGTTAAAGACACAGGCATAATCAACAATGGTAGTTTCCAGAACAAATCACAAATGCATGGAAATAAATTTGAACCAGAAGTTAGCCTTCTATTACCTCTGGTGCGACATAGTTAGGGGTCCCACATGTTGTCTTGAGAAGAGAAACACCCTGTGCACAACTATTAAAAGTTAACAACATACTGACTTCCATAAAATGAGATAAGCAGACAAAGCTAGTAGCCTAGTAATGTTCTTTAGAACCCTACCGGATCAGGAAATGCACTAAGTCCAAAATCTGAAATTTTCAAATTCCCTTGGGAATCTAGTAGAAGATTTTCAGGCTGCATGACGAAGAAACAACACTAAGAATTGTATGGAAATGCATAACAACATATCATTGTCTTATATTTATACAGGTTGGCCAATATTCACCTTCAAATCTCTATGATAAACTCCCTTACTATGACAATAATCCACACCATCAATGAGCTGTTGGAAGTATCTACGAGACTCAGCTTCACTAAGTCGCCCATGGTGGATCTGGAAACAGGTGGAAAACATCATGGTCTCTCTAAATATGCTGAACTAGAATAATATTCACCTATTTTAAGCTACAATCTTCAAAGTTGAAGGGCTCACTATTTTGTCAAAAAGTTCTCCCCCTGTTATGAATTCCAAAATAATATAAATCTTTGTGCGGCTTGCTATAACCTGACAAAAACACATGATTTTTAGCCAGCAGAAAGTTTGAACTGAAGTATTAAAAAAACTCTGAAACGAGAAAAGCCTGAAGTGACTGGAAAAATCTCCCTTTTTGGGTAAATAAAAGGCATATACTCTTATTTTAGCTCATGCCTCATGTAAACGAACAACATATGGATGCCTGACAAGCTTCATTATAGATATCTCTCTCTTAATCTGCAAGAAGAAAATGCAGAAAACTGTTAGTGGAGGATAAATCATCACTAATCAACAGAAGAGCTGCAAAGTCATGCCCGAATGCATCTTCTTGAAGGCATAGTTAAGCTTTCTGATAGGCAAAACTAAAATCTCTTTCTGCTTTTCTGCAGATATTAAGCATACCTAAGCAAAGTGCAAGCTACATCTTTGGAGCAGGCACAAATTCACAGCCCAACTGTATTTTCAGTTCCATTCCAGTTAACTTGTAACAAGAGAAGAAAAATGGTGCTAAGCAAGTCAATTGTTTATCATTCTTTTTCTGCATTCATTTCCATTTCATCTGGCATAAATTAACATCTTAGCCGCCTTCCACTAATTCTAGGGAAAATCTCAGTGATCACAACTTCAACCACAAATTACTATATGTAGAAATTCGTTAAGCAACGCAACTCTGAAAAAAGCGAAAAAAGTAAGCACACAAGCATCTGTGCATAGGTATTTAGCTGAATCACCTGGTCGACCATCTTGTGCTTGATGATGGCGCTACGATCGATGACCTTCATCGCGACGCTCTCGCCGGTCTCCGTGTTTTGCGCGAACTTCACCTTCGCGAATGTTCCTTCCCCTATCGTCCTCCCCACTTCATACTTCCCAACCTTCCTCACCACCATCTTTAAGCAACTCCCCCCACTCTCTCTCAGAACACAAACTATTTCTCTTTTCCCCTGTATTTATTTAACCAATTTCCATGGAGGCATTTGTTATTCTCAAATCTTTTCCCAAAACCAAAAAACAAAAACAAAGTCAAGCTTATGGGATAAAGCTTTCTTCGGCTGTTCTCTTTGGGAAATTTTTGGAGTACAGAATCAAATATTCCGGCGACTGGAAACTGGAAAGGTGATTTGATTGGGGATGTGGAAAACGGAACGGAAATTCTTTAAAAGGGTGTCTGGGAACGCTGTAATTGATCGGAGAAAGGGAAGTGATTAGGAATTTAAAAGTTTGGTAAAGTAGAGAGTGGCACTGTAGTTCGGATAAAACAAGAACAGCAAGCTATTGAGGCGTAAAAGTAATGGATTAAGCCCTCTACTCTTTCATATCTATTGCTTCTCCCATATCTTTACTCTTTCATATCTATTGCTGGCAGACGGCTTTTATGTCTGAACGTGAAGAAGAATGACAAGTTATTCCTCCTCATTTTATTAATGGTCTAAGGTATTACACTAATCTCCTCTTTTTCCTTTTGACTTCTGTAAATTGGAGATGCAATGTATATGTATTATTGTTTTCTTTTTAATTTAATATCAGTCATTCAAAGAAAAAAATCATGTAAGTATTAATGGACGAAAAAAAATTAAACTTATATTCCGCTATAATTTAATAAATGTTAAATGAGATTGTTCAAATAACTATTTGTTCTTATTGAACCGAAGAGAAATTTTGGTAAACATATTTATTGTTTTGTTTTGTTCTCTATGAATATGCATTATTATGACATTCTATTATTTCTTGATCGATCCTTTTTCTCACTAACACGTCTAGGTAACCATTCTAAATACTTCTCCAAAACCCCAGTGGCACACTTGTGACTCGTTTGGTCCTTCCATCTCTCATTTGGTAGATGGTAATGTGTAAAAAATTAGTGCATTAACACATGGACTAGTTCTTACATAATTTGTACTCCCCCCATATAACTATGTGAGGGGATATGGTTTGTTTAGTCTATTTCATTTTTGATGTATTTGGCCAGGTACATTTATATTAATCAGAAAAATTTATTGCAAATAGAAACACATCTAATTCAATATCTTATCTCCAAGTGAACAATGATGATGGCAATAAAGGTCAAAGTGACTAAATAAGATATTTTAAGGATGGCAATTTGCATTTATTTTGTTACTTAACAATAGGTAAGATAAGTATGGGAAAATGTAGATTATAGTGATATTGGTATTTAAATCATGCTAGTCAAATAAGTGAATAGATTAACAAAATATTATATGTAAATCATAAAATATATTGATAGCATTAATAGGTATTAAACCTATATGTTACGTATTTAAAGATACAATAATGGACATGTAAGTAGAGTGATGAGTATTGTATTAATAATATAATCTTAATAATGTCCAAGTAGAGTATAAAAAGAGTTTGAAAGGTTATATAATGGTCGGAAAGTATACTAAATCTAAGAAATCATGTCCTTTTACTGGCTGAAAGATGTCTCTATCTATAGTGTCGAAGTAGAGCATATGACAGGTTCTCGTTGAGGGTTCTAATAATGTAGTGGTGCGGCACTAGCAGCTCATGTCAATTACAATATATGTTAATCTTTGAAGGTCATGTCATTTGCAATTGTTACAGGAATGACTTGTTTATCGGATTTTGTCAATTTCTGTTTGACGAATAATGCCATCAATATCTTTATCTTATTATCGCATCATATATACAAATTTTTTAAAGAATATCAAAGGGAATGGGATAATTGAAAGGTAAACAATGTTAGTTATTATTATGAGATATATCATTCTCCATCAATAAACACCCAAACAATTATCCATCCTACTACAAGATCAACAAATTTTTTTTTCTTCGAAAAATATTACTCTTATTCGTAATTTCTACTTTAAACTTTTATTTTCTCTCACAAAATTTTAATGTTGACATTTTCATCAAGAAAAAATAACTAATCTTCAATTGCCATATCGAAATAAAAATGAGTAAGTAAAAATAAGAAGTACATATAGTAGAACTCTTTTTTGTTTTCCTCCAACATGCTAATGATATTAACTTCTTCTCCCAATAATTATCATTACAAAATGACGTACAAAATGACGTACAAAATAATTATCTCCCATAAAATTGAGCTAACAAATCTTTAAATCTTTAATATCTAGAGGAACTAGATCAAAATAAGAAACCCCAAGCATGGAATTCAACCTCTTTATGTTAGGAAGAAAGCTCGCAAGAATATATGAATAACACAATAAAATAAATAAACAACACTAAAAGAACACCAAGAATTTTAACGTGGAAAAACTTCCTCAAGGCAAGGAGTAAAAAACCACAGGCACAAGCCAGTAAACCTTCCACTATATAGATAATGGGTACAACAGATGAGGCTTCTCTATTCAACAATTAGAGGCAACACAAAATACAAAAGAAAATAACATACCCCCCGAGGCACAAGAATTTCTACAAAATCCACCAACTTCTTCTTAGCTAATTTTCTCACACTTGTATATCTCACACAAATTTTCTCTCCTCTCTTTTTCTTCTTCTTGAACTCTCTCATATCTAAGGTAGCCAAATCCATGGCCTTTATATAGGCTTTACAAAGCCAACTCTTTTGTCTTTTCATTTGTCCACTTTAATCTTCCATTAAGTGGACATAAATGAAGTCATTAATCAAAAAATCTTTCTCTTCATCTTCCAAACTTAAAATTGTTAAGCTTTTGGTCACCACCCTACCCACATTGGTGGGACCATCTAGCAACACTTTATATATGATTAGCAAAACATTGGTCTCAACAAAAATATTATTTAAACCTTAGCTTTGTCCTTTAACCAAGTTAAAGCTTCCCGAATTGACATTGTTTTGCCTGCCTTAGGAGAAAACAAGTCCTTCAAAGAGCCATTTTTAGTAGCCAAGAAACTTCACAAGTCATCTCTTAATTATAAACCAATCAAAACCCGTTAATGATCTTTCTTTCCCATTAATAGTTACATCCACGTTAAGCTTTAGATAATCTAAAATTTAAAGACTTTCATCGCTCTTGTTCTAGACGGATAGAATATATAAATTATGAGATAATAAAATTCAAAACATGCACCATGTAGCTACTACTAAAATAAAGTTTATAAATTTATTTTAAATTATTTCACCAATTACGTATTCAGGACTAATGTGGTTTATTATTAAACAACATTGCGGATCAACTTCTCACTAGTCACCACCAAGGCGGCATCTTAGTGGGCGATTGGACAAAGTTTTGCCATTTGAATTAGTCTACTCATTCATTATATTGCAAGTAGTACAAGGAATTGTATATTACTATATTGTATTTAGTCTCCACTATAGTGCTATTTCACTATTTTAATCTTTAATTGTTAATTTAATCATATTTAATTCTCTTACTTTTCTAACCGATTAAATCTGATTTAAAATATGTAAAAATATTTTCGATCACTTGTAAAAAAGATATGATTGGTGAAATGACCAAATGTTAAGATATTTAATTGTACCTTCTTCCTACCATACTATATATATATATATATATATATATATATATATATATATATATATAAAACTCAAAAAATAAAAATAATAAATTAACTAATTTTATTAGGAAATGTATGAACCATTGTGATGACCTATACGATCAAATTGGTATTATCGATCACTTTCAACTGGTAATAAATAATAGTGGTAAATGATCTTTTAAATTCTTAAAGTGGTTATAATGTTTTCAATTACTTTGTGGTAATTGAAAATCTTAAATTTTTAATAGGATGATGGTTGAATTGGGAGCAAATTAAGAGTAATGTTTGGTACCTTCTTTCTTGCGATTTGTTTTTTGACGTGATAAACAATAGTAAATTAAGTATTACAAATCTTTTAAAAATGGAGGTATGAATTTATTCTTATTGTGTACACTAATGTATAAACATTTAGAGCAACCTTATTAGCCTGTTAGGTGCATTGGTGTGCGAAACAATACCTGCGCGAACTTGAAAAAAATTGTGGAGCCCACAAAAAACTATACTTAGTGCAAGATCATTTTCATTCTTTGCTTCCGTACACACTCTATCTCTCTCATCTCACCATCTCTCTCCTCCATATTATAGACCAAAAAAACATTGATGGTCTTACTCTTGGCCAATTGAGACATATCGTGATTACCTCCTCCAGCAACATTGATGGTCTTGCTCTTACGTCTAACGTTTGTAGTTCAAAATTATTTTTAAAAAGTTTCAGTTGAATGTTTTATAGATTATACATCATTAATGTATAGTGAAGAATTCTCTACCAAAAAAAAAAAAATGTATATAGTGAAGAATAGTTTGAAAATTAAAAATGAAGTTGTGGAGTAGGTAAACGTAATGTAAGTTTGAAAATGTTGTCAAACATAAGATTAATAATGTGTGGCTCACAAATAAGTCATCATTCTTGCCTATCTATACAGTGGAAGATTAGTGGAGGGGTTAATGTTGCCACCGTGCAAACTATTATTGATGCAATTAACCCGGCGACCATGCGTAGTCCCATCGCTATAGGTTAACAAAAAGTGTAGCCCCAAGTAGTCCCCAACCAACCACTCTCTCCAATTGTATGAGGAAACATAAAGCTGCATAGATGTTGACACATAACAATGATGCATTACCTAATAAAAAACAAAGGCTAAGAAAAATCAAAACCTTAAAACTGCAACTAATTTGCTGCCCCTTTCTGGGACTGACGTTGGAGGACCACATAGTTGCGTGCCACTTGCGCTAAAATGATCTTAAGAAAGTCAACTTCAAATACGTGAGGGAAGTGTGATTCGTTATTAGTATGATATTGTGCATTGCGTGTTGACCCTCTCATATGAACATGAAAGGTTAATTGATCGAGAAGGTTAACAGGCTGCTTTGTAATTACAAAGTTGACTACATGATTAACTCAACTGGTCTAATCCTTATTATATGAACTCTTAATGGTAGAATTCATGTTTGGTGTTAGCAATTCCAACCAAACACCCGTAGGGTTCTCATAAGAATTACAATTCCAAGGGTTTTCATAAGAATTACAATCCCAACCAAACACTCCCTTAAGGTGACAATTTATATCATAGACCAGAATCCACGTAGCATTATGGATCCTGGATCGAAACGACAAGGTACAAAATTCATACTTATAAAGTACAAAATTTCATATATAACACAAGACACAAAAAATCACAACACAATAAACATACACATATTATATATTTACTTATTTTTCAAATATGATTTAAGTACATAATGTGTGTTGATAAGCACATAATTTCACAACACAGGATACACTTACTAATTTATTTCAAGTACATAATTCATACTCTTAAGATACAAAATTTTATGACACAAGACACAAAAAATCATAATATAAGATACATACACATGCATCAGGGTCCAAAGTGCATTGTGAACTCTAATCCATGGTATAAGTACTGCTTAAGGTTGTGGTAAAGAATTAACCATAATAAAGATGGGCCTAATTTGATTGGGCTAATATGGCCTTAGTTGAGAAAGATAACATTAAAGCCCAGTGTTCTTTTATGGACATATCTGTTATAAGCGAAATGGGCCTAATGAAAGTATGAAACTAGCTAGAAAAGTAGAATTTTGTTAAATCTCACTAAAAGCCTGCAGAACTGTGTTAACAGAAGTAAACGAATAAACACGACGATGGTGAAAGCAGTAGTGGGAGAGGAAGCGCAGCTGAAACTTGCGGAAGAGCGGCTTACCAAATCGGGGCCAGCCGCTCAGATAGGGCTTGTGATAGGGAAGCTGAGCTCGAGCTTAGATCGCGGGTTCATATTCGACTTGGTACCGACGCCGCTGAACGATGCCGGCGAGCCGGCTTGCTCGATTGTCGGTGGCGCGAATGACGATCGGAAGAAAGGAGGGAAGGGAAAAACGCAGGCCGACTCTTCGGCTTTATTCATTGATCAGGATTGGATTGCTGAACACGCTCGCCAGGTTCAATTTGATTCGAATTTCTGGATTTCAATATCAGTTTCCTTCATTCGCTATGCAGTTTGCTTTTCGTTTGAATTTTATTGCCAGTCATTTAGTTTTGCGTAGCAGTAGAGGATCATCAGCATTATCAATGAGTGCTTAATATGTACGGAGTAATGAAATACGTTCTGTGTGCTTTTTAATTGTTATGGATGCATAAAAGTACTTTTAAAAGTTTGTAATGACTATGTGTTTGTTTGGATAGTGTGTGTGTGTGTGTGTTGTTTTACTCTGTGAACTTGATTGCATGAGTTTGAATTATATTTAGGAAATTTATGCTAGCAGCTTAAGAGAAGAGGAAGCTCTCTAGTCTCTACCTCCCTGACCTTGACAAGTGCTTGTTTACCTTGATGATCTCTTAAATTATACTTCATCTGTCAGGTGTTAAGATGTAAGGCAAATGCCTAGTTAGGGAATCTATGATTGATGGTTTGAATGTGACAATGCATAATACCATTTTTCAGGTTGGAAGAATGCTATTGGGTGGAATTAAAGTGATTGGCATCTATATATGGGCTAGTGAGAGCTCATTTAAGAACTCAACAATAACCATGTGTCAGGTTTGTTTCACTCTGTAATATAGTTTTCTTTTGGCAAGTGAGAGTGGTAAGAGGAGAATTTACTACTGAGTTTCTCAATTTAAAGTATTCTATACAGTAGAACTAGATACTCTAAAATCAATTCTATCATTGACACTTCTTTCTGTAAGCATGTTGTGACTATATCATAATTGTTATATCACTACTACTACTATTTATTTATTTTTATAATCTTTCGTGGATATATCACAAATGATCTCCTCTTTATTGTTATTCAATATAAAGAGTAGCTCAAAAGCAATAATATTTTATGACTTCTAAAATTGAAAATTTTCTCATTCCTGCTCTTGTTATTCTTTTAAGGTGCTCTTTCTTCTTTTTAATTCTTATTTAAATTCTTTTTCTTAGAATTAGAAAATTTTGAAATATAGTATTCTAGAAACTTGGGTGTGGTCACTATCTCACATCTATTTTAATTGTCAACTTATTGTTTGGATCATTTTTACAGACTGTAAAAGCCGTTGCCAAGGCTACCCCCTTTATAGATGCTGACAGTGATGAGCGGCTACTTGTTCATATTTGTTACAGTCCCATGAGGTAGCTTTCTGCGAAAGAAGGCTTCATTCTTGTTATTCTTATTTCTTATTACTTATATATTAATTCTTATTAGTTATAGGTATCTGACATTTTCATTTCAGGTGGACAACTCGGAATTGCTCATTGGCTTCTAATATCACATCAAGCAGCCTACGACCTTGTGATTTCAAAATGGGGAAAATTCTTACTTCCCTCCAGGCATTCAGATGCACATATGCTTTTGATTTTAGGTAATATGTCACTTCTTTTGCTTTCCCCCCTTATATAAATTTCATTTAAGATACCTTTCATTATTGAAAACTGTTGATCTTTATTTGTGATTATAATTATTTTAATTTCTAACAAAATGGGATATAACTATAGTTGAGCAACATTTTACTTAGGTTGTTTTGCAGATTATTTACTTATTTTTATTTTTTCATATATGCAATGTTTGATGATTTGAATAGTATAGTTACTTGAGTGCTCTAACTCAAGCTGCTCTTCTATTATCCATAAATCATGTAAAAAGATGAATGGTGCTATAGGAATTGGTTAGATTCAAATTGATGAGTTGATGTTTGTTGACTCTTGGCTTAGCCACCATTTATACAACTCTGCATTTGTTTTCCCTCTATGTATCCTATGAATTTACAAAATGAACACTCCCCTTCTGCAAAAACTGTGAAGCTGATTATAGGTGCTATACATTTCCAGAGTGCCAATATGCTGTGGGGATGAGTCGAGTATCACAAGATTGGCTGACATTCTTCACCATTGTATTTCTCTTCATGCAAAAGAGCTAAAATGTGCCACGGCTTTAATTGATGGAAAATTGGTAAGAAACTTGACTACTTTACAGTTCAAGACAGTATATTGATTCAGGCATGTAGGTTTAGTTCTATCTTAACTATTAATCAAGTTGCTAGCTGAAAATCCTGTTAACTGCCCTGTAATTATTCTTGGGGGTCGAGTGTTGCATATAGTATAGTTTAGGGGGGTAAAAGTGAAATTTGCCCAAAATTAATTTTTCTATGATACATTACTTTACTAGTGCCCCAGTAGCCATTTCTGCACAATTGCCACAATTTAATTGAAAATAAAACATATTTGATTTGTATTGTAGACTAATTGACAGGAAGTGGGCTAAAGATAGTTTCAACATATTTGACAGGGTTTTATTAGATGCCCTAGGAAGAAAGAGTGATGATAAGGTAAAATATGAGATGGGAGAGGAAGATTTGGACCTGAATTTACTTGGATACAAGTACAATGAATATAGAAAAGGCAACTGGATAGAGTTATAGAACCCATGTATGCAAATCCAATCAGATTGGGATAAGCCTAGTTGAGTTGTGCTGTGAACCAACAATTTTTACTGATAGCTTTTCTTGTCTTGGAATATTTCTTAACATTTTTAGGCAATTGGGGATGAGCAAGTTGCATCAGGCGGTGTACATGATGTTGAATTCCTCCTACCTTTCATGCAAGATAAGTTTGATGGTGCGGACTAATATTCTTGATTTGGGTTGAAACTCTTTTAAGATTATGAATTCATTAATGTGACTACTTTTTAATTAATTAATTAATTTTTAAATCTTTATTGTGAAGCATGCAGCCAAAAAGACATTATTGGTGTTCTTGTCTTTGCTGGTGCCGTCTGCTCTTATGCTTACTTGACTGCAAAGGAGCAACTTTCACAAGCTATGACTGATATAAAGGTATCGAACAGCAGGCCTTGCTTGCACCTGGCAAGGGCTTCCATTTCTCATTCAAAATATAATTAGTATTGCTGACAGATGGCTGTTGTTTCATCTGGTTCCAAGAAAAGCTTTTATCAATTGGCACATTGAAGAACAGAGAGCTTTATGTTGATATTAAATATGTATACTACATCATTGTGTTGGTAGTGGAATACCTAATCCTTCATTTTTTGCAGTAAAGTAAGTGAACTCGTTTTCTTTTGCATAGGAAGATATAATATTGAGTTTGAAGAGTAGATTAGACATCATATGTGATGCCACAGAGAGGGGATCAGATGCTATTGATGGAAGCCTTGAAGAAGCAAGGGATCAAATATCAGCAGAAGAACCAGTTCCACTACTTGATTTACAATTGCAAAGGTAAGCTACTCATGGAACTCTCAACTCCATGCTCTCAACATCCTATTCTCATTACAGAATTTAAACTGTCTTGAACCTGCAACCTTGCCATTTGAGCTACATGATTTATGCTGTCGTTGTTGATGGAAGGCAGCAGTTGGTCTTGGCTGACGAAGATTTTTTTTTTTTTTTTTTTTTTTTTTTTTTAAATTGTGCTTTTGTCAGGAAAAATTGCAGCCTATTGTTTCCTCGAAGAGTATTTATTCCATGGTTAGCTAATACATATGTCTGTGACTACATACAACCATCTGAAACAGTTGAGGTATGTTGCATTTATTTATTTATTTTTGGGTTAAAAGTAAGTTCCATGTTTCATTTCAGCTGTCATAGCATGTAGTGCTCATCATTGCATTGTGTTTAATTATGGTAAAGGAAAACATAATCCCTGTAACCATTGTATTTTCAAGTTAATCCCCTTAGAGTTGACAGTTAAAATCCTTTGAACATCTTTGTATCATATTGCATGTGAGTGAAGTTTGGTGATTTTGAGATTGAAATTATTCAACTATAACTTGAACTTTTTCTGAACTACAGGTTCTTAATGATCATTGTGCTGAGTTGATGTCCATAGAAGTTCCGATTGATCCTTCAAGAATTCTGGAGCCTGAATCAGAAGCTCCTATATCTGCAACCACCCAGTCTTTTTGGGAAATGTTGAAACAACATTCCTTGTCGGCAAAGCCAGACCTCTCAAAGCATGAAGAGACAAAAAGCTTGAGAAGTGACCAGAAATCTAAAAACTCAGCAGGCTTTTACATGCTGATACCATTTTTGGTTCTTATTCTGTCACTCATAGTGGGAGTGGTAACATTTGCAATGAGGTCATCATAATGCAATCGTGAAGAGTTACCAAGTTTGCCCATCAGGTATAATCTTTTTCTTCCAATAGAGATTTACTTATATGAGAATATCCTTTTGAGGATTGTGAAATCCATGGCCTTCAGCCATGTGTAGATTACTTTTAAAATGAAGTCACTCTGAAACTTGAATTGATTCTTGTCTTAACAGTCCTTTATCATTAAACTTATTGGAGTAGGAATGACATTTAGTTAAAGAGTTGAGGTGCCTTTTTTCGACGACTAAAACTTGAAGGGAAAAGAGTCAAATAAGCCTCTTAACTTTACCTGAAAAGTCAATTAGCTCCTTCAACTTTTAAAAAGTGCAATTACACCCTTTAACATGTTATATTGAGGCAATGAGATCCAAAAACCGATAAATGACATGTTATTACAGGTAATTAGGGTTCTGGCATCAATTTTATCCATCTCCGACGAATTGTTGCCGATCGCCGTCTACTTCTTTGGCGGAAGGCAACCGATTGGTCACCTTCCATCTGAGGAGGCGACCAACTAGTCGCCTTATCTGGTAGACGACGATCAACATCGGTTTGGTGGGCGCCGAATTATTGTCAGTGATGGATAAAATTGATGTCAGAACCCTAATGACCTGCTACTGATTGTTGGACTTTATTGCCTCAATATAATATGTTAAAAGGGTATAATTATACTTTTTAAAAGTTTAGGAGACTAATAGACTTTTTAGGTAAAGTTTAGGAGGCTTATTTGACCCTTTTCCCAAACTTGAATAATAACTGCTCTTGTGTAAAATACACAGCATGGTTATGCTTTTACCCAATCCCCACAGTTCGTCTTTACTCATTTAGGAATGAGGAAAAAAAATTACAAAGGAAGGCAATTTGTAATAGGCAGCACGATTTATTACGCCACTGGTATATAGTTTTGATGGGTGCGTGCGTGCTTCTAGATTGACAAATCTCAATTGTTTTTAAAATCATGTTGGGAGATACAGAAACATGATGCTCCAAATGAATCGAACGAAGCCTCTAAAGCCAAAAAATCTCTGTTTGCTGCAGTTCAAATCATCTAGGCAGATCATCTGGATGCTTCAGAGCTGAGCTGCATCATAGCTTCATTCGCTTGGGACGTCTGATCCACTGGGAATTTTACCGGGATAGTCGGTTGTGGGGGTATCTGATCCAATCATACTGCAAATTCAAAAATACCAATTTAATTTAAAATGGCACGAGGGAGACGTGGTAGGATTAAGAGAAAGAACACAGTAAACTGAAGAGAGGGATACAATTTTACCATCTGTCAACAATAACCATTGACCGAAGTTCACAATTGTTAAATCTGCAAAAATGGAAAACTACGAACAGTTAAAATCACTTAATCGAAAGTTAACCTATTTTCACTTTGTAAAAAAATAAAAATAAAGGAAAAGTACGAACGGATACGTCTTTTATCCTTTGCGCATATATTTACTCTAAAACTTACGGTCTGCAAATTTCATTCTTCACATTTGGATTGCAGTCATTTCCAAATTGTCTTAGAGTATGAATTAAGAATCCACTGTGAGTAACAACTGCAATTTCCTTCTCCTTCCGCGTCAACAACCTGTACCACAAATTAATCAAAAGCAGGAAAACTAAGAATCAATAAGACATCAGGTGCTGCTTATGGTACAAACATCAATATAATTGTCTAAAATGTTATATAATCAAGTTATTATAGAGGGGCATCTGAAGCAACCTATGACCTATACATAAAAAGAGCTTAGCAAATGAAACTGGTTCAAGTTCAAAAACTATTTGATATCTTATAAAACAAATTTACATGGAATGTACTATAATGTAGTAGTAAAAACCCTTTATAAGTTTTTTCAAACTATGAATTGAAAACACATCTCTTGGAAGTGTTGGCACATATAACATTACCAGTTTAAAAACTTCATCCCCCTTGTAGCAAGTTCTTCATCTGTCTCCCTAATGTCCTCCTTCCACAGAATGTCATCATTATGTTCAATCTATAAAAAAAACACAGTGACAATGACAATGAGGCAAACCATAACCATGGCCATGGCTTGGCAATATTAAGAAGAATGATAATTAGCAAGTGGAATTTTCTTTTTCAAGGGAGGGAGGTGGTAAAATCATATAATCAGAAGAATGTAATGATAAGAAATTCAAAGTCATGCAAATGTACTTGCCAATGAGAAATCAATTGCTGGAAATTGAGGCTTATACTCGCTGATGTTTCTTCTTTTATCACACCAATGAACCCCCTGCATTATGTGAGATAAATGAGATATTCATTTGAGATTAAAAATTACCCAGTAGTTATGCTTTACCACGTGGGCATCATGGAGTCAATTAGAAATGAGTAAAGACTACATGGAAAATATTCCATTACAAGTTTATTATTGAAGCAAAATAATTGGATTACAAAAGGAACAACAGCATGGGCAGAAATCAAAGAGACAATGAAAATAAGTTAATTAGCATCCAAAAGAAAGGTATACGAACTCTATAACTAAAGCAAATGCAGAGGATCAAGAAAGGATAAGGGTGTGAGCTACTGAGCTCTTTAGAATGAACCATAAAATGCAAAAGTTTGTATAAAAGAGAGAACATATGCATGAGAAAATAGGAGAGGTAAGGACTAATAGAAAGACATATATACACCTATAGGTTATGACTTACTGTATGTTCTCGGCACAACTCCATAGCCAGGAATGGAGGGCAATTTAGACTTGAAATTGCAGGTCGACTACTGTTTCCAGCATTTGTCACCATTAACGGAAGACCTTGTATGTCATCAGCATAGCCTTCTCCCCCAAAGACACCAACTGCTGTTTGTATAGTCCTTAAATATAAATACAAAAATAAATGATAGCTCAGGGATCAAGGATTCTATATATCTATTTTTCAAATCCAGTATAACAAATAATTCCTAGATATCCACTCCTCTTGGAAGAAGTAATCCTAGCTTGTGCCAAATAACAACATCCACTAATTCTTTTGGATTTCTAGATACAATTCAGTCAATCTATCTGAAGCTCCTATCCCCATGTACTCATTATTTGCTCTAAATGGAAAGTTAATAGAAGAGGGTGTTCATGCAGTACTGTAAGTCTGTAAAGCAACAAATATATCCATTTACCTTCAGCTCAGGTATTGATCTGTCATATTAAACTTAAAACTAAATATCAGTCACTATGAGCAAATTAGGAGAGGGTTTGAGAAGGGGGGAAGAAGACAAAAAATCTTTAGTTTTTTCAGATAAGTAAAATACTTGCTGCAAGAGCTTCATAACTTGTTAGAAACACAAACTCATACCTCAACAATGGGGAAGTGACAACCAATTCGACCCTCTTAGAAAGACCGGATGAGTTAACATGTTTGCGTAGATTATCCACCTATAATGGCAATACAACTTCAGATGGTTCTATCTAATCAGGAAACCTTAATGGTTGGTTAAATAAGGTGCAAATAAAAGTTCAACTAAGGCCATAACAATTAAATTAGCAAAGAATTGCATATTATGTCAAGCAACAAAAAATTAAACTATCTATTTGTTACCTGCTGCCAACCAAGAGGGGTAAGATTTGCATCAAAAAGGTGTGGTAAGAGGTATGCATTGTTGTCCTTTTCTCCTTCTACATTGTGAAATCCCTGAGCATGCCTCACCTAAGAAAAATGTGAAGAAAAAGGCCATTGAGCAGATAGTAGAAACTGAAGAAAATTCACTAAAAATAAAACATTATTTTAAGTATGGTTATAACAGAAGTGTACAACTAATGAGAGAGGAAAGAAGATAACCAGGTGGATCGTTTTACATCTGTGCAGAGGATAGACACTCTGACCCCCGGAGGCATCCATATCTGAGACAGGAAAGCAAAAGATATATGTATCACTAATTCACTACAAAAAACAATATAGCGAATTGTCAAATGGCTTAAAAAATTTAACTGGGCAAAAACAAAGGCAGCAAGTTTCTGGTGCAAGCATGTGAATGAATTCGTATATAGCTATAAAAAATCTAACACTCAAAATACTTGTTTATCAAATGGAAAATTCTTAGCAGACTTATTCAGCCTCCTATCTGCTGATGGTTAAGTTTGAAAGTGAAAGTGCTTCCCATCAAATTCAACTGTCTGCAAAATCAATAAAAAAAAATTAAAAAAAAAAGGTTCCTGGTTTCTGAATAATTTTTACACTGTCAACTATTCAGTTAGACAACAATCCGTTTGTTTAATTTTTACAGTCCTTGCCGCCTCTTAGTTAAAAACCTGTAAAGACACGTCAGGTTGTAACATAAGATCCATCCACAAAAGCTGAACCTTACGCAACTTGAAAGTTCTCAAAAGAATATACCAGGAATAAAGAGTAAAATACCTCAAGTCATAGTGATCAGAAAACAGCTACTAATTCATGCACACATGGAAATGCATATATTTACATATAACAAAATTTAATGCCTTGATATACCACTCGAAATTACTTTTAAAGGCGAAAAAACAGTTCAATCGCAAACATTCGATAAACTTATACGGAGTAACAAAATAGAACTTCTAACCACAGATCAGAAGAAAATGATAGAACAATAAAGGATTACTGCAAAAAATCTACATACGTACATATATATACATACACACATCAATCACAATCATTCGTGTTGATCAAATCAATAATTCGCGTTATGAACCGCATCTAGCCATCTACAAGTCCTTAGAGACAGAGAGTTACCAGAGAAGAGAGAAGAAGAGCAGCGAGAGGCGGCGGAGCGAGAGCGAGACGGAAGAGAAACTACCGGAGAAGAGGAGCGTCGGAGTTGGAGGTGGAGGTGCGTTGACGTTCTGGAGCGGAGGTTCGGAGTGAGAGCAATAGCGGTAGAATCAGAATAGTTCCGGAATAGGAATTGCACTTTTCCAAATTGAAAATATAATAAACAATTGGCGACACTATCTGTCATAGCGGCAGCCGGATCTGCGTTTCAGTTTTTGTCTCAGTTTAGTCTCCGCGCATCCCTCCACGGATATTCCGCTATACCTTTCTGTTTTTTCAGTTAGGAGAACGATTTGGGCCTCATTATTAGATTCTTCTAGCCCAATTTCTTGCTATATGGGCCTACTAGAACAATCCATTTCAGCTTTCAATTTCCAACTTCCCATGAAAGCCATGGCCTATGAGAATTATATGAAAATATCA